GGCAGAAGAGCGACAGTGGAGAGACGGAGACAGACATGATAAGGGGTCCTTTGCAAGGTCACTCGCCTCTTCAAAGGGCGCCCAACTGATTTGGCGGGCGACAAACAGCTCCTCGAGCTTCCGGGCTGAAGTAAGAGCTGGCCATATACGCTGCTGTACAGCACACTAGATGGGTAGTTGTCAAAATTGGGTACCCTAAATATTGGGTGCCGTACATGTAGATGCTGTATATGTAGCAGAACACATTGTATCAGGAGTGCTTTTGATGACGGGTACCTAGTATATATTAAGCAGGAAGCGCAGCCATGTACTCCTGATGTGTAGTTTGTAACATTTCGGTTCCAGTCTTGTCAGTTCCGCCCAGGCACATTGCTTACGAGCCTTGTTCGCAACGAACTCCACGCTATGGAACATGGATCCTTGCTTCTGTTGTTCGGTTCTTTAGCTTGGCACCTGAGGACGCCTTCCCCGATCTTGCTCGACGCTACGAGATGCGATTCAACCCGGAAATCCTGAAGCTTGGTAGTTTCTCGAGCAGGATCTTCCAACCGTCCTCTTCGTCTTCGTAAACGTGAGGAAGTGAGCGTCCCGACGCAGCTTTGGCGTTTCGCACGGAGGCCTTGGTAAGGGCCTTGCCACTGATGCCCCAACTTTCCTTCGACCTACAAAAACGAAGCAGTTGGAGACGTGTAACAAACATGTGCTAAGATCAGTAGCTTAAGATCTACAAGTATCATGAGGAACGTACAATTTCCGCAAGCTCTCGTCATGAAGGTAGAGCTCTACCTCTGCATTTTGAACTAGAGAGGTCCAGGCTGTAAGCACGGGGGCCTCAGCTGCTGTCATCGACCCACACTTGTGGGTGACGCGGGCTTCTTCAGTTAAAGTCACTTGGAATTCCCACAGCAATGACAGCAGCTGACTGCAGCGTGCACTATAGGTGCATGAAATCTGCCGCGCCGAAGACTGCCCTGCACTCCCGAACCTACTTGTGACGCATACTTGCCGATGTGCAGACACGTGTTCACTTTCTCGTAAACGTTGTAAACCAGCACACGGTGTTCTTGGTTTGGTTGTGGGATCCCTTCGCTTTTATGTAGCATGCATCAGTCTCCGAAGAATGAAGTTCAACTGCCATTGGGTTCCCCGCATGTACCTTGCAGACTTAGGACTTGCTTTCATGGCTCTCAGATAACACAAAGCTTCAGGCATGTTGGCGTTCCGTCGCGGCTTAGTGTTGAGGCACCGTCGCGTCGAGTTCCACGGATAAGTCCATGGCGCATCACGTCGTCAGAGGTGCAATGTTGGGGTTGTCAAATCCTGCCACCAACGGCATGACAGATCAAAATCTAGGAGATCGGGATAATAGTAATGATGATAGTAGACTGGATTCTGGGATGCTGTGCTCTAAAAGCACCGCCAGAGGTTACGGCGAGTCGAACTGGCTCTGGGCGAAGTAGTGTCATTGTTGCCACCTCTCTGTTTTGCAGCCTCCCCAAGACATACGAAAGTGTCCTATGCAATTCAAGAAAGGATCGGCAGGAAAGGCAAGTACCTGTAGCTTCAGTGCAAACTTACGCTTAGCCCGACAGTGGACTGGCCTGGGCAAGTCCGGAGCGCGGCATACGCGTGACGTTTTCCATGCAAATTAATGCGGGTACTCCGACTGTGCTTCGGGTGTCTTCGGGTGTCGTACCGATGCAGGACGGCTTGAGAGCCTCTCACGAATGATTGAGCAGTGTTTTTTAAACCTGCATCGCAAAAATCTGGAGATCATCGCTCCTGCAGCGAAACCTACAATCCCGCATCATCAATCCAAGCTGCGCAGACACCGAAGGTGTTTGCCAGCTGCCATGAGATCCACAAACGTGGGACTGAGTACGACGAATGAAAATGGCGACAGCAAGCGGCGAAGGCCTGGATGCTCTCGGTATTGCCAGGCACAGCCCTTTCTCCCTTGGTTCGATTTCTTGGCAGCCTTTGCGTTAGTTTGGTCGAATCTGAGTGTACTTGCTGGTCATTGCATGTGTGATTAGTTCTTCGGTACATGCCTGTCACTGGAATCTTAGTTTGTGTTTCAACAGTACAGTCAACTTGAAGCTTCGTCTGCGCACTAGTAGGAAGTAGGAGAACCTACACGCAATGACCCCGGCACGGCCTAATCGTCCGAGCACCGTACATCGACCGACCTTCTTAAGTGTTTTTCGCTTGTATGAAAGCAGGCCCCCTAAGAAAGTCGCAATAGAAATCACTGGTGCGAATCAGCGCCGTTCATTCACGCAACATCAAACAACTTACGCCGACATGTGACGCGATGCCTACCCACCTGCCTGCCTGCCTGCGCCTGCTCACCATTCCTTCCTGAGCGTGCGCACTGGTTCCCCTGTGATTCTCCCTTTCCCTATCTGTCCATGCTGATGGATGCATAGACCAATGACTGTGTCTCTCGGAGACTGCAGATCTGTCGTGTTGGGTAGACTGCTAGGTTTGGTTTGCACGCATGTTGCCCCACTGCAAGGCTCTCCGTGCTTTTGCAGAAGGCTCGAGTTCTCGGCCATCAATTTCGGGATCTGGGTTTGGAACAAGGCTCCACTATTGAGTCGATTCCAGTGCACATGCACAACCATCGGATACCTGGGGCTTCGTGTTGTGGAGGATTTGGAGGGCCCGTCCATCATGCTCTGCTTGTTCAACAGGATCTTTCCCTGAGCAGGACATCTCTGTAGTACTGTAGGCCTGGCATGCATTCTGCTTATACGTAATGTACAAGTGTACAAGCAGCCTATTACTTGATCAATCGATGAGCACATGGGCTCATAATTGACTTCGCAAGTTTACTAAGTAAGTGCATAGTTCGCCGAAGAAAAAGTAGTTGACTCGAATCAGTTCTTATAACATGGCAGAAGATTATCATTGACCATCAACCCGAGTGGCATCAAGTTCTGAGTTGCCAAGCTGCTTGGGGTTTATGTCTAAGCCTTGTCGAAGACTCAGCCGTTTGTACAACTGTAGATCAGAACCCGAGGTTTGAAAGCCTGCAGAACTTGAGAAGCTGCTGTAGCAATGCAGCTCCTGCATAGGTCAAGTTGAATTTTGCTTACAGTTCTGGCAGACATGCGGTCACGGAAGCCTTCGTTAAGCCTGGATCTTCCTCCACCAGAATCACAAGACAGTTCATTTCAAATTCTTAGGAATTAGGACATCGTAGCGTCAAGGGGCCACGCCGGACATCGTCGCTTTCGCAACGGCCATTGCTGCCTGTGCCAGCGGCGCTACACCTGGATTCGTGCATGACGGATGGCAACACCTAGTCCTTAGCCAATCCCCCAAAGACTGAACAAGGCAGTCGCTGGGAGCTTGTTCTCGTCCTCTTGCGTGAGATGTCCTCAGAGCACTTGGAGCCCGACCCTCGGTACATGCCTATGAGCATCAGGTTCTGCAAATGCATGCAGCAGTTGGGATGCCCATTCCAAGAGTCTGACACGTTTGCAGCCTTATTTGTGACAGTGTGCTAGTTGCGTGTTTCAGGCCACCGGTGGTTGCTTACAACGCGGCCATGACCGCATGCACGTCGGCCGTCTCCTGGGATGGAGCCCCAGTACGCATCTGCACATCTGCAATTCGCACAGAAATCCATAGTGCACCTGAACAGAAAAGCTTGCATCTTCCTTTCTTGCTTTGCCATGCTTGGCTTTTCCTGGCTTGCTGGCGGCTTGGTTGCTGACTCCGCTCCGTGCGTCCTCACTTACCCACTCACTGGGAATCCTGGACCTGGCACGGAAGACAAGCTGAAACAGCACCCTCGTCTCGTTGCTCAGGCTGCAGCGCTGGCCCTGTACTCCTTTATGCAGGGCTGCCACATGGCTCCGGAGGCTGCCATGGCTGCCTTGCGACGCTTGAGGACTCAGGGAGATCTTTTCGGACACCCTGGGCTGGGCTGGTCCTTTTGTAGCCTTGATTCCAGAGTTATTCGATTCGATACCTGGCTCCAGGTCACGGCTCTGAGCGGAGTCGTCGAATGCTGCAGACCCTGCCCCAGTGGGCAGCATGCCCCCCCCCCTTCCCTGCCACTGAGAACTGAACTCTTTGCGGATTTTTTCGTCCCTCAAACTTGCAGTTTCGGAATTTCGGGCAGGTAGACGGTATTGAGGGGATGGAGCAGTGAATTTCGGGTTTTAAGCCTGAGGTTCGGCCAAGCGCCCGGCCGAGGCCTGGGCAGTCGGGAAGGGTACTGGCTGCTCTGGTGCATCCTGTCCGAGCTTCGAAGTCGAAAATTGAATATTCGCGGGAAGGCCCGGGCGCTTCTCGCTGCCTTCCGGACGAAGAGCCTGCAGCGCTGCCAAGAGCTTGGCTCGTCGGAGAAATCTGCGTGGAGCTGTGAATGCTTCAAGGCTAGGGCCTGGAGGGTCTTCATGGGAGTAGCTGATCGGGAGTGTGGAACGCGGGTGTGGGCGGAGCGTCTCTTGAGTTATGCAACGAAGCCCATGGGGAGAGTGGGATGGGTGGCTGCGAGACAGTCGACGAATCGCACCGTGAACGACACCACTGCCCGCAAGACTCTGCTCATGATGACCTTGGCTTCTGGTCTGGTAAGACGAGGGCCCGCACTTCGGTCGCGCAACGACAGCCACCTGCAGAGAGCAGCGAGCGCTTTGCAGCATGCTTCGGTTTGCTTCATCAGTCTTCCTGATGTGCTTCCTAAGTTCTTATGTAGAGGCCAAACGATCAACCAGGGCACAGCCGTCGTCAATTCAGTCGTTTCTCACTCGATTCCAGCCTGCTGAGAAGACGTCAGCCACAAGGACCCTCAGCCAGATCATCCCAATGTTGCAGTTGGATAGTTCAAGGTTCTTGAGATCGCCAGCTTAGCTGTTCTGCCAAGTGTGTTCGGATTTGGCATGGCTGCAGCTTGTTATGATCCATCGCATAGGAAGTTCTCCCTGGAATTGAAGCCTTGGCCTCATGCATAGCCTGCAAACTGTGGCCGCATGTGAACGTCCATGGAGCTTCCGGTGCATTGGCAGAGCGATTTGCCAGTTGAGCACCTTGGCCACAGATTGCCCCTTCCCCATCTTGCTTTCATAGACAGAGTAGCCAGTTGTCAGTCCTCTTTGCTGTTCATCCAATCCCTTCTGGTCTGGTTCACCCTTCTAGATCCCAGAGAGCTTCAGTCAAGACAGAAGACTTGAAGAGAGGCGCCACGGTGCTTCCCGTGCGCTGACGCTGACTGCAGCCCTCGGCCGCCTCGGTGTAGCACCCCGCGCCACCGGTGCCGCCGAGAGACGGCTGACGATCCATGTCCTGGGCAGCTTGGAAGAACGCTCCTCGGTGCATCAACGCCGCTCGAGCAGTCGAGCAGCGCTTTGAGGTGCCAGCTTCCGGGAGGAGGGCAGCGACCTGATCGCTACGTCAGCCGTCTTCGCCCCGCTTCTCTCCGTACTCGCAGACAAGCTCGACAAGGAGGGCCCAGAGCAAAGTCGCTTCGTGATGCTTCGTGCTTGCAATGCTCAAGCCACAAGCCACGAGGTTCAGATGCTCCTCGTTGGCCCCACTGCCTTGGGGCCGTCGGACAAGCCGGGTACTCCACACTTCAGGAATGTTTGCAGTTCCCTGCTGTTCTCCTGCCCATTTCAGGCAGGTGGCTGCTGATGATGGGACTCGCTTGCCCACGGGCCTTCTGCTGCCTTGCGGCACTGGCGGCACTCTTGCTTTAACCGATTTTGACCCTTGAGTGGCTCGTGGCTCGCACGGAGCATCGAGCATCGTGCTAGGCTGGAGACCCGACACCGACAAGGTCTGTACCACGAGGTTAGGGCCCGGGCATCAGGTGGAGATCCACTCTGATCAGACCCTGAAGCCTGAACTTCGCTTTTTGAGGTCAGTTTCGAGCCTTGCTGGGATCCGGACCTCGTCTGCGCCTTCCAGCCGGGCTTCTACGGCGCCGCGCCAAGATCCCACTTCGCCCACTTTGCAGGACTTCGCACTGTCCGCGCCTCTCTCCGAGGCTACGGCAGCTGGGAGCCCAGTCTTCGAAGGGTCCTGGAGCTGAAGGCGCCCTTCCTCGTCGGCACCTCGGCCTCCTCCCCTTCGCAGGGTACAGACTTAGACTAGAGCTTAGAGCTTAGACTTTTATTCCGCGAAGGCCACGAGTTACAGCCACGAAGAGGCCGAAGAGGACGAGAACCGACCTGCACCGGAACTCTGCACGGATGACTTGTGATCATTAAGTCCCTCCGATGAATTCAAACGGCAAAAGAGCTCCCATGCCTGCTTGCAGAGTTAGTCCTGTCTACGCCAACATCTGCAGGATCAACACACTCTCTTGGAAGAGTTTGGGTGCGACCCCATGTGTGCCCAAGCCGCATAATGTCATTGCTCTCGGAAAGTGCTGCCAGCCAATGCTAGCTGCTACTTGTAGCCACTAAGACTAAGACTGCTTACGTACTCAGCAGTGCAGGCTGGGAGCCACCCGGCTGGCCTCCGGAGGCCAACGCCTTCGCATCTCCGCTGCGACGCGGAGAGCAGCAGGTGCGCGAAGATGCGTGAAGCATCTGCAATTCCACCGTCAAGCCTTGTCACTTTGCCGAAAGTCACCTCAGGAGCAGTGCTGCTGGCAATGCCTCGTGCCGCTAAGCTTGCGAAGAGAAGAAGGGACAGCAAAAAGCGGCAGGGCAAAAAAGGCCACGTGGCTTTGGTGACTCCATGCTCTTCTGCCCATCCGACCTTCGATTCCATGGATGTCTTTCTCGGCCTTTGCTAGATACTCAAAAGTTTCGCAAGCCAGGGGGCATGTTCCTTACAGACGATGGGCATGGAGAGAGCCTCGCTGCAGTAGGTCCGAGAGCCGTATGATACAACAAGCATCAGCCTGGCAATGATCTGCAGCTGACCAGAGCAGCATGCGATCAACCAGGCGTGCCGGGACAAGGCTGCATGTTTGGTCAGTGAAAGCTTGTACTTAGATGTGGTTCTGGATGAAGCGGGATACAGCAGTACTAGTGAGGGGCTCAAAATCCCGGATGTTCCCAGGAGCACCGCCGCCGCAGTTCGCTTCTCAGCTCACCTCCCGCCCAGCACACCTCGATGCCACGCCGCTTTACGAGTCCAAGAGCTGATCCGAGTCCCACTAGTCGCAGCATCCAAGGCCAGACGTGCCACGACGTCCTCGTCGGTTATGTGCAAGGTGGACATCCCATGTACGATCAGCTCATCTGTTCTCTAGCTGCTCCTGGCTGGTGACTGAAACTTGCATCAAGAATTCCCTGGCACTTCCTGGCTTGGTGCTAGGGCTTCAAGACGGCCGTTCGAGACGACCACTGTTCTGAGCGCTACAAAGCAGATTGCGCCAGACACGAGGACCATGAATGGGGTCTCTCTGGAACGGACAGGATGTTCCACACCGGCTGTGTCAGGAGAATCTTGGTCGAGTCCGGCAAAGTCTCCTGCAGCTCGCAGAGGAGTATGCGCCTTGTCGTTTCTTTTGTGTCATGCCACCTTGACGTCTCCAGCCTCTCTTGTCGGTAGCTTGGTGATGGGCCCTCGAACAAAAGAGTGACATGGAAACTCGTAAGCTCAGAGCTGCAGCACGAGAAGTCAGATACAACCCAGGCATCCCTTCTGGCATCTCAGCTGAAGTTGGGGTGTCTTCTAGTTGCGTGTTTTTTTAAGGCTCCTTATTGATATTGGGGTTCTGGTCTATAGCAGGAGGAATCCCCAAACGAGTTGAGAAGACGAAGCGTGTGGTATCGAGCCCAGGAGGCACAGGAGGCTGAGCACTTCGACTGGCTCTTTGCGTGGCATCAGCGGCTTCTGCGAAGCATCGCCGCTGTTGAAGGGAGCAGCTTTGGCACCAAGGGATTCAGATGCGGAAGCTTGAAAGTCCACTGTGCTGGCCGAGTGTGGATTGAAGAGAGGGGGGGCCCGCGTTTGGTGGATGCAGCAGATGCATGTGCGTGTGCATGTGTGAATATCAAGGTTCTGCAAGCAGCGATTGGCGGGAATTCAAGCGTAAAGCCTTCAAAGTGACGCAGGACCTCGGAGTGGCAGAGCCGAGTCATGAGGCTGACCTGAGCAGTGCGGCGCCAGGACGTTGCAGAGACAAAGAAAGCCGTGGCCGAGCATGCGGAAGCTCGAATCGGCAAACACACACGCTGAATCTGGGCCAAACTTCATGCTGTCTCCCTGCTGCCTGAGGAAGCTGTGCGTGTGCAGATGGATTGCCAGCAGCTGGAGGCGACCCACGTTTCCTGTCGATAAGCTGCCTTCGAAATTTGTCGGGAAAGGTCTGGATAACAGATAGAATGCTCATACTCGTAGTGCGTCTTGAAGACGCCGCGATCTAGTACCAGTCAGTTGGTGCCATGCCTTGGGGAGACTTTGCAGCTTCGCCTGCTGTCAAGTATCACGCTTGGAATGTCGATGCTTGGGATCTGCTGGTTCGTGATGATGGCACATTACCGGATATTACCGGTTTCAGGGTTCAGGGTTCATGACACCTGTTCAAGGGGTCCATCTGTACTGTAGGGCTTGCGGTGTAAACGGAGGATGCAGATTTAAACTGTGTGTACAACAGCTTTCGCTTTTTCTGTGCATGGCACCCAATGATTTGCCTAGTACCACAGGCACCAATGTGATGAGACATTCCCCCTCCAAGTCCTCACCAAGACAACCCGAAGTACTTCACTTCTGAATCCCCAAACCCTAAAACCATCATTGTCATTGTGCCTACTATGGTTGTTGTTACTACCCTTGCGATACTGCTGTGATTATTATTGAGCATTCTTGTTATTGCTGTTGCAGTTATGAATTATGAATATTGCTACTAGTGTTGCTGTACTTCGCAGCAGTACGATTGTTGCTATTGTTACTACTGCTCCTTCTCCTTCTTCTATTACGATCAGTACTATGTTCAGATTTTATTTCTTCTTTCTTTTACTACAGCCGTTCCTATTAATGGTAATAGTCCTACTACCATTGTAATTCTTCGCTTCAGCTGCTACCATTACCATTTTGATTGTTAATATTACTGCAGGTTTTAGTATTCTTGCTAGCTTAGTATGTCATAAGGACCACTAGTACTAAGGTCTTACCGATTACTAGACTTGCCATACTTTTCCTTAGGCACCCTAAACGCCAAACCCTACCTAAACCCGAATCCCTAATCCCTGAACCCCAATCCCTAAACCCTAATCTCTAATTCCTAAACCCTAATCCCTGATCTCTCATCCCTAAACCCCAGTCCCTAAACCCGAATCCTGAATCCCTGATCTGTTGTAAGGGTGATTAGTTGAGGCGAGGCATGTTTTCTGATGAGTTTAATCTTGCGGCCTCAGTAACAAGGTCCAGCCCCTCAGCCTACAAGGCCTTCCGACTAACCAACCGGGCAGAAGGAAAAGAGGGTTCAAAAAAAAAACAGGACCCTAATCTCTAATCCCTGATCCCCAATCCCTAAACCCCAATCCGTAAACCTTGATCCCTAATCCCTAAACCTTGAGCTTCCTGGCAGGCCCAGCTCCGGAAGACACGGCGCTGTCTGGCACAGCTCGCGGCGGCTCAGCAGCGAGGCAAAGAGGTCCCTTCTTCCGCCGAAAAGGTTTAAGGTTTAGGGGTTTAAGCTTTAGGGGATCAGGGTTTAGGGTTTAGGGTTTGCGGGTTTGGCGCTAAGGGTGTAGGGTAGTATCTGTTTAGGACTTTTTTAATTGGGGTCATGGTCTTGAGCTTGAAAAACGAGGATTGTGCACTACTCTGTTTATGGGGTTTTGCTGGGCTAGGCTTTAGGCATTTTAGGGTCTTTCAGCACAACATTGCGCGGAAAAATGTAGTTCAACACTACTAGATACGACTGTCACAAATGTGTGGTCACACCTGCTGATATAGCAACAGACTGTAAACATGGTAGTGCATGTGAACCCTTCCAAATGTATTCCCGAGAGGTAGACGCCATCAGGGCGTCATGTTCTGTTCAGTTATGGGTTCTGGGGTCATGTGACAATTATATACTTTATTTCCATCACCTCGAGGACAAGCACTGAAGGACATGCACATAATGCAGATGTGTATTTACCCTACAAGTCATTCCGTTGTCAAGTCGGTTCGCTTTGAGGCATTGCCTCTGACAGTCTGACTGCTTGGAGAGGGCTCCAACATGCAAAAGGCTCCAGTGCCACAACCCTAATTGATAGTGCAGAATTACTTGCGGGAGGAGTTCATTGCCTTTAAAAAGTCCGAGAGGATGTCCGGCAGCTGGCTGAGCAGAGGGCGCGGGGTGGACGCGGAGCTACAGAGGAGGAGGGGCTGAGGGCTAAGGGTCTTTTGGGTTAAGGAGTTTCAAGACACTGGCCGTTCGTCGGTGCTGTTGATTGTGTGCTTTAAGACGTAGAGCTTCGATTTGACCATCGCCACTCCCTTCATCTCTCTCTTTCAGTCCCAGCCTCTACTGGAGTTTCCAGAGGCTTCCTGAAAACTTACTTGGCCACTGAATTGCAGAAGCAACGAGGAACAGATCCGCACTCTTCCCCGAAATCCCACGAAGGGTGACTCTTCTGTTGGCGCCTGTCGAGGCCACCTCAAAGATGCTCTCATCTAATACTATTATTGATACTATTACTATGATTGATACTCTTACTATTATGATTATGATGGATACTACTACTTGCTACTCTTATTGCTTCGACTGCTATTATTGATACTGATACTCTTACTATTAGTTGCTACTCCTGTTGGTACTATCAGTACTACAGAAGTTCGGAGAAGTGTTCGCCTTTTTGTCGCAGGAGGCTCGTCGAAGCGAGCTGAAGACCTCGCTGGAGCGCCGCAGAAGGAAGGAGGAGCAGATCGAAAGGTCCCCGTTGGGTTTGGTTTTGCCGGGGTGGCGTCCCTAGAGTAGTCGTGATCTAGTCCTTGTGCGAGCATCCCTCCACCAGTCGTTGCAGCTTAGATTTGACATGGACAGGCTGCGCAGCACCACCTCAGAGGCAGCAAAGCAACTTGGTGGCATTCAGTCACAGCACAAAGCTCACAACTTGTGTGGCGATTCTGGATGCAGGAACTGCGCTGAGATGCGAGCTGAACTTGAGGAGATGAGGTCGCGGCTTTGTGTGCTGTCCACATCGAAGAAACCTGTTCAGTCCGGCAAGCACGGGTGAAGCCGTGCAGAGCCTATGCAAGGGGCTTTGTCATGATTGCTTCTGGGGCTTTCGACAGAACTGCCTATGGCCAGCTAGGAAGCACGACAGGTCACTTGCCAAGCCCATGCCTTCACATGTGCAGCTGGGCAGCAAGGAATCGTTAGCAACTCCCAGAAAGGAGAACAGCACACCGGAGGGAAGAAGTCAGGAAGTCTGACGTCTTTATTCTGGCTGAAGCCACCACGATCTAACCAGAAGTCTGATAAGTCAGCAGCTCAGTTTCACTGCTCTGCAGAAAGCTTGCTGTTTAATTCGATCTTGCCGAGTTCTGTTGACGTGACGAAATGACACGGAGGTAGGTCACCAAGTGCGAAGGGCGAAGGGAGGGCAGCGAAGAAGAAACCGAGCAGACAGAGACTAAGAGAGACTGAGGGTACTGATGCGCGACAGTAAGGCAATTTCTTGTTCGTAGATGTTTTGTCGGTCATGAAGCTGAGCTTCGCTCGACTCGTTCATTCCGAAACCCATCATCAGAGCTGGTTGAGGTACAAGATGCGAATGCAAAGGCTCAAGGCCAGCTGGCAGAAGTGCGTCTCATCCGGTACATGCACCTTTTCTTGAGAAGTCTTCGGTATGAAAACGGACGGGACGTGTTGTGCCTTGAAAGGCCGAGCTGATCCTTCAGAGAGACGAGCACCTGGTAAACACCCAGAAGGCCCTGGCCCTGGCCACCAGCCTTCCGGCTTTTCCGGGCTTTGGCTTAGACCGCTCTGGTGGGCCCTGAAAGCCTCGGCGAGGCGTGCCAGCTCTCGGAGGAAGCCCAGTGTGAACTCTTCAGGGAGGAATTGGCAGAGTTGCGGCGACGTTACCAGGACCGACCCGACCAGACGTGAAGCCTAGGCCTAAGCGCCTCCGCCCGGAGCCCTTCTTGAGATACCCAGGATCTCTCGAAGAAGCAGATGCTTGCCAAAGCGGACCTGCAGGAGGCTTCTTCTGTGCTAGCCAAAATTCCGAACCTTGGAGCGCAAGGTGTATAGAATGTAGCAGTGACAACACGTACGGCGCTCATCTGCTCAAGAAAGTTAATGGCTGCAGACCTATGCTGTTTCACTGCTGGTTCCTGCCTGAGTTCAAAAAGGGTCGTCCACCCATCTAGAATCTGCAAGAGTCAGGTCTCAGAAGTTGGCAAAAGGCCTCTTCAGCAAGATTTGTTCGATCGATTCAAGATTCTGTTCGTTCCAGAGCCTTAGGCCTTTGCACACAGTGCACTTGCCCCAACACGAAGCTCCAGAGCTACCCAGCTCTTCAGCGCAGTCTCGAGCGTGTTTGTAAGGACCGCCAGGAGCGCTGCTGCAACCCAGGTGCAAAAGGCTTGGCGCAACTTGGCAGCATGGGACTTCAACCGTCTCTCCCCTGGCTAAACCAACGAAGGAAGGGCGGAGCGTGTCATTTCGAGGTACTCCTCTTGCGAGCTCTTGGAAGGCAAAGGAGATGTTTGTATCACCCGGGAGCTTCCTCAGACAGATGTGTTCTCTTGGGTTTAAGCAACTGATACTCCTTTCATCGGTCCCTGGTGAGCCCAAGCGAATCCGCACACCTGAATCACCTGAAATCTGTAAGGCTGCTTCGTTTCTCCTGAGGTTGCAAGGCAGAGGTGTGGCAGCTGAAGGAGGCTCGGCGTGCGGCCGCAACTCTTCAGCGCCGCTCGGCCAGGAGTTCGCTACAGACGGAATTCAATTTCTACTGACTGGTGATGTAGTGAAGCCCCGGGATGGTTTCAATCGCAACCATGAGGACTCAAGTTTGGGCTTTGATGACAATGATGATCATGGTTAGTGCCTTTGCTTATGTTTCGTAGAGACAGCTGGCTGAAAGTCACCGAGGTGCCTGGCGAAGGACGTCGCGGCGACGTGCCGCCAATCGCGGTAGGCGTACCAAGCGAGCTCGTGGGTGGCTGCCATCCTATCTATACCCTAGGCCCTAGGTTTCCTGACAGGTTGTATGGACAGTAATGCACGCGCGAATGGAACGTTCAGCAGGTTTAGGTTCAGGGAACGTCGTCCTATCTGTGAGCCAGAATCGCCGCCTAAACTACTTTGAGCCAGTGTTGGCAGGCGGCGGGAGCATGCCAGGCGTCATGCGGCTGCCACAGCGCTTCAGTGCTCCTGGCGCGGCGTAAAGGCAAGACGGAAGCTGCTCCATGGCTAAGTAGGTAGTAAGTAGACTTAAAGGTACCCTAAAAGGCACCCTAATTGGGGTTAAGGTAGTTATAAGTCCCGTGTGTGTGTGCACGGAAGAAGCGAGGGGATTGGTGGGGTGCTCAGAGATCCGAGGTTCGAGCGCATAGAGCTGCGAGGCATTGAGGAGGAGGACGGTTGGACGGCGATGCAACCTTCCGTGGAGTGCAAGTTTTGTTATAGCGAACCTGCCAGGAGAGGGTGGGCGAGGATGATGAGCTCCCGGATTTCTTGTCACAGACAGGGCTCGGCACCTAGATGGAGTGCAGATTTCGCTGGTCTAGTCCGGAGGATGAAAGCGAGTCTCTGAGGCCAGAACACCCCTTCAGCCCTACGCAGATGGAAGCCGATTCTCTGATGGAGCTCACCGCTACAAGCCTGCAAGCTGTGAGTGTGCAAGGGCATGTCGTTGGCGTGGTGATGTCAAACAGCGTGGCCAAAATACATATTATCAGGATGGATGGCTGGGTGGATGGGTGGATGGATGGATGGATGGATGGATGGCTGGATGTACGGCCGGACGGACGGATGGACGGAGGGATGGATGGATGGATGGATGGATGGAGGGACGAACGCATGATTGATTGGCTGGCTGACTGACTCACTGAATGAATGCATGCATGAATGGAATGAGCGAAACGCATGCATGCATGTATGCTTGCATGTATGCATGTACTACAGTACTAACGTACCAACATACTCACGTACTATTGTACTACAATGTTACATTTAATGTATGAATGCATATATGTACTAAACTAGTGTATTCATGTATTGGTGCACTCGTGTACTAAATGTATCAACCTGTTGAGGCATCAATGCTTGTTGCATTGGTGTATCGATCAATGTGTTGATGTATTAATGTATTGAGTATTGACGTATTGTGTTGCATTGCCCTGCATGGCACTGCATGGCACTGCATTGCGCTGCCATGCAAAGGTGTATGTATGTACGTATGTATGTATGTGTGTATGTATGTACCTATGCATGTAATTCTGTAAGTACCGTGTTTGCAAATGTGTCTACGAGTCAGTATGTATGTGTGTGTATATGTTGGTATGTAGGCTGCGAAAGTCAGCAAGCAAGGAAGAAAACTCGGACGCAGCTGGACAATCACTGACAACACAAAAATGAACACAGGGGCCTAGCACTTACGAATGAGACTAGCAGCGAATGTATGCAGCAATCACTGAACAAACGGGCAGCGGAGTTACCTTTCTGCTTTGCCAGCTCAGGAGGACCAGAGCCCCTGCAGCCCCGGGGCCGCGAGTGAGGATGCCGAGGCTGGAAACACCGCACCTGCCCCTGACACCATCTGGCACTTGCACGAGATTTGCCTGAGGTGACTCCAGCTCCTGTGCACGACGACAGTAGCTCTGACTACGAAGACAACCCGAGAGGACTCGAAGAGGAGCGCCCCAAAGATTCGGAAGCGGAAACTCAAAGCCATGGCGTGGAGGTGCCAGGGGTGATCGAGAAAGGAGATGGGATTCCAGTCGCCACAGCACAAAGGACGCAAGAGAGCCCAGTTCCCAGGGACGAAAGCCCCAAGGACCGAGATCCAGACGTAGAACAGCCAGAACGAGACGCAGAGGTGCACAGCGAAGAAGACGAGGCTGCAGTGGATGAAGAGGTCGAAAGCCCCAAGGATCGTGATGCAGAAGGAGACGCAGAGGCGCAAAGAGAAGAAGACGAGGCTGCAGTGGATGAAGAGGTCGAAAGCCCCAAGGATCGTGATGCAGAAGGAGACGCAGAGGCGCAAAGCGAAGAAGACGAGGCTGCAGTGGATGAAGAGGTCGAAAGCCCCAAGGATCGTGATGCAGAAGGAGACGCAGAGGTGCGAAGCGAGGCAGATGAGCCTGCAGCGGGCGAAGAGGTCGAAACTCGCAAGGATCGTGATGCAGAAGGAGACGCAGAAGCGCAAGTCGAGAAAGACGAGCCTGCAGTGGAAGAGGTCGAAAGTCGCAAGGATCGTGATGCAGAAGGAGACGCAGAGGTGCGAAGCGAGGAAGACGAGCCGGCAGTGGGGGAAGAGGTCGAAAGTCGCAAAGATTGTGATGCAGAAGGAGACGTAGAGGTGCGAATCGAGGGAGATGAGCCTGCAGCGGGCGAAGAGGTCGAAAGTCGCAAGGACCGTGAGGCAGAAGCAGACGCAGAGGCGCAAATCGAGAAAGACGGGCCTGCAGTGGAAGAGGTCGAAAGTCGCAAGGACCGTGATGCAGAAGGAGACGCAGAGGTGCGAAGCGAGGAAGATGAGCCTGCAGCGGGCGAAGAGGCCGAAAGCCCCAAGGATCGTGACGCAGAAGGAGACGCAGAGGCGCAAAGCGAAGAAGACGAGGCTGCAGTGGGCGAAGAGGTCGAAAGTCGCAAGGACCGTGAGGCAGAAGGAGACGCAGAGGTGCGAAGCGAGGAAGATGAGCCTGCAGCGGGCGAAGAGGCCGAAAGCCCCAAGGATCATGACGCAGAAGGAGACGCAGAGGCGCAAAGCGAGAAAGATGAGCTTGCAGCTGGCGAAGAGGCCGAAAGCCCCAACGATCGTGACGAAGAAGGAGACGCAGAGGCGCAAAGCGAGGAAGATGAGGCTGCAGCGGGCGAAGAGGTCGAAGGTCACAAGGCTCGCGATGCAGAAGGAGACGCAGAGGCGCAAAGCGAGAAAGATGAGCTTGCAGCTGGCGAAGAGGCCGAAAGCCCCAAGGATCGTGACGAAGAAGGAGACGCAGAGGCGCAAAGCGAGGAAGATGAGGCTGCAGCGGGCGAAGAGGTCGAAGGTCACAAGGCTCGCGATGCAGAAGGAGACGCAGAGGCGCAAAGCGAGAAAGATGAGCTTGCAGCTGGCGAAGAGGCCGAAAGCCCCAAGGATCGTGACGAAGAAGGAGACGCAGAGGCGCAAAGCGAGGAAGATGAGGCTGCAGCGGGCGAAGAGGTCGAAGGTCACAAGGCTCGCGATGCAGAAGGAGACGCAGAGGCGCAAAGCGAGAAAGATGAGCTTGCAGCTGGCGAAGAGGCCGAAAGCCCCAAGGATCGTGACGAAGAAGGAGACGCAGAGGCGCAAAGCGAGGAAGATGAGGCTGCAGCGGGCGAAGAGGTCGAAGGTCACAAGGCTCGCGATGCAGAAGGAGACGCAGAGGCGCAAAGCGAGAAAGATGAGCTTGCAGCTGGCGAAGAGGCCGAAAGCCCCAAGGATCGTGACGAAGAAGGAGACGCAGGGGCGCAACACGAGAAAGAGGGGCCAACGGGTGAAGCGGATGCAGAGGCGCAAAGCGAGAAAGATGAGCCTGCAATTCGTGAAGATGTTGCAAACCACAAAGCTCCGTTTAACGAAGCTGATGTTCCAAGAAGTGCTAAAGCACACCAGGAGCTCGAGCAGTCGAAACACGATGCTGGTGAGGATGCCGCGAAGGCAGTGGCCACTGCCCACGCGGGACAAGACGGCGAAGAGGCGCTTGCTTCATCAGCTGGAGCAGCGGGCGATGTCGCTGTGCACCGCAAGGACTCTTCTGCAGTCCGACCATTCGAGGCCCACGAAGCAGCGGATCGAGACGAGCCGGACCGGAGACCTTCCGTACCGTCGCCCACCAGAACGCCGGCGCCCAAAGCACCAGCGGCAGCGCCGCCAGTGCGAGCCCCGGCGAGGCCGAAAGCGCAGAGTGGACCTCAGCGGCCTCCAGCAAGAGCTTCAAATGACTCGGACTCAGACGACTGAGCCAAGGGCCAAGTGTCCTTTGCCCGTTGGGTGCTCTCGAACAGAGCGCTGAGACCAACATCGACTCGTTATAGGGTGCCAGGTACCTGTATCGCCAGTGATCAAAGTCGGACGGCGACCCGCCCTTCGACACAGCACGGGGCCCCACGGGGCGTTTAGACTTGGGCACGGACCAGCGTACCAGAGACGAGCAAGGCGAAGGACGGCACATGGGTCCCATGACATGCCCGATGACATCCAAGGACCAAAGAGCACGTGACGTGTGGTGAGCGGCGAGCTTCCGAGCTCCAGCGCCACTGTTCCTTCCATCAAAGTTTGCAAGCAAGGCCCCCTAGGCCTGAGGTGCAGGTGCAGTGCTCGGCAGAAATCCTCCTGCACAATGTCAGAGCCGTCAGCATAGCATAGACTAATTAGCAGCCTCGTTTTGAATGGGCAGCATCCGCTGTGTGCAAACTGCACTTTTGTGGCGAGAAGGTGCCGCAACAAGTACTGCGTGTGCGTGTGTGTTTGCTTGTTTGTTTGTTTGTTTGTTTGGTTGTTGGTTTGTTTATTTGTTTGCGTGTGATTCAGTGAGTGAGTGAGTGAGTGAGTGTGTGTGTGTGTGTGTGTGTGTGTGTGTGCGTGTGTTTTGGGCGGTTTGACGCACTACTAGCACGATTGTGCATTGCTGAAGCCGTCTGCCTAGCGCGCAACCCCGAGCCAAGTCCTTTGGCCCATCAGCTAGAGACACTTGTGCGCCGCTCCTCGACATATGGCTCAAAGGGGCCAAGATAGGCCACAAGACAGAATTCTAAGACGTGGTCCATTACAAACCTAGGATCGGAGGAGTCCTACCAGTTTGTCCCGGCCCATCACCTGACTGATCGCCTGCAGCATCACATCGTGTGCTGGTGTAGGAGAAGCTGCATGGTCTCCTTGGGTGCAATGCAATTGCATGATATTCATAGTCGATGTCCAGGAGAAGCCGAAAATTAACGGAAGCTGTAATGTCGGTGGACGTAGTCGAGGTGCAGGTGTATTGCGCGATGGTTTCCCTGCAGCACCTCGATGATGTAGATTGCTCGGAGATGTCGAGTGTGCGGTTATGAGGGAGGATCTGCGAGGCCGTGCTGTCGCTCTGACGGACTGAGGCCGTGCTCGATGCCTGAGAATGACGGATGCTGAAGATGGGGTCCAGGACCGTTTCTCGAGTCTCGAGCGTTGCAGACAAGAGGAAGACGTCTTTGTCAGGGCAGTTTGTGACATCCTCTTTCTCGGGCTTCGCTCTTCCTCTACTCTCCACTACTTGATCCTACTCCAGAGGTGAATTGGAACCAAGACAGTGCGACAGATGCATGCTCAGGAGATCGGAAGGGCTTTGCGCGAACAAGGCCGGCACAAGCTATCATTGAAGCAGTTAGGAGTTACTTGCCAGTCAGTCTCGATACATAGATGAATAAAGTAGAGGTTTGAGCAGACCGGAGACTTGCTATAGTCTAAGGCATAGGTTCACCACTATCTGGATTGTTTCTTACTAGCAACCATTGGGATCAGGGCTGGGCCACCTATTCCACGTAGTTTCCTTCCTAGTTCAGTCCGGTAGACGTTATATGAATCAACCATACACAATATACAGAGAGACAGAAGAGCTTATACCTATACCACTGGCACCTGCACCACAATGCTAGAACAGACTTCAAACACGCTCGAAAAGTGAACGAGCAGCTAGCTGTCCACCACGAGCACCCTGAGGCCGAACTCTGCGAGAACAGTGGGCACCCTACAACAGGTACCAGACTGTGGCGGGAACACGAGAGTCAGACCCCGACACGTGGGAGTGGTGCGAAGCCACACGTTCATAGAGCTTAATTCCCGGGTATCCACCGCGGAAACGGTTTAAGCCTGGTTGGGACAACAGCTTTCTCCCGCATGACTCATCGCCAGCGATACAACTTGCACATCATGACCTGTGTATGTTATGTGTCCATACGCACACGGAGACTGCAAACATGCGTATGTTATAATGAATTTACGTATGCATGTATTGAGCCCTGCCCTTTTCAGAAGACATGCCGCATTTTCACGACACCACGGTTCAAAATATGTTTGAGAAACAGAGCTACGTTTTTTCAGCAACATGCAGCAGATGTCTCAGAACACAGTCAGGGTTTTTGTTATTTAGGGTTTGGTCGATAGGCATTTCCAGGCTTGGTATAAATGCGTGGGGTGGCCATGTGCACTTCCAGTGAAAATTACCAGGCTTGGTATGAATGCATATGCTTTGGGGTTTATGTTTAGCATTTCCAGGCTAGGTATAAATGCATGGGGTTCAGGGTTAGGGCCATCTGCGTTTCAGGCTTGGCATACATTCATAGGCTTTACAGTTTACGGTTTCGAACCATCTGCATTTCCAGGCTTGGTCCAAATGCATGCGGTTTAGGGTTTAAGGTCTACAAAGAACAGAATACAAAGATACAGCAATTCAAGGGTGGACTTTGGCGTTACAAGCCTATAGCGGCTATAGTGTCTTCACAGTATACACAGTCCGCGATGCAAATAAGATAGAGAAAATTTAGGGTGCCCTTTGGCGTAACAAGCTTGCAGTGTCCCTGAAACGTATAACGTCTTCAGTGTTTCAAACCTACTGCGGTTTAGCCACTGCGGCCTACGACCACATTTTGTCAACTTCGGCGGTTTGACCATTTAGTGTTTAGAACCCACTGCGGTCTAGCTACATCGGCCTGCAACCACATTTTTGCGAACACAGAATGAAGTGTTTAGGGTCATAAGCATTTCCAGGTTTGGCGTCATGTATAGGCTTTCGGGTTTAGGGTTTAAGGCCAAGTGCACTTCCAGGCTTGGTATAAATGCCTGGGGTTCAGGGTTTAGGGTGTAGGGCCCATGCCAACGAATTTCGGTGCGTCATATGCTTGAAGAATCCCGCGCTTGTTTTATCGAAAATGCGGGTGTTATTTCTGAAAATGTGCGTCATGTCTACAGATGGCATGTCACATATCCCATCAGGCCGTGGATATGTATGCATGTATGCATGTAGGCAGTTAGGTATGTATGTCTGTATGTATGTATGTATGAATGTATGTATGTATGCGCACATGCGAGATGTATCAGCAAGACAGCGACGGTATTTCTGATCACCATGTTCGTCCCCATCATCATCGTCGTCATCAGCATCACTTTCAATATCATGCTGACAAAGTGGTAGTTTGGAAAAGTTGCGTGTGCAAGTCCCACACATTGCAACCATGCAAGTCTTCGTATACTAGGTTCATAAACATCATCATCGTCATCAGCATACTCCCAATCCCCTGCACAAGAGCGAGGAGAGCGAACCGGTTGACATGCACAACCCCGGGTATGGAGAGTCGACAATGATAAACACTCCGGACATCTAAACCGAAGGATTCCAAAATTTGGGCATTTTTTGCATCTTTTGTTTGCAGATGGGAGGCCGACAGGTCCCCGAGCGCTACGCTCAGTTGCAAGCATCCCTGGACCAGGCGCAAGCTTTGTGGAATCGAAGGCTTAAGGTTGAAGGGGGTAGCGCTTAGACTATCTACTAAGATGTGTAGAGTAATGTCTGTCTGTGCGCGGCAAATATGTACACGCACATACGTACATGCATAGGGATACAAAAATAGATATTGTAAATAATTAACTACTATACATATAATGTATATATATATATATATACACATCGAGATATATAGCACTATATTCATGCGCGGCATCCGTGTTCATCTTCACACACGGAAAACGCTGTCAGTCTGTCTGTTTGTGTGTATGTATGTAGGTATGTCATGGCGGCGAGAGAACGCACGAGAAGCGCTCAGGCGCCGTAATTACTCCGTTCGCTGAGTTGCGGCCTCTTGTGCGGGCCCGATGGCCGCCGCTTGTGCAAGTTACCTTTACTTGCTTTATTTAGTTCCACCTGCTGGAATATAGTCGTAAGTCTTCGTTCTTACCTGGGTTCCTCCTCGCCCTCCTCCTCCTCTGCGGCTTCTTTGTAGCCTGTACTTCGGAAACCTACAGCACGCATGGTTGGCATGTAGGTGCGTATGTGTTGATGTATTTCACGTCGATATGTCCCGCAGTGGGAGAAGAGCTGTTTTGCATTGCACAATCTGGCCAGGCAAGACCCGTCTCCGTGGACGGAAGAGGAGCCAGTGGGATCAGTGACGTGTTCTAGCTTACCGAAAGCTTCTAATCTAGGAAAGTAATCATCAGCACAGCAACTGGATGCTGCCAGGACTCTCAGCTGCTGCGGAGGACTGCGCGTTAGGGTGAAATGCCAAAATGCCCAGTCCCGGTACACATGCCTCCAAGCGCTCCAGGTAGCCAGCTGTGATTTGTGGATTCCTTTCACCTAGACTGACACAGCCGCCGAAACTCGCACGCGCCGTGGTGACTCCATGCCAAGAGGATCAGACCAGTGCGGAACAAGGCAGGGGGGTTTGGAGACGGCATGATGGATTCGAACCCTCGACACGAATGCTGTTTTATACTAGTTAAAGTTCCAGAGAGAATCGCAATGTCCAGCGAAGAGATGGTCAAAGCGGATTAAGCCGCTCGAAAATCAACTTCATGGCCTACACCGCGAGCTGGACGGGTCGAAGTCTTGGACAAGCAGCTCAGCCACAAGCAGAATCACGATCCGAAATACCTTGCATCGAATTGAGTGCATACAACGGTGCTTGGCGGTTCATCATTCGTCATACCAGTCGGATGGCCCGCGAGGTTGGGCGATCCTTACCAGCGGCGCACTCCACCGACACCGTCAGGGGCGTGCACGGGCTCACCCCCCAGAGCAGGTTACGTAGTGTTTTGCGCGTGTTTGCGGCAGGCAGGGCTACAACAACTACTACTACTGCTACTACTACTGCTACTGCTACTGCTACTGCTACTGCTGCTACTACTACTACTACTACTACTACTACTACTACTACCACCACTACTACTACTACTACTACTACTACTACTACTACTACTACCACAACTACTCCTGGTACTGCTACTGCTATTGTTACTGCTCCGACTAATCCAGACGGAGGTACCATCAAGCCTACTGGCACCCATAGATGTCGTTTCGTAACATGGAACACTAGCGGGCTTACAGTAGCAAAACTGGCTGAGGTAGAAGCCTGGTTGGAGAGCTGTCATTCTAGAGGATCAACAATTCATGTATGCGTCTTGACCGAGTCGCATTGGTCGTTCACCTCTGAGTGGGCCCTAGCCTCTTATCATGTTGTGCACTCTGGATTGAGCAACCGGCGTGCTGGAATTTTAGCTCTCATCCACAAGCAATACATGCCAGGAACAGCGATACGCTTCTCCGAACCTCTGCCGGGACGCCTCCTGCAACTCAGGCTGGAATCCAACCCCGCGACTTATGTGATTTGCACATACCAACATGTCTGGAATGATGCCAAAGGCCTCGAATCGTGTCTTGAATCCCGCGAAGAATTCTGGCAAGCACTCGCCTCCACCATCCGGGGCGTACCGTGGAGGGCACAACTTGTGGTAACCGGCGATCTTAATACACCGGTCCTTCCCAAAATGCCATGGGTGGGTCCAGGAGTTCCAGCACTCCAAAGCCCTCCCAGACAGACGGACCAGCCAAGGCTACAAAATCTCATTGAGCAATTTAACTTGACAGTTCTCAATTCTTGGGGCAGACAAAAACACAGCTTTACTTACCTCTTTGAGACCAGTAAGATTGTTCAGAGAACGCAGATAGACTATTTCCTGAGTCGCTCCCGTGATGTGGACATGCTGGCCAAGGCTGCTAGGACAGTCGATGCGCCCTTTGTCCCTAGGAAAGGTATGAGGCATCTTCCGATCATGGTGACCATGCCACTCCCCAAGCTCTCATGTGCGGGTTCCAAAAGAGCCCCTCCTCTGACTGCAGCGGAGGTAAATAACTCTCTGCACCACGACCCCACTCTAGCTGAGCGCTTTAAGCAACAGGTGGATGCTCTCATGCCACCCACAATTGTGGGAGACTCAGCTATGGTGTTAAACAGAGTACTGCACCAAGCCTGGCAGAATGTTCGACCCAAAGCTGCTCGTCCCGTTGTCACAGACACATCAGACACGCGTGGCCTTATACGGCAGCTGTGGGATCTTCGCAGGGCACAAGCCAAGCCTCCAGGCAACCACTCAGTCCTGCGAGGCTGGTTCCAAGCAGCCAGACTGCAACGAGTCCAGCGCCTACTCCGCAAGGCTTGTGTAGCCAAGAAACGTGCAAGAGTTGACTCACTGCTCACAGAAGCTGAAAACTCCAAGCAGCCATCAGCAATTTTCAGTGTGACCCGAAAGCTTGCCCCAAAAGTTCGGACTATGCGGATTCAACTAAGGGATAAGGATGGTAGACTCTTGGCAGGCCCTGAAGAATCAGAACAAATTGCGATTTTTCTCCGGCAGGTCTTTGGCAGTCAGCATATCCGCGAGGCCCCCCACCATCCCGCATTTCAGCCTGTACAATTTACTGACTCCGATCTGCTTCGGGCCTTGTTGCATCTAGGCAACACAAAAGCACTCCCCTCGTCCTATGCTCCAGCCAGCCTATGGAAACTAGCCCCAGATCAGGTCACTCAGGCCCTTCTTCCTGTAATTAATCAGGCGTCGTCCTCCACCATGCATGCCAGCTGGCATGAGGTCCAGCTCTACCTCATCCCAAAAGTGCAGATTGTGAAAGAACCCAAACACCTCCGACCCATAGCTTTGCTGCATCCTGGCAACAAGCTCTGGGCTGCCATGCTGGCCACTAAATTGAAGGATAAAGTCGCCTTGTATCTACAAGAGGTTCCACAATGGGCATACCTGACCTCCCGATCCACTGCCGATGCACTCACTGCCGTCTGCTCGCATCTTCATCAGGTACGGGAAATGCTGGCGGCTGCTAGCAAGTCGCATCCTCATCGGTTCCAGGGGGCTGCACAGCCCAGCATGGTAGGGGGCATATCCATCAGCTTAGATGTAAAAAAGGCCTTTGATAGCCTAAGACATGACTTTCTAGCCGAGGCAATGAGGGAGGCAGAATTCACGGACTCTGAAATTCAGACAGTACTCTTTCTGCACAGTCAAGCGTGTCTCCGAGTTGGATGCCCTGAACATGAAGTATCGGTCTTTCTCCAGACAGGAATCAGACAAGGATGTTCGCTATCACCGATTCTATGGGCACTCGCCACAGGAAGGTTCTACCGCCTATTCATGCAATCCCTCCGTGCAAACCAGATGCCAGCAGGTACCATCAACTTGTTTGCAGATGATGTATTTGGCAGTTGGAAGTTTCATAGCCCCGAAGACTTCAAGCTCTCTGTGCGGGCTTTAGGCATCCTAGTGCACACACTCCAGCAGATTGGACTGGATCTAAGCAAAGAGAAGACGGTCATACTGCTTGCAGCAACGGGTACTAGTGCCCCATCGGTCCTCTCCCGGTACAAGGCTACAATTGACAAAGTGGTTCACCTTAAGATTCCGGTCGGTAGAACTAAACTTGCTTTTCGCATTGTCGCCTCCCATAAGTACTTAGGAGCCCACATCTCGTACCAAGGTTTTGAGCTGCTCAACCTCAAACACCGACTGCAGGTTGCATGGGGCAGCTTTTGGAGGCTACATCACATTCTTATCAATCGCAAGCTTAATTTACGCACGAGGGTAAAGCTTTGGCAGGTATGTGTCTTCAGTGTACTGCGATACTCTCTTCACAGCGTGGGCCTACCAACCCAAGGCAGCACCATGATCAAGCAAGCAGTCAACAGACAACTTCGCCTTATTGCCAGATCTCCTGCACATCTCTGGCATGTCCCCTCAGAAGACATATTGGCCAGGTTGAGGGTGGAGGATCCCTGGTGCACACTCTGTCGACAGCTTCCGACAGCTGCCATGAGGCCAGCCCTCCTCTGCAAGAACAAAGCAGTCCAGACCTGGCTAGTGCGGGTACAAGGCATGTTTCAACTATCTGTGGAGTCAGCCTCGGACCCAGGACCCACACTGCATATTGCATCCTCCTCTACCACTTCGCCCCATCATACCGCGACTCAGGTCTCAATGGAGGATCGTCGCCTCCACTCATACCGCCAGCTTCAGTGTCAGGTTTGTGGGCAGTCCTTCGACTCTCTAGGGGCTCTTCGTCGTCATGCGGCACATGCACACAAGCAAGAAACCAAACAACAGGATCAGCCAAAGGCAGTGGAACAGACCTCCTCAGTCGGCAATTCGAGCTCGCAGGTCAAGCACCAAGCCCCAGTCACACAAATACTTACAGAAGGTCTGCACTACATGCAATCCCGCCGCAATGTACAGGTGCACGAGACAGATCCACTGCTCCCTGTGGGAATCCACTCGAGTCTAGCTGGGGCTTATCCTCAGACCAGATTTGTGTGGCTGCACTCGAGGTCGGGCATGTGCATTTGCAGGCATTGCACCCGTGAATGCAACACATGGGATGACCTTAAGGTTCATGTGTTCACTAAAGCTTGCCCCATCTTGTTTCCCAACGGCCTGGATCGAGCAGAGGTTTCACCCTCGGCAAATGCACTAGGGACATACTGGGAAGTAAAGCTCAGCGGGCACATCGACTGCACTTGGGAGGAGCTGGCAACTTACCTGTGCCGAACCAAAAAGGACGCGCATCAGTACTGCCCGCTCTGTAACCAAGGCCTAGTCAAATCTAAAGGCATCACACAGCATCTGCAAGCCTTTCATGCTTGGGCACTGCCAGCTTTGACTACTGCTCGGGAGCACAGCAGGGCTCATTGCAAGAGTTTAGCGCTGACCTCTCCCTGTCGCCTTTGCTCCAAGGCCTATAAGTGTCATCACACTCAGCATGCAGCCACATGTGCCATGATCCTTCATGCCAAGCTTGTGTTGCTACTGCATCATTTGCAGGTCACTCAGGATGGACTTGGAAGGAGTCTCGAGGGACGACTTGATGCAAGCAGCAGCAGAGCTCCAGCACTTACAAACTATGGCTTTGCAAGGCGAGGACTTTGCAATCAGCAGGCAGTCCACTCGGCCCCAGCAACGGATGGATTCCACCCGTCACACTCCGACTCCGGAGGTTTTCCCACTCATGAGCGAGACCGAGGAACAGCCTCAACAGAAGTACAATCGCCCAAATGGCAAAGGCATGGATGTTGGGAAGGGTCCATCCACTTCCACCAGGGGAACCGGCAGGCGACCCCTCTTTCCCCCAGCCCAAAGCAGTCAGACGCCTCCCCAGAGGGGCCAGCGAAGGCCCTACCCGTCCGGCTCACCACAGCTGCCACACAACGGCAGTGCACCCTCCGGGAACTCTTCGTCCAGCCTGGTGACCAGTGTGGCACGTCTGCTGTTGAGGCACGAAGACATTTTGACGGGGTTAGCGCAAAACACAACATGGATCATGTTTCAGGGGACGGCCCCTCCCTTGACTCCCATCCCAGCACAGATGCGAATCGGAGAGCAATGGCAACTGACAAAACAAGAGTCACCAGCTGCCCTGAAACACCCCTTGAGGACAGTCCTGTTTCAAACGTGGTTGACAGAGCTGAAGCAGCGTGTGGAGGAGCTCAGCACGGACCCCACCAGGCGTCAAGAGGCCATTCGGCTTCAAGCGCTCTCGGAAACCAACGAGTTCTACTACAAGAAGTGGAACAGCAGCAAGAAGGCTCTAGAGAACGTTACAGACAGAGTCCCCTTGAAGGCAGAAGAGGTACTGAGCTTGATCAACGAAGCGATCGTGCTCAGCACTCTGGAAGACATCTTGATCAACTACAATCCGACGAAGCAGTTGCTCCCAGAAATGCCAGGGCCGACAGTAACGTTCTCGCTAGTCGTAGGACTCCGAGACCCTCGAGCCTATCGCCTATGGACGGTGATAGAGACTCTCTCGGGAAGTGGTGCGTTGATGTTGGTAGCGACAACATTGAGAAGGGAACGCCGGGCGAGATCGCAGCTCGCTCAAGCTGTGGCGCAAGACCTACGCCGCCTGTCCCTAGGCTTAACTGTACTCGTATCGTCCTTGCAAACCACTCAAACGATTGCTATGCAAATGCAACCTTACTCTCCTACCTCTGGACCTCCCAACAATATCAGCCATCAGAGGTCGGCATGAATGCCCATCTCTACGCTGATCTTCAGGCCTGTCTGAATCAGCACCAGCTCTATCCAGTTCATATCTGGAGCCGCCCCAGATGGCAACGATGTCTCAGGCATTGGCCACACTGCGGACGTCAGCAGGATGCTGCTGATTTTCTCACACACGTGCAGCAGGCCGCCGGATTCACACACTTAGAGGGCTCATGGGCGGTTCTTTCAGAGGGCTGTTTAAGAGATCAGGGGAGTGTATGCCCAACCGTGCTCACCTGCGACCTTGAGGAGATCACACAGGTTCGGAACATGTGTCCGCTGCAAAGCATCGTCAACTACTGGCACTCAACAAATCCCAGTCCAGTCTTCGTGGCAGGCACTCGATGCATTGCTCTTCAGCTGAACCGGTTCAGGACGGTAGATAGGACAATCAAGAAATCCTTAGTCCCCGTCACACTGCCGCTAAAACTCAGCCTCCCCACCTGGGTCGAAGGTCAGCTAAACCACACTGAGTACACGCTTAGTGCAGCCCTAGTCCACCTCGGGAATACTCCCCACTCGGGCCATTACAGAGCCCTGCTAGTTGAACCAAAACATGCGTGCCATCGCTAGGCGGACGAGACCTCTCCGCTGCGAATTGAAGTGAAGTGAAAGTACTACTACTACTACTACTACTACTACTACTACTACTACTACTACTACTACTACTACTACTACTACTACTACTACTACTACTACTACTACTATACTACGACTTGCGACCGATTCGCGAGAGCAGCTCTCTTTGGCTCTTTTCTCGAGGCGATGCTGCGAGGGATCTTCAAGGAGCCCCCAAGCTTCAGTGCAGATCTTCCTTGTGCTGCCCAAAGCGGCCACTGAAGCCACTCTTAAGCCTGTGTCCCGGAGGATGGAAAGAAAGGGCGCAAGGAGGCGGCAGAACACGAGGTGCAGCGGGGCTCGACGCGAACAACTTCCCAACCTCGATGCTTCCCTGTCCAGGAAGCACGCCAGAAGCGCCTGGAAACAGTGCGCCGCTGTCAGAAGACCTTTATCGTGGCACTGCCTCAAATCAAAGTGTCCAAAGCTGTTGAATAAACTCACTGTCGGGATATGCCAGGATTCATCGGATTTTCGAGGTTTCCGTGTCGATGTTGGGATGAGACCCAGTCGCAGGTCTGGAAAAACTCCGTGACATGGAGCGGCAGGTGTAAAGTCAATCATATCTCCGACAAGGTAAGGTCCTGAGTAGGCAGCTTGGCTAAACAGCACAACTAGCCAGCAGCTCGCTGTCTATCCGTCCGGCTGGCTGGCTGCCTGCCTGGCTGTCTGTCTGTCTAGAGGGTAGAACTAAAGTGGACCTAAACTCTAAATCCTGCACCCAAAGACCTGGCAACTATCCTGAATCCTCAACTCTAAGCCGCACGCGCCCTCAAACGCCGCCTACACTGCACCCTCATAGGAGGCCGAAAGGTGTTTTAGCCTATGGGGGTTTAGTAGGGATGAGGGTCCCCATAATACCCAAGAATCTTAAAACCCCCCCTTTTGGCCTCCCATCACACCCTCAGCCTTGAGCGCGGTCTGTTCCTGGCCTCAGTTCCAGGTCTGCGACTGGTGGAGCCTCCTGGCTGCTGGTCTCCTCAGGCCCTGGCTTCTGTTGCTTGTAGCCTTTGAAATAGTGGTAGAGGTGGCGGTTGAGTATGAGGAGTAGTAGTAGTAGTAGTAGTAGTAGTAGTAGTAGGAGTAGTAGTAGGAGTAGGAGTTGGAGTTGGAGGAGGAAGAGGAGCAGGAGTAGGAGCAGGAGCAGGAGCAGGAGCAGGAGCAGGAGCAGGAGCAGGAGCAGCAGTAGTACCAGTAGTGGTAGTAGTCGTCGTCGTCCAGGGCAACATCAGCGAGAGAGATTGCGTGGTTCTGGGTGTTTGCAGCTGTTTGCCGGATACACCGAAGCATGGCGCCAGATGCAAGCCAGCCGATCCCTACAAACTCTGCAGTTATTCTGCCCACCTTTTTCTGCCCCCGCAGCAAAGATAGCTAAAGACTGTTCGCCAGGCTCGCAGCTGCTAGCCACAACCAGCAAAGTCCACTTCCACCCCCAACCCAAAGCCGCCCTGCGAACTCCATGAACTCTCTTTCGCTGCCATCCCTCACCCGCGCTGCTGGATCGCGGGCCGGGACGGGGCGCGGGGACCGACTGCGGAGGCTCGCATGATTTCGTTGGAGTCGGCCCTTGGAATTTTGCTTTTTTGCAGTTCTCCGGCTCTTTGGGGCAACCAGAAACCGAAGTCTCACAAGGCGATGCTACCTCGTCCTGCTGGCCCTGTGCGGCCTCAGCTTGGTCACTCGGACGCCTTATGCCTTGAAGGACAAAGGAGATACTCAGGCGGTCTCATACCGTTGTCAGGCTCCAATAAGTTTGAGGACTTTCGCATCGCCCGGAAGAGCGCATGCACATGGCCTTGTTTCTATGATTTTCGATGTGCTGTCAAGCTATGCCTCATCAACAGTGACCAAGGCTCGTGCCTGCACAGCCTTCATCGGCAGTAGGCTCGGAGCTTTGCTTGGGGGTTGTCAAGCGCTCCTTCGGGATAAGTTCGGAAACTCTTGATCACCCACGCACTCCACCATGGCATGTATGTGCATGTGTGGCAGTCGCACGGGGCAACGCAACCAATGGTATTTGTGACTTTGGCAGTGGCGCCTGTCGGCTCTTCTTATCTCCAGGAAGCCCAACGCCACGACAAGCCTGCAGAGAGCTGCGGAAGCCGAGGTGGGATTTTCAGGGCAGGGCAGTGAAGAAGGGCTGTGTTGAGCTGAAGGCCGGCTTTCAGCTTTACGCCATGCGCGACACGACAGTATTGTACTTATCCTCACGGCCACCACCCATGATTACGAGAACTGTGCCATATTCTGGCTATCACAGCTTTCGGCTAGAACAGCAGTTACGTTCGGTTTTCCTCAGCAAGATTCTGTAGGCTGACCCAAGCAGAGAAGCAAAAGTGCAGTTCAACAGCCAAACGTGTATTTGAAGGAATGTGTGTTTATGCCTATGTATGTATATGTGTGTATATATATAATATGATATAGGTAATGGAGTAGAACATAATATTCAAGAATGGCCTGCAATGTACTAAAATAGAGTACAATAGAAAAAGAATGCATAGAAAAGAGTACAATGCCAGGCAATGGTATGTTATGTTACGTTATGCTGTCATGCTATATGGTTCTATGTACGCATGTATGTAATGTATTATATACATATGTCTACAGATATATCCACATGTATATCTATATCCAGATCTACATCAATATCTCTATCTCTGTCTATACTTATATCTATTTCTACATATCTTAGTACTGTGGCATTCATTGTCGCATGTTGCCTGCGGTCTTGCTCGAGTTCTTGGTCTTGCGGCTGCTTTGTCTCCCACCCCCGACCCTGCAAGCGACGAGAGTCCCCAGAGGATATTGCACTGTGCGGCACATACTTGGAATGTTTCTTGTGTTTGTATGTTTGAGGCTCTGATTTGTGCCTGACTGCCAGCCCACTGTATGGTGCAAGGTTTGATTCGAGTCTCACCCGCCACCACCATACTCGAGTTTATTAACCATACATACATCTATGTCATTTGCGTGTCTGTGCATGTATATGTATATATATATATATACATACACATACATGTATATACATATAATATGTTTATATAGAAAGAGGTGTCTATGTATATCTCTCTATATATATATGTATAGGTGGTTGTATGTATACACATAGTTCATATGTCTATGTAAATATCAATATGCAAACATGTAGCGAACTAAAACAAGCAAACAAGTGTATGTAGTACCTTTGTGTACGTATATGTCTAACGCCCTACGTATATGTTTTTGGTATGTACATTGTTGTCCTCGAGCATGTCCCGTGAGTGGTGTTGAAAACAGCATCGACAGGCTGCATCTGTGAGTGGCCGAGGTGGCGACAAAGCCGCCCAAAGGAAATTGGTTTGAAGAGACAAAGGCGCGCCGTGGTGGACAAGCTGTATTTGCTGAATAGAGAGATCTTCGGTAGGGATTCTTTCGCGAAAGGGGGTTCATGAATCAGGGGTCTTCAGTATGTCCGTGCATGATGCTCGCGTCGCTTTTCGTCTTTTTGCCTGCCACCACGCTGTCAACAAAGCTTCGCCAATGTGGGATACTCGAGCCTGGCATTTCAACGGGACCGGGGCCGAAGGCCCTCTGGCACATTCGCCGGACGTCCATGACCGGATCAGATTGCCAATGTCCCGACTCATTGCTCGTCTCTTCAATGGTGGCTAGTGATGCATGGACATGCTCGCATCAGAGACTGCAGCGTGTTCGAGGGTTGTGTCTCTGCAATCGCAGGCATTCTGGGATGACCTGGAAGTCTTCATGCCCCTCGATGAGGTGCTCCGAATGCTTGTGGGCTTGCCAGATTTTGCTAGATTGGTTGCTGATCAGACCTGCTGGTTCCTGCATCACCCACGCACATGAGGATACGGCCCCAGAAGCCAAAGCGCTCCTGAACCAGACGGAGCACCTCGCAAGCGGTGCGTCAGTCTTGAACGGATCTGAAGAGTCCACTTCGATCTCATCAGAGTTTGTAAAACATGCATCTTGTGCATGCATGGTGCGCGTCCCAGGAAGGTCGAGCGCATGACCGCGGAGCAGGAGGGCCCTGAAACAAGGATGTCAGATATCCCAGGGTTCCGGCATTTTGGAGACTCTTGACCGTGCAGCGTAAAACCGGTCATGATGCTTCTACCACATAAGAGGCAGCCTGCTTGCAATATTACCTATGCATGTAACGCATGGGTGCTGCCGGAGCCGTTTCTTTCGTCCTGTCCTTGAGGAGGCTGTCCTCGCCAAGAAGTCTTACCTTCGTGGGAAGTCTGACGAAGCCTTGGGTGAAGAGCTGAACAAGCTGCAGAGCCTCTCGTACGAGCGCCTTGGGCTCCATCAAGTCGTGGCCCGGGTTGATCTGGATCTTTGAAATTCGCACCTGAATTCGGATGGCATGCGAAAGTCCTTGAGAAAATGCAAGTAGGCAGGAGGTTATGACACAGGTCCGACCTTCGAAAGCCTCCATTCCTTGTCTACGCATCCAGTGTAGTAGCGCAGGTATTGGAAGATGCGCGTCTACAGGCCCGCCGCAAGCGGTACAGTTCGCGGATGTTTTCAGCAATCCTGCAAGCTTCAGCCCGTGTCACCCGTAATGCTTCCCCTATGGAAGAGGGGTTTTCAGCGGTGCCGACATGAAGATCTCACCGTCGAATCTGCAGATGTCCTAGTGCCAGCAGGGTCTTCAGCAAGGAGTCCGTGAAGGAGGGCTTTGCGCGGGACTTAGTGGGTTTAGGGTTACGTTTTTTAGGGTTTAGGGTTTAGGGGCGATTCCGTCACGACGCTTGCAGCTCGGCGAAGGTAAGCTTTCTCACTTACGGCAATGCAATTTTCATCTTGATTTTCCTGCGCACCGTGGTGCCACGGCTGCTAGTGAGGCTCGGCTCTAATGGCCATGGCGAAGTTACTTCAGGAATTCAGTGGATTCAGGACTTAAAGCAGCTCTTGTGAGCATCGTGTGCCATTCTCAGGATATCGTCTCTGGACGATTTCTTCGGTTTCGCTAACGAGATTGGTGTGCCCAACAGGCAGACCCTGAACGAAACTTGGTCCGGTCTCAGTCAGTTTACGGAGATTGCTTGCAGTTGTTTCCATGCAGCAGTCTCCATGTTAAGATTCCCGACTGCCACGGCTCCACACTGTGATGTAAGGGCTGATTTAGATAAATGCTGGCATGCGTGCTGTCACAGTCAGCCGGGCCCACTGTGACACATGTTTGCGCCGAGGATGTGATTCGAAACATTTCGAGTTACGACACACTCTTCAAAGCTCTTATTTACACAGTCGCCTTCATCGCCGAGAAGCTGACGCTGTTGATCACTTAGTTTCCCTGTGCCGGCAGACAGCTGGCATGCGCAATGAAGCTGCAAAGAGCCTTGAGCATGATGTGCGGACTGAGGATTTCTGAAATCCTGCCGGTTCAGGTGGCCTTGAAGACGATGTCCCCAGCTGCTGGGATCAATAGCGAGTATCATAGCAACATGGATAGCAGATTCAATCGTAACAGCCAGTCTAATTCATACTAGTTGCACTTGGGTTTCCTTAAATTGGCCTTTCCTGTCGGTGAAGCCTCCGAACAAACAGCTCTTCAAGTACATCCCTGTCACTTTTAGGTTGTCTTTGGTGGCCTCATCCCTGGCGCGCTGATCTCCGCAACCTGTGAAACAGTGGGCGCCACCGTCTCTTGCTTGCAGGACTTGAGTCTTCAGAACTTGGCAGGCAAGGGCTTCGGAGTTGAGATGAGTTGAGTGGCTGCGAATCGTGTGAACGCCATGCATTGCAGCAATTCTCGCCGGGTTCCGGAGACTGGAGCCAACTCAGGTGAATTTCTTCATCGGCCGCACGTTCTTCTTTCAGCGCGGCTTGGCAGAGCTCTTGCATGGCGACTTCAAGTCTTTCGGGGTTTCGGTGCTCCCGAGCTGCATCTTTGAAAGCATCTCCGCAGGTCTGCGAGACTTTCAGCTTCCCGGTGAGCCCAAGCTGGGAGATGCTCCCTGGTTCGGCAGGCTGAAGCCGCTGAAGCCGCTTGCATGCATCCATGGGACGGTCCAGGTTTTGTCGGTGACCTTGGAAGGCTCGAGCGTGCCGCCGAGAAGGAGGGCTTGAAGATGACTCTTCTGCGGCTCCCTTAGCTCAGGATGCAAGAATGCAACAGTGCATGTATATACTAGGCTTGGCAAATCTCCCCAGAGTCTTTCAGTCTTCCGGAGTCATTTCCAGATTTCGTATCATGCGGGGCAGAAGTTGGGAATCATGCTTTGTGGCGGTGATCTGTCTGCTTGCTTCAGAATCCTCTTGTCCTGCGCAAGGCAGAGTCTTTTCCCGTAATTACTCTGAAGCCTCAGCCCTTCAGCTGGGTTAGGACAGATTGAAGACCTGCAGAATGCAGATTTCCCAAAGAAAGCCAGGATGTCACGCGAGGCGCAGACCTCCGTTTCAGAGTAAAAATAGCACCATGAGCCCAGGCTGCGCCTTTCCCACATTCTCCCAGTGCCCTTCGACTCCTACTGGTACATCCTGGGGGCGCTCCCTGTTGGTCACCGAGCCGGAGTTTGTGCTGGGATTATGTCGCATACGGTGAAGTATCAGGTAGTACAGAAGCGAGATCCTCTATCATCATCATCATCATCATCACCATCACCATCGCTTATTGTTATTGCCATAACCATCATCAGCATCATCATCATCGTCATCCTCATCCCATACTCGTCTTAAACCTCCTCATCATCAACCTCATCCACATCATCATCACCATCTCCATCACCATCGTCATCAACATGCCAGTCGTTTACACCATCATCATCGCCATCAGCATCATCATCATCATCATCATCATCATCACCAGCTTCATCACCACCGGCTTCATCACCACCGTCACCATCACCATCACCATCATCACCGTCATCACCATCAGAACCGCCATCACCGTCCTCGTCCCCTCATCATCATCGTGATCGTCAGCATGGTCATCATCATCATCATCGTCATCATCACCATCATTGTCGTTCTATTCGTCATCATGAGTATCACGGGTTGGCAATCATTCGGCTAGGCTTTGCAGGTCCGTGCTGCACGAGACGTGAGTTTGTTTTCAGCAGGTTTTGCAAACTGCTGCACGCATCCCAAAGTTAAAGTCCTGGAGAACAGTCATTTTGAGGCGTGCCGGAGTTTATCGTGGCGCACTGGGTGGGCTGCCTGAAGACTGCCTTCCTCGACGCATCACTCGGACTTCTGCTGCTCACGTGTGGGCCTCAGAGGGCTTGGCGTGAAATTTTGAGGGTATGCGGTTTTGGGCGTTTAGGCCATTGAGTTCAACATTTCGGGAAACAAAGTCTGCAAGCAGGACAACATTCAACACCATATAGCATCCCGATGGTGCACCGCAGAATTGCAGCACATGCCGATATGACGCTTAATTAATTCTACTCGGCAGAACAGGTAGATCTCTCCGGTGCGTGCATCTGTAGACAGGGCTCAGATAGGCATGCATGCATACATGATATTTGTGTAGTACTGAGTTGCAGTTATGTAGCATGGAGAGAAGTGTAATTATGCAGTGTCTACCTACATATTCTACGTACACACAGGCAACATTGTAGAGCAAAGCTACTCGCTCGGCCCGGTCTTCTCCACCGGTCGACTCCGATGGACTTGCTCTCCGCAAAGTACAACTGCCAGCTCAGCAGGGCTTGATTGCCAGGTCGGTCGTTAACCTCGAGGAAGGGGCTGAGAAGCAGAACATCATTGTTGCCGAGTCTGCTCTTTGGCAACATTCCGACATGCACACGTCGTGTCAAAGCGAAAGCACTGCGAACACCAGCGATTGCTGAATTCCACGTCCAGGTCGGCTTTGCGCTGGTTGCTCTGCTGGTGCCTGTCCGAAATAAATCGTTGCGCTCAATGACAAGACACCGTATCCAAGTGCAGCCCAGGTGCAGACCTTCGCCACCGGGCTGGTCAAAGACATCCTTGGCCTGGAGGAAACTCAGAAGCAAAGAACTTTGCAGCCTGTGCCCAGATGGAAGCCTTTCCTGTCCTAGTCTTGCCAGCCCCGCGGCCGAGGACGAGAAAAAGCCGGATGCCGGCAAGGCAACGCCAGCCCTCAAGGACCAGGCCTTCCCATTCAAAAGATTATTATGAAAGGGTTTAGGTATCGAGACTTGAAGCCGGTGTTCGGAATCGGACTGTAACCCATTGCCTTGTAGACCTGTGGAGGATGGACAGCCGGCCAAAGCCGACACGCCCGCAGCCACAGCTGACGCTGGCAACGGCATGATTTGATCCCAAGGTTGAAACAATCGAAATCGAACTTCAGCTGCTTATCCGACGTCACAAGCAAACACTTGGAATTGAAGCTGTCCGATCATGAAGGAGCACAACAATATAGTCTCTTGCTTCAATGTTTCACGAGGAAGTTTTCAACTAAGTCATCTGTTGCGAAGCAGAAAAGATGGAGCGCATGCTTGGGCTGGACGGAGTTGCGGTCCCCATTATCTCCATTTCCAGTTTGTGGCCAGCGAGCGGTTTTGAACTCTGAGTTTGTTCTGCTGTGAGCCATATCGCAAGATATTCTGATCTGTTCTGCATGATCGAATTGTTTCAATATGGACTTATCGAATCACAGCAGTGGGCACGTGGTCAGGAACCACCGGCGAACTGTGGGCAAGGCCACAAAGATGCTGCTGGGTGTGTTTGCTATCATTTAAGCTTCGTCGTCAGAGTGTGCGTGCCGAAGCGAGAATTTGCGGTGATGCTAGAGTTAGGAGTATCTGGCAAGCATACCAGTCACACCAGGCTGTAGCCCTCGCCTTCAGTGTGGGAATATGGCGGAACAGATCTTTGCAGGTCACATTGCGCAATGCTCTCCGGAAGGCGCTGGATTCAGATGGTCTTATTGACGATGACTCGAGTAGGTGACACGAAGTTAGGTTCCGACTCACGGTGTTTCGAAGACGGACGTTCTGAGTCCTGTTGGACTGCATGAAGGGTCTTGTTTCCAAAGCCTTTCCTTGCCTGGCGATTTAGTAACATTCTCGACTCCAGTGGGGACAAGTACGCCGAACATAGAAGAGCAATTTCCTGAGACATAAAGGGCCGAGATCTAAGGCTCTGCACCCCTAGCACTACACACCAACCCCGGCAAACTGACTCAAACAGCATGGCATTCCATGAAAAGGATGCACAGAAAAGCGCTGTTAGTTCCACTGCGACTATCCAGGCCATGCCGACCAAGGAGCAAGTGGGCCCAGAGGAGGAGGCCGTCATGTTGAAGCCAGGAGAAGCCCCTAGAGACAAGCCCATAGTGCTGCCACCTTTCTGGCTGCAGGGGCGAAATCTTACCATTAACTCATCATCGCATAATGTACCAGAATATCTCGTTGCATTATAGCCTGAGTCTGAGTTGCTTCCCTTTTTCCCTAAAGACACGCGCAGTGTCCTCAGCAGGCTCAGCGCCGGTCCGGGTCCGGGCCCCCATGGCGCCACTCCAGGCCCAGCCGGATCTGAGCACGGGGCATATGGGACTTTTCCGAAAATAGGGGTACGCTATTTTGGGGTCCTTATAATAAGGATCCCACAACTATATTAGGGTCCCTTGTTTTCGGAAACTCTCATGTAGTGTTGTAAATGTATATACACATACGGGTGGTTGTTAAAACTAGGGTCCCTTTTTGGGTACCTTAAATAATAGGTGCCGTACCATAATAAGGACCCAACAAGGGACCCTAATTTTCAAAACCACCCATACGACTGTGAGCGTGAGTTTAAAAATAAGTCAATTCTAGACATGCTATATGTATGTATAGAACGATCAATATAGGTACGAACATAAACATGCGTATACATTAGGATAAGTTGTCAGTACGTACGTAAGTACAAAGAAACAAATACAAATCCAAATATCAATAAGTAGGTATACAAATAAGTCAACCAATACGCAACTGGATACGTATGAATATACATATATATATACAAGAATTCAGTAAGTTAGTTTTGTATTATGCATTGTGTGTTTTAGATAAACATATATGAATATTAATTTAAGCACAGATATGCACGCATGTATGTGTACACACACATATATATATATATATATACATATGTATATATGTACATACAATTTTGTGCACGAGGAGCCCTCGCGGCAAGAAGGAGATGGAGGAGCCTGAGCTTGCAGCGGTGCCCAAAGCCAGGCGGGCTTCGCAGATTCTGCCGTGTCTCCAAAACTGCATGGCTGCATGGATTGTGGAGGAGCGTCTCACCTCGGCTTCAGACGGGCAGGCAGGAACCTCCAATCAGAGGTGGAAGCATGGGTAGCTCGAAGGTCCTTAGATCGCGTAGATGAAATTGAACATGGCAGAAAGCTCTAGAAAGCTCTATAGACCCTGAAGACTCAAGACACGACTGCTTGCGTGCAGCTGCTCTCGAATTATCTCCAGCTTTTTCGCACCAAGTGCAGGAACGGGGCCGATGGCAGCGAGCGAACATCCATGCAAGGGGTCCAGGAAGACACGAGCGGCAGGTGCGACTTGAGGGCGATCTTGAGAATCCTAAGTTCACTCTTCGTTCCTCCCGTCAACAAATCACTCAGGAGCCGCCACAAGTGGAAGCTCCGCACGACGGACCCACAAAGCACGCCCCTCGCCCAGCTTTGCGCATAACCAAAATTACCGCAGGCTCTTCGAGTGGTCGGCCAAATCCGCTCCGTTCAAGAGATGACATTGGGAATTGAGAGGATTCAAGGGCCCCCGCTTTCGTGTGAGTTTGGTGTCGTGTCTCGGCCACTTGGTGCCACGAGGTCTCCCATCGAGGCGGAGATCCAAGAAGCCGTTCAAGACGTGCTCTCTGGCCGAGTGCCTCTCATGGTCAGGACGATGCAGTCCAATCTCCCTGAAGTCTGAACATTACAGCCCTTAAACTTGTTGAAGCCTTGAATGGACGAACGAAGCTTCCGTTCTCAGCAGGAGCGCCGGCGAATCCGACAGCAGATGCTCCAGGATGACGCCGACATCGCAGGTGCCGGAAACCTGCTCAAGAAGCACACATGATCTTCGGCAGCCTGCACTTGAGGCGCAGCTGCCCGAGCGCTATGCTCACCTCGCGCCCCAGGGCTCGAGGCCATCCAGGGAAGTTATGCAAAGGCCGTGATCTGGATCGCGGCTTAAGTGCGTTCTTCGTGGCAGGCACGACCGCACGGAGGCAGATGAGGATCCAGACGAGGGCACGGCTGTGGGCTCGGCGGATGCCGACTCTCGCATCACTTCGAGGCTCGGCGATGCAATGCTCGCATCTTCTAGCAGCTTGACTCGTGGAAGCTGCTGCTGAAGAGGAGCACACGGGGCAAGGAGCGTCCCGACGCCGGAACATCCAAAGCCAGGCCCCTCGAAGTTTCGGCGGCTTGCAGCATGCACATAAGGTATATATTATATGGTAACACAGCTTCGCGATGCTGCGTGGCATTCTTTGTCTTAGCGTCTGCCAGGAGCGCCTCTTCTCGACTAGAGACGAGCAGGTTGGAGAGAGTTCAGACTTCCATTGGTGAGCCCGGCGTGAGCCGCAAAGCCTCAGCTGTCACACTCGGTCGGGTGTACATGGAGGCAAGGCGGCGAGAGTCCGTCAGCCGGAGACGGAGGAAGCGAGAGGAGCGAGTTCTGAGTGCTCTCATCTTGTGAGTGTCAAGGCCTGCAGTGGTCATTAGTCGCTCTCCTCAGGAGTCGACCCATGAAGTGGAAGCTCCAACGCGAGCCCAAGCAGGATGCCGAAGCGCCAGGCACCCAGTGAAAAAAACCCGTTCTGCCAAGCCCCATCAGCTGCTGGAGCCGGCGGGGTCGCTTCAACTCCCGTCAGAAAGGTCGATGGCTGATGGTGCGGAGGCTGGCGACTCGGCTGCGCGCGACAACTTGCGTGGTGGCACCAGGACTCGGGATGTTGGAGCTTCAGGAGACGTGTTTTCTCTCTTGTGTGCAGGAGCCATTCGCCGAGGGGGGCATCCACTCGAAAGACAGATTCCTCTCGCCACGAGAAGAGGCACCGACACCACTGGCATCATATGGAGCTTCGGTGTAACTCTGCGCCATCAAGGCGGGACTCCAGCGCGTCGACATCGCAGGCCGCCTGCTGCACTGGGCAGTCCGCGGTAGCAGTTCGGCAGCAGCCTGCGCTTGAGGCGCAGCTGCCCGAGCGCTATGCTAACCTCGCGCCCCAGGGCTCGAGGCCATCCAGGGAAGTTATGCAAAGGCCGTGATCTGGATCGCGGCTTAAGTGCGTTCTTTGTGGCAGGCACGACCGCACGGAAGCAGATGAGGATCCAGACGAGGGCACGGCTGTGGGCTCGGCGGATGCCGACTCTCGCATCACTTCGAGGCTCGGCGATGCAATGCTCGCATCTTCTAGCAGCTTGACTCGTGGAAGCTGCTGCTGAAGAGGAGCACACGGGGCAAGGAGCGTCCCGACGCCGGAACATCCAAAGCCAGGCCCCTCGAAGTTTCGGCGGCTTGCAGCATGCACATAAGGTATATATTGTATGGTAACACAGCTTCGCGATGCTGCGTGGCATTCTTTGTCTTAGCGTCTGCCAGGAGCGCCTCTTCTCGACTAGAGACGAGCAGGTTGGAGAGAGTTCAGACTTCCATTGGTGAGCCCGGCGTGAGCCGCAAAGCCTCAGCTGTCACACTCGGTCGGGTGTAATGTTGGATCCCGATTAACAACCCCCCCCCCCCCGCTGTCAAGGTTAGCCCGCTTGAACTTGTTCATGGGTTCAAGTTTTTCCCGGCCCCCCCGATTATGTGGGGATGGGGTTAGCTCCTCGCATACTGGATGAGGAAGGAAGCCCGCAGATTGGGCAGGAACATTGCCCCTAAGTACAAGCTCAGCTCTGCTGGACATGCGCTGGTCTAATGAGGAAAAGTCTGCCATCATGAGTTCTTTACGAGCTCCGGTACTATAGGGGTGGGGTCTAATGGACTTCTTCATTAAGCCCATGACATGCCCGGGACGGCCCCGTCTAATCCGGGGGGGTATCTTAATCGGTAAACGACATTACATGGAGGCAAGGTGGCGAGAGTCCGTCAGCCGGAGACGGAGGAAGCGAGAGGAGCGAGTTCTGAGTGCTCTCATCTTGTGAGTGTCAAGGCCTGCAGTGGTCATTAGTCGCTCTCCTCAGGAGTCGACCCATGAAGTGGAAGCTCCAACGCGAGCCCAAGCAGGATGCCGAAGCGCCAGGCACCCAGTGAAAAAAACCCGTTCTGCCAAGCCCCATCAGCTGCTGGAGCCGGCGGGGTCGCTTCAACTCCCGTCAGAAAGGTCGATGGCTGATGGTGCGGAGGCTGGCGACTCGGCTGCGCGCGACAACTTGCGTGGTGGCACCAGGACTCGGGATGTTGGAGCTTCAGGAGACGTGTTTTCTCTCTTGTGTGCAGGAGCCATTCGCCGAGGGGGGCATCCACTCGAAAGACAGATGCCTCTCGCCACGAGAAGAGGCACCGACACCACTGGCATCATATGGAGCTTCGGTGTAACTCTGCGCCATCAAGGCGGGACTCCAGCGCGTCGACATCGCAGGCCGCCTGCTGCACTGGGCAGTCCGCGGTAGCAGTTCGGCAGCAGCCTGCGCTTGAGGCGCAGCTGCCCGAGCGCTATGCTCACCTCGCGCCCCAGGGCTCGAGGCCATCCAGGGAAGTTATGCAAAGGCCGTGATCTGGATCGCGGCTTAAGTGCGTTCTTTGTGGCAGGCACGACCGCACGGAGGCAGATGAGGATCCAGATGAGGGCACGGCTGTGGGCTCGGCAGATGCCGACTCTCGCATCACTTCGAGGCTCGGCGATGCAATGCTCGCGTCTTCTAGCAGCTTGACTCGTGGAAGCTGCTGATGAAGAGGAGCACACGGGGCAAGGAGCGTCCCGACGCCGGAACATCCAAAGCCAGGCCCATCGAAGTTTCGGCGGCTTGCAGCAGAATGGTATGGTATCCGTACTTGCAGCACGAGGGCATATGGATAGAGCACATTCCTCATGAGCGCAAACGAGTGGTCAGGGGCACTTCTTCAATGTCAGAATCGGACACGCAGAGGGCCGACGGCGACGGCGAGCCCAGTCCCGCGACGGCTCAGAAGGCGATCGCGGGCGCGGGAGCATCCTCGCAGAGCCCCAGGCCAGTTACATGATACGTTTCGTGGCACTTGAGTGGTTGGGACTCAGGGTCCTTTGAGTATCTTTGAGTCGCGTCGCATGGCATCCGGGCTCTTTCGGGGCCCGTTCAGGGCGAAGTCGCCGAAGGGGGCAGCGGAGGAAGACGCCTCGGGCAAGAAGTCTTCGCAGCCAGAGCCTTCGAGGACTTCGCGAGGGCTCGTCACACTGGTGATCACTGAGTAGTTTGCACGAAGAGGAAAGCATGAGGAAGGTGTGCTGATTGCTGGCTGCTGCACAGGAGCGGTTCGCCGAAGCTGCGGCAGCAGCAATCAAATGGGGGCATCGGAAAGGCCAAGACAAGCGCCGACGAAGCCTCCGCCCCTTCGCACAGCCCAAGGCCATCCATGCTCGTTTGCAGCTGGGTAGTGAATGAGCACGGCAGCATTGTCGGAACAAATGCAGGTATCATTTCTGACGGAACATGTTTCGACACCTTGTCCAGACTACTAGTATCCACCGCAAGAAGCGCACACAGGGGAGCCAGAGCCTTTGCTCAAGTCAGTTTCGTTGCGAGAGTTTGGCGCCCACGGGCCCAAGGGCCCTACCCGGGGTTCTTGTCCGATGCCGCAGTTCTCAGTGGAGCAGGTGCGCGCCATCATGGACAAGAGTGAGAGCATCCGCTCCATGAGTGTCATCGCCCATGTGGACCATGGAAAGACGACTCTTGCGGACTCCTTGCTGTCCAGAGCGGGCATCATCGCAAGCAAGTCAGCTGGTGATGCCAAGTTCATGCAGGGGAGGAAGGATGAGCAGGAGCGCGGTGTGACGATCAAGAGCACTGGAGTCACCCTATTCTTCGAGCACGATTGTGAAGACGGGGCAGGGCCCCAGCCACACCTCATCAATCTGATTGACTCCCCGGGTCATGTGGACTTCTCCTCGGAAGTGACCGCGGCGCTGCGCATCACCGACGGGGCCATTGTGGTCGTGGATTGCATTGAGGGCTGCGCTGTCCAGACGGAGACGGTTCTCCGACAGGCGCTGCAAGAACGGGTGAAGCCATGCCTTTTCGTCAACAAGGTGGACCGCTGTATCTTGGAGATGCAGATGGATGTTGAGGAGATCTACTGTCGATTCCGAAGCGCCATCGAGAACGTGAATGTCATCATCGCGACTTACAGCGATCCTTCCATGGGAAGCTTGCAGATGGACCCTGCGATCGGAAACGTGGCCTTCGGCAGTGGTCTGCACGGCTGGGGCTTCAGCATCGAGCGCTTCGCCAAGATCTATGCGCAGAAGATGGGCGTGAACAAGGCGAGGATGATGGAGCATCTTTGGGGCGACTGGTACTACTATCCCATGCGGAAAGTCTGGACCACGTCACAGCCGGAAGATCTGAAGGAGCCCCTGCAGCGGGCCTTCTGCCAGTACATCATGGGACCTATCAATCAGCTGATTCGTGCCATCATGGACCAGGACACCGACAAGTACGAAAAGATGATGGAGTCCCTAGGCATCGTGCTGAAAGGTGAGGACCGGGAGCTAAAAGGAAAGCCGCTCATGAAGCATGTGATGCAGACCTGGATCAATGCAGCCGACTCTCTGCTTGGCATGATCGTCACACAGCTCCCGTCGCCGAAGGTGGCGCAGCGCTACCGAGTAGAGACCTTGTACGAGGGCCCGATGGATGACGCAGCGGCGAACGGCATCCGGACATGCGATCCGGCAGCTCCACTGATGCTCTACGTATCCAAGATGGTCCCTGCCGCGGACAAGAGCCGATTCTACGCCTTCGGCCGTGTCTTCTCTGGCACCGTGGCCTCAGGGCAGAAGGTGCGAATTCAGGGCTCGCACTACAAGCCCGGCTCGAAGGAGGACCTGCACGTGAAGAACATACAGCGCACAGTGCTGATGATGGGCCGGACGACGGAAGCCATCGCGGACGTGCCCTGTGGCAACACCGTGGCGCTGGTAGGCGTGGACCAGTACATCCTCAAGTCCGGTACCATCACCACCCTGGAAGATGCACACAACTTCGCCGACATGAAGTACAGCGTATCTCCGGTGGTGAAGGTGGCAGTGAAGGCCAAGGACTCTAGGGATCTGCCGAAGCTGGTCCAGGGGCTCAAGAAGCTTTCGAATTCTGACCAGATGGTTGTGTGCTCCGTCGACGAGAGCGGCGAGCATGTGATCGCGGGCTGTGGTGAGCTGCACGTAGAGATCTGCCTCAAAGACCTTCGAGAGGAGTTTGCTCAGTGCGACTTCACCGTGTCAGACCCCGTCGTCTCGTACCGGGAAACGGTGTCAGCCCCTTCCAAGCAGGTGTGCCTGGCGAAGTCGCCCAATCGGCTCAACCGCTTGTACGTTGCAGCGGAACCCTTGGCCGAAGAAGTGGTGCGGGCCGTGGAGGACGGCACAGCCGGGCCATACGCGGATGCGAAGGAGAGGACCAAGATCTTGACCCAGTTCGGTTGGGACAAGCAGGTGGCTCAGTCCAAGATCTGGTGCTATGGTCCCTCTGGCGACGGCCCCAACATCTTCGTGGACACCACGATAGCCGCGCAGTACCTGGGCGAAGTGAAAGATCATGTCGTGAATGCTGTTCAGTGGGTCACGAAAGAGGGTCCCCTGTGTGAAGAGAGCCTGCGGGGAGTCCGCTTCAACCTCTCGGAGGTCCTCCTCCACCCCGACAAGGTCCACCGTGGCGCCGGACAGATCATGCCGGCCACGAGGCGCTGCTGCTTTGCCTCAGAGTTGACCGCTTCACCGACGCTGCAAGAGCCGGTCTTCTTGGTGGAGATCACGACCCCGAAGGATGCCCTGAGCGGTGTCTACAGCTGCATGTCTCTTCGGCGAGGCTGCATCTTCGAGGAGAATCCACGCGAGGGCACGCCACTGGTCCAAGTGAAGGCTTATCTGCCGGTGTCGGAATCGTTTGGCTTCGTCGCCGCGCTGCGCCAGGCGACCAGCGGCCAGGCATTCCCACAGTCTGTCTTCGACCACTGGGAGAGCCTGCCAGGCAACTGCCTTGAGAAGGGCAGTAAGATGGAGGAGCTCGTCCTGGGCATCCGTAAGCGGAAGAGCCTGAAGGTGGAGATGCCGTCCTTGACGGACTACCTTGACAAGCTGTAGGAGCAGAGGCACATCCAATTCAGACATCCGGCTGGCGCTGGCATGCACTGGCCATGTTGCTCGACTAAAGCCTTGTATCGAATTTGACCACGACATGCCAGGTCCGGTGTCGGATGTCCTGTACAGAATCTTTGGGTGGCCGTTTTGTGTTGAGTATCCCGAGGCCTCCGTCAGTGTACAGTGTGTAGCCTTTCTGGCCGGATCGGTGCGTCGCATTCTGCGCGCACAAACGAAGACCTTTCTTGCTCATGCTTGCTCCCGTTTCTCGGAACCTGTTCAGGGACAAGTCTGGGCAGCAGAGCTTGAAGAAGGAAAAGGAGGCGAGCAAGACAGGCTCGGCGAAGGAGCAGTCGAGGCCAGCAGGGCAGTTGTTCTCAGATTCACATGACAGCATGATGCGCGAATGTGGGGCGGGCACGTGGCTAGAGCAAAGTCTTCATGAGCGCAAGTACCTGGCCAGGGGGACTTCTTCAATATCAGAATCGGACACGCAGAGGGCCGACGGCGACGGCGAGCCCAGTCCCGCGACGGCTCAGAAGGCGATCGCGGGCGCGGGAGCATCCTCGCAGAGCCCCAGGCCAGTTACATGATACGTTTCGTGGCACTTGAGTGGTTGGGACTCAGGGTCCTTTGAGTATCTTTGAGTCGCGTCGCATGGCATCCGGGCTCTTTCGGGGCCCGTTCAGGGCGAAGTCGCCGAAGGGGGCAGCGGAGGAAGACGCCTCGGGCAAGAAGTCTTCGCAGCCAGAGCCTTCGAGGACTTCGCGAGGGCTCGTCACACTGGTGATCACTGAGTAGTTTGCACGAAGAGGAAAGCATGAGGAAGGTGTGCTGATTGCTGGCTGCTGCACAGGAGCGGTTCGCCGAAGCTGCGGCAGCAGCAATCAAATGGGGGCATCGGAAAGGCCAAGACAAGCGCCGACGAAGCCTCCGCCCCTTCGCACAGCCCAAGGCCATCCATTATTGTCTATATTATCCCATCTATTCTCCATTCTCCTTTGCAGCTGTGGTCTGCGATCTGATCGGCGACACAGCTAGCGATTCACGATCAGTTCACGATCTGCAGATCATGCTGTGGCAGTTGGCCTGTTCAGGGACAAGTCTGGGCAGCAGAGCTTGAAGAAGGAAAAGGAGGCGAGCAAGACGGGCTCGGCGCAGGAGCCGTCGAGGCCAGCAGGGCAGTCGTTCGCAGATTCAATCGGTAGAGTGATGCGCGAATGTGGGTGGGCACGTGGATAGAGCACATTCCTCATGAGTGCAATCCCTTGGCCAGGGGCACTTCTTCCCTATCCTAATCGGAGAGATTTCGTTGACAAGTACGAAAGAGAATACTGTAAAAAGTAAACATCAGTTGTAGGGAATCAACGACATATACATTATGAATTCCTTGCCATTTTGGTGCTGAGTTTTATGCAGTGCTTTGTTTCGTGCTTTCTCTCATTCTTTGTAAAATTAAACTTACCACGAACAATTCCCAAATTTGCTGCACGAGACTTCGAATGAATTTCTGGGTCATGGAGGGGTCAATTTCGTTTACATGTGGTCTAGTCAGTGACACAAACATGCACTACGCTTCGTTGATTTGTTTTCTTTCACGCAGAGGGCCGACGGCGACGGCGAGCCCAGTCCCGCGACGGCTCAGAAGGCGATCGCTGGCGCGGGAGCATCCTCGCAGAGCCCCAGGCCAGTTACATGATACGTTTCGTGGCACTTGAGTGGTTGGGACTCAGGGTCCTTTGCGTATCTTTGAGTCTCGTCGCATGGCATCCGGGCTCTTTCGGGGCCCGTTCAGGGCGAAGTCGCCGAAGGGGGCAGCGGAGGAAGACGCCTCGGGCAAGAAGTCTTCGCAGCCAGAGCCTTCGAGGACTTCGCGAGGGCTCGTCACACTGGTGATCACTGAGTAGTTTGCACGAAGAGGAAAGCATGAGGAAGGTTTGCTGATTGCTGGCTGCTGCACAGGAGCGGTTCGCCGAAGCTGCGGCAGCAGCAATCAAACGGGGGCATCGGAAAGGCCAAGACAAGCGCCGACGAAGCCTCCGCCCCTTCGCACAGCCCAAGGCCATCCATGCTCGTTTGCAGCTGGGTAGTGAATGAGCACGGCAGCATTGTCGGAACAAATGCAGGTATCATTTCTGACGGAACATGTTTCGACACCTTGTCCAGACTACTAGTATCCACCGCAAGAAGCGCACACAGGGGAGCCAGAGCCTTTGCTCAAGTCAGTTTCGTTGCGAGAGTTTGGCGCCCACGGGCCCAAGGGCCCTACCCGGGGTTCTTGTCGGATGCCGCAGTTCTCAGTGGAGCAGGTGCGCGCCATCATGGACAAGAGTGAGAGCATCCGCTCCATGAGTGTCATCGCCCATGTGGACCATGGAAAGACAACTCTTGCGGACTCCTTGCTGTCCAGAGCGGGCATCATCGCAAGCAAGTCAGCTGGTGATGCCAAGTTCATGCAGGGGAGGAAGGATGAGCAGGAGCGCGGTGTGACGATCAAGAGCACTGGAGTCACCCTATTCTTCGAGCACGATTGTGAAGACGGGGCAGGGCCCCAGCCACACCTCATCAATCTGATTGACTCCCCGGGTCATGTGGACTTCTCCTCGGAAGTGACCGCGGCGCTGCGCATCACCGACGGGGCCATTGTGGTCGTGGATTGCATTGAGGGCTGCGCTGTCCAGACGGAGACGGTTCTCCGACAGGCGCTGCAAGAACGGGTGAAGCCATGCCTTTTCGTCAACAAGGTGGACCGCTGTATCTTGGAGATGCAGATGGATGTTGAGGAGATCTACTGTCGATTCCGAAGCGCCATCGAGAACGTGAATGTCATCATCGCGACTTACAGCGATCCTTCCATGGGAAGCTTGCAGATGGACCCTGCGATCGGAAACGTGGCCTTCGGCAGTGGTCTGCACGGCTGGGGCTTCAGCATCGAGCGCTTCGCCAAGATCTATGCCCAGAAGATGGGCGTGAACAAGGCGAGGATGATGGAGCATCTTTGGGGCGACTGGTACTACTATCCCAAGCGGAAAGTCTGGACCACGTCACAGCCGGAAGGTCTGAAGGAGCCCCTGCAGCGGGCCTTCTGCCAGTACATCATGGGACCTATCAATCAGCTGATCCGTGCCATCATGGACCAGGACACCGACAAGTACGAAAAGATGATGGAGTCCCTAGGCATCGTGCTGAAAGGTGAGGACCGGGAGCTAAAAGGAAAGCCGCTCATGAAGCATGTGATGCAGACCTGGATCAATGCAGCCGACTCTCTGCTTGGCATGATCGTCACACAGCTCCCGTCGCCGAAGGTGGCGCAGCGCTACCGAGTAGAGACCTTGTACGAGGGCCCGATGGATGACGCAGCGGCGAACGGCATCCGGACATGCGATCCGGCAGCTCCACTGATGCTCTACGTATCCAAGATGGTCCCTGCCGCGGACAAGAGCCGATTCTACGCCTTCGGCCGTGTCTTCTCTGGCACCGTGGCCTCAGGGCAGAAGGTGCGAATTCAGGGCTCGCACTACAAGCCCGGCTCGAAGGAGGACCTGCACGTGAAGAACATACAGCGCACAGTGCTGATGATGGGCCGGACGACGGAAGCCATCGCGGACGTGCCCTGTGGCAACACCGTGGCGCTGGTAGGCGTGGACCAGTACATCCTCAAGTCCGGTACCATCACCACCCTGGAAGATGCACACAACTTCGCCGACATGAAGTACAGCGTATCTCCGGTGGTGAAGGTGGCAGTGAAGGCCAAGGACTCTAGGGATCTGCCGAAGCTGGTCCAGGGGCTCAAGAAGCTTTCGAATTCTGACCAGATGGTTGTGTGCTCCGTCGACGAGAGCGGCGAGCATGTGATCGCGGGCTGTGGTGAGCTGCACGTAGAGATCTGCCTCAAAGACCTTCGAGAGGAGTTTGCTCAGTGCGACTTCACCGTGTCAGACCCCGTCGTCTCGTACCGGGAAACGGTGTCAGCCCCTTCCAAGCAGGTGTGCCTGGCGAAGTCGCCCAATCGGCTCAACCGCTTGTACGTTGCAGCGGAACCCTTGGCCGAAGAAGTGGTGCGGGCCGTGGAGGACGGCACAGCCGGGCCATACGCGGATGCGAAGGAGAGGACCAAGATCTTGACCCAGTTCGGTTGGGACAAGCAGGTGGCTCAGTCCAAGATCTGGTGCTATGGTCCCTCTGGCGACGGCCCCAACATCTTCGTGGACACCACGATAGCCGCGCAGTACCTGGGCGAAGTGAAAGATCATGTCGTGAATGCTGTTCAGTGGGTCACGAAAGAGGGTCCCCTGTGTGAAGAGAGCCTGCGGGGAGTCCGCTTCAACCTCTCGGAGGTCCTCCTCCACCCCGACAAGGTCCACCGTGGCGCCGGACAGATCATGCCGGCCACGAGGCGCTGCTGCTTTGCCTCAGAGTTGACCGCTTCACCGACGCTGCAAGAGCCGGTCTTCTTGGTGGAGATCACGACCCCGAAGGATGCCCTGAGCGGTGTCTACAGCTGCATGTCTCTTCGGCGAGGCTGCATCTTCGAGGAGAATCCACGCGAGGGCACGCCACTGGTCCAAGTGAAGGCTTATCTGCCGGTGTCGGAATCGTTTGGCTTCGTCGCCGCGCTGCGCCAGGCGACCAGCGGCCAGGCATTCCCACAGTCTGTCTTCGACCACTGGGAGAGCCTGCCAGGCAACTGCCTTGAGAAGGGCAGTAAGATGGAGGAGCTCGTCCTGGGCATCCGTAAGCGGAAGAGCCTGAAGGTGGAGATGCCGTCCTTGACGGACTACCTTGACAAGCTGTAGGAGCAGAGGCACATCCAATTCAGACATCCGGCTGGCGCTGGCATGCACTGGCCATGTTGCTCGACTAAAGCCTTGTATCGAATTTGACCACGACATGCCAGGTCCGGTGTCGGATGTCCTGTACAGAATCTTTGGGTGGCCGTTTTGTGTTGAGTATCCCGAGGCCTCCGTCAGTGTACAGTGTGTAGCCTTTCTGGCCGGATCGGTGCGTCGCATTCTGCGCGCACAAACGAAGACCTTTCTTGCTCATGCTTGCTCCCGTTTCTCGGAACCTGTTCAGGGACAAGTCTGGGCAGCAGAGCTTGAAGAAGGAAAAGGAGGCGAGCAAGACAGGCTCGGCGAAGGAGCAGTCGAGGCCAGCAGGGCAGTTGTTCTCAGATTCACATGACAGCATGATGCGCGAATGTGGGGCGGGCACGTGGCTAGAGCAAAGTCTTCATGAGCGCAAGTACCTGGCCAGGGGGACTTCTTCAATATCAGAATCGGACACGCAGAGGGCCGACGGCGACGGCGAGCCCAGTCCCGCGACGGCTCAGAAGGCGATCGCGGGCGCGGGAGCATCCTCACAGAGCCCCAGGCCAGTTACATGATACGTTTCGTGGCACTTGAGTGGTTGGGACTCAGGGTCCTTTGAGTATCTTTGAGTCTCGTCGCATGGCATCCGGGCTCTTTCGGGGCCCGTTCAGGGCGAAGTCGCCGAAGGGGGCAGCGGAGGAAGACGCCTCGGGCAAGAAGTCTTCGCAGCCAGAGCCTTCGAGGACTTCGCGAGGGCTCGTCACACTGGTGATCACTGAGTAGTTTGCACGAAGAGGAAAGCATGAGGAAGGTGTGCTGATTGCTGGCTGCTGCACAGGAGCGGTTCGCCGAAGCTGCGGCAGCAGCAATCGAATGGGGGCATCGGAAAGGCCAAGACAAGCGCCGACGAAGCCTCCGCCCCTTCGCACAGCCCAAGGCCATCCATTATTGTCTATATTATCCCATCTATTCTCCATTCTCCTTTGCAGCTGTGGTCTGCGATCTGATCGGCGACACAGCTAGCGATTTACGATCAGTTCACGATCTGCAGAACATGCTGTGGCAGTTGGCCTGTTCAGGGACAAGTCTGGGCAGCAGAGCTTGAAGAAGGAAAAGGAGGCGAGCAAGACGGGCTCGGCGCAGGAGCCGTCGAGGCCAGCAGGGCAGTCGTTCGCAGATTCAATCGGTAGAGTGATGCGCGAATGTGGGCCTTGGCCAGGGGCACTTCTTCCCTATCCCAATCGGAGAGATTTCGTTGACAAGTACGAAAGAGAATACTGTAAAGTAAACATCAGTTGTAGGGAATCAACGACATATGCATTATGAATTATGATTTCCTTGCCTTTTTGGTGCTGAGTTTTTGTAAAATTAAACTTACCACGAACATTTCCCGAATTTGCTGCACGAGACTTCGAATGGATTTCTGGGTCATGGAGGGGTCAATTTCGTTTACATGTGGTCTAGTCAGTGAAATAAACATGCACTACGCTTCGTTGATTTGTTTTCTTTCACGCAGAGGGCCGACGGCGACGGCGAGCCCAGTCCCGCGACGGCTCAGAAGGCGATCGCGGGCGCGGGAGCATCCTCACAGAGCCCCAGGCCAGTTACATGATACGTTTCGTGGCACTTGAGTGGTTGGGACTCAGGGTCCTTTGAGTATCTTTGAGTCTCGTCGCATGGCATCCGGGCTCTTTCGGGGCCCGTTCAGGGCGAAGTCGCCGAAGGGGGCAGCGGAGGAAGACCCCTCGGGCAAGAAGTCTTCGCAGCCAGAGCCTTCGAGGACTTCGCGAGGGCTCGTCACACTGGTGATCACTGAGTAGTTTGCACGAAGAGGAAAGCATGAGGAAGGTGTGCTGATTGCTGGCTGCTGCACAGGAGCGGTTCGCCGAAGCTGCGGCAGCAGCAATCAAATGGGGGCATCGGAAAGGCCAAGACAAGCGCCGACGAAGCCTCCGCCCCTTCGCACAGCCCAAGGCCATCCATTATTGTCTATATTATCCCATCTATTCTCCATTCTCCTTTGCAGCTGTGGTCTGCGATCTGATCGGCGACACAGCTAGCGATTCACGATCAGTTCACGATCTGCAGAACATGCTGTGGCAGTTGGCCTGTTCAGGGACAAGTCTGGGCAGCAGAGCTTGAAGAAGGAAAAGGAGGCGAGCAAGACGGGCTCGGCGCAGGAGCCGTCGAGGCCAGCAGGGCAGTCGTTCGCAGATTCAATCGGTAGAGTGATGCGCGAATGTGGGTGGGCACGTGGATAGAGCACATTCCTCATGAGTGCAATCCCTTGGCCAGGGGCACTTCTTCCCTATCCTAATCGGAGAGATTTCGTTGACAAGTACGAAGGAGAATACTGTAAAGTAAACATCAGTTGTAGGGAATCAACGACATATGCATTATGAATTATGAATTCCTTGCCTTTTTGGTGCTGAGTTTTTGTAAAATTAAACTTACCACGAACATTTCCCAAATTTGCTTCACGAGACTTCGAATGGATTTCTGGGTCATGGAGGGGTCAATTTCGTTTACATGTGGTCTAGTCAGTGAAATAAACATGCACTACGCTTCGTTGATTTGTTTTCTTTCACGCAGAGGGCCGACGGCGACGGCGAGCCCAGTCCCGCGACGGCTCAGAAGGCGATCGCGGGCGCGGGAGCATCCTCGCAGAGCCCCAGGCCAGTTACAGGATACGTTTCGTGGCACTTGAGTGGTTGGGACTCAGGGTCCTTTGAGTATCTTTGAGTCGCGTCGCATGGCATCCGGGCTCTTTCGGGGCCCGTTCAGGGCGAAGTCGCCGAAGGGGGCAGCGGAGGAAGACGCCTCGGGCAAGAAGTCTTCGCAGCCAGAGCCTTCGAGGACTTCGCGAGGGCTCGTCACACTGGTGATCACTGAGTAGTTTGCACGAAGAGGAAAGCATGAGGAAGGTTTGCTGATTGCTGGCTGCTGCACAGGAGCGGTTCGCCGAAGCTGCGGCAGCAGCAATCAAATGGGGGCATCGGAAAGGCCAAGACAAGCGCCGACGAAGCCTCCGCCCCTTCGCACAGCCCAAGGCCATCCATGCTCGTTTGCAGCTGGGTAGTGAATGAGCACGGCAGCATTGTCGGAACAAACGCAGGTATCATTTCTGATAGAACATGTTTCGACACCTTGTCCAGACTACTAGTATCCACCGCAAGAAGCGCGCACAGGGGAGCCAGAGCCTTTGCTCAAGTCAGTTTCGTTGCGAGAGTTTGGCGCCCACGGGCCCAAGGGCCCTACCCGGGGGTTCTTGTCCGATGCCGCAGTTCTCAGTGGAGCAGGTGCGCGGCATCATGGACAAGAGTGAGAGCATCCGCTCCATGAGTGTCATCGCCCATGTGGACCATGGAAAGACCACTCTTGCGGACTCCTTGCTGTCCAGAGCGGGCATCATCGCAAGCAAGTCAGCTGGTGATGCCAAGTTCATGCAGGGGAGGAAGGATGAGCAGGAGCGCGGTGTGACGATCAAGAGCACTGGAGTCACCCTATTCTTCGAGCACGATTGTGAAGACGGGGCAGGGCCCCAGCCACACCTCATCAATCTGATTGACTCCCCGGGTCATGTGGACTTCTCCTCGGAAGTGACCGCGGCGCTGCGCATCACCGACGGGGCCATTGTGGTCGTGGATTGCATTGAGGGCTGCGCTGTCCAGACGGAGACGGTTCTCCGACAGGCACTGCAAGAACGGGTGAAGCCATGCCTTTTCGTCAACAAGGTGGACCGCTGTATCTTGGAGATGCAGATGGATGTTGAGGAGATCTACTGTCGATTCCGAAGCGCCATCGAGAACGTGAATGTCATCATCGCGACTTACAGCGATCCTTCCATGGGAAGCTTGCAGATGGACCCTGCGATCGGAAACGTGGCCTTCGGCAGTGGTCTGCACGGCTGGGGCTTCAGCATCGAGCGCTTCGCCAAGATCTATGCGCAGAAGATGGGCGTGAACAAGGCGAGGATGATGGAGCATCTTTGGGGCGACTGGTACTACTATCCCAAGCGGAAAGTCTGGACCAAGTCACAGCCGGAAGATCTGAAGGAGCCCCTGCAGCGGGCCTTCTGCCAGTACATCATGGGACCTATCAATCAGCTGATTCGTGCCATCATGGACCAGGACACCGACAAGTACGAAAAGATGATGGAGTCCCTAGGCATCGTGCTGAAAGGTGAGGACCGGGAGCTACAAGGAAAGCCGCTCATGAAGCATGTGATGCAGACCTGGATCAATGCAGCCGACTCTCTGCTTGGCATGATCGTCACACAGCTCCCGTCGCCGAAGGTGGCGCAGCGCTACCGAGTAGAGACCTTGTACGAGGGCCCGATGGATGACGCAGCGGCGAACGGCATCCGGACATGCGATCCGGCAGCTCCACTGATGCTCTACGTATCCAAGATGGTCCCTGCCGCGGACAAGAGCCGATTCTAAGCCTTTGGCCGTGTCTTCTCTGGCACCGTGGCCTCAGGGCAGAAGGTGCGAATTCAGGGCTCGCACTACAAGCCCGGCTCGAAGGAGGACCTGCACGTGAAGAACATACAGCGCACAGTGCTGATGATGGGCCGGACGACGGAAGCCATCGCGGACGTGCCCTGTGGCAACACCGTGGCGCTGGTAGGCGTGGACCAGTACATCCTCAAGTCCGGTACCATCACCACCCTGGAAGATGCGAACAACTTCGCCGACATGAAGTACAGCGTATCTCCGGTGGTGAAGGTGGCAGTGAAGGCCAAGGACTCGAGGGATCTGCCGAAGCTGGTCCAGGGGCTCAAGAAGCTTTCGAATTCTGACCAGATGGTTGTGTGCTCCGTCGACGAGAGCGGGGAGCATGTGATCGCGGGCTGTGGTGAGCTGCACGTAGAGATCTGCCTCAAAGACCTTCGAGAGGAGTTCGCTCAGTGCGACTTCACCGTGTCAGACCCCGTCGTCTCGTACCGGGAAACGGTGTCAGCCCCTTCCAAGCAGGTGTGCCTGGCGAAGTCGCCCAATCGGCTCAACCGCTTGTACGTTGCAGCGGAACCCTTGGCCGAAGAAGTGGTGCGGGCCGTGGAGGACGGCACAGCCGGGCCATACGCGGATGCGAAGGAGAGGACCAAGATCTTGACCCAGTTCGGTTGGGACAAGCAGGTGGCTCAGTCCAAGATCTGGTGCTATGGTCCCTCTGGCGACGGCCCCAACATCTTCGTGGACACCACGATAGCCGCGCAGTACCTGGGCGAAGTGAAAGATCATGTCGTGAATGCTGTTCAGTGGGTCACGAAAGAGGGTCCCCTGTGTGAAGAGAGCCTGCGGGGAGTCCGCTTCAACCTCTCGGAGGTCCTCCTCCACCCCGACAAGGTCCACCGTGGCGCCGGACAGATCATGCCGGCCACGAGGCGCTGCTGCTTTGCCTCAGAGTTGACCGCTTCACCGACGCTGCAAGAGCCGGTCTTCTTGGTGGAGATCACGACCCCGAAGGATGCCCTGAGCGGTGTCTACAGCTGCATGTCTCTTCGGCGAGGCTGCATCTTCGAGGAGAATCCACGCGAGGGCACGCCACTGGTCCAAGTGAAGGCTTATCTGCCGGTGTCGGAATCGTTTGGCTTCGTCGCCGCGCTGCGCCAGGCGACCAGCGGCCAGGCATTCCCACAGTCTGTCTTCGACCACTGGGAGAGCCTGCCAGGCAACTGCCTTGAGAAGGGCAGTAAGATGGAGGAGCTCGTCCTGAGCATCCGTAAGCGGAAGAGCCTGAAGGTGGAGATGCCGTCCTTGACGGACTACCTTGACAAGCTGTAGGAGCAGAGGCACATCCAATTCAGACATCCGGCTGGTGCTGGCACGCACTGGCCATGTTGCTTGACTAAAGCCTTGTCACGTCTCGAATTTGACCACGACATGCCAGGTCCGGTGTCGGATGTCCTGTACAGAATCTTTGGGTGGCCGTCTTGTGTTGAGTATCCCGAGGCCTCCGTCAGTGTACAGTGTGTAGCCTTTCTGGCCGGATCGGTGCGTCGCATTCTGCGCGCACAAACGAAGACCCTTCTCGCTCATGCGTGCTCCCGTTTCTCGGAATCTGTTCAGGGACAAGTCTGGGCAGCAGAGCTTGAAGAAGGAAAAGGAGGCGAGCAAGACGGGCTCGGCGCAGGAGCCGTCGAGGCCAGCAGGGCAGTTGTTCTCAGATTCACATGACAGCATGATGTTCGAATGTGGGGCGGGCACGTGGCTAGAGTATACGGCTAGAGCAAATCTTTGATGAGTGCAAGCACGTGGCCAGGGGGACTTCTTCAATATCCGAATCGGACACGCAGAGGGGCGACGGCGACGGCGAACCCATTACCGCGACGCCTCGGAAGGCGATCGCGGGCGCGGGAGCATCCTCGCAGAGCCCCAGGCCAGTTACATGATATGTTTCGTGGCACTTGAGTGGTTGGGACTCAGGGTCCTTTGAGTATCTTTGAGTCGCGTCGCCTGGCATCCGGGCTCTTTCGGGGCCCGTTCAGGGCGAAGTCGCCGAAGCGGGCAGCCGAGGAAGACGCAGAGCCTTCGAGGACTTTGTGAGGGATTCAGCCAAGAGTCCGTTACGTGTGGCGCTGTTTCGAAACGCCATGCCACCTTTGCACCAGTCTAACACGAAGCGGGGAGGCTGAAACAAAGAACCTGAACTTCGATGGTTAATCGATTGGCCGCAAGAGTCGGCAGTTTAAACTGACAGGACAGACGTACCAATACACACAGGTCCAAGCGAAGTATCGCCGAGGTCCGCCGTGGGTTGCCGGTTTTGCCAGGAGTTTCGTTCGTGCATGAGCTAGAGTTTCACTGTTTCTGGAAGTTTGCGGAAGTTGTAGGACAGTGGCCAGTGTCTCCTGACGCCCCACGCATCCCCACATCAACAAATCATGACATGTCCCTCCGATTCCACTCATGCGGACCTCACGTCAGCTTTGCGGGCTGTGGCCCGTCGGTCCCTGTGTCGAAGTTCGACTTACAAGCAAGTCAGTTGGATGTCAGTGAGACCAAAGTTGCCCATACCGCAGGCGTTTCGGTTCTATCTGCTGCTGTGGATGCCATGTCTTAGTGGCACTCGTCTTCCCGGCATGGTTGAGAAGGTGGTATGTCACGAAGGCCCTTCTGAGGCTTCTGAGCTTAGAGGGTCGTAGAGTGTGACGGCCTTTCTGTGCACCTTCAGACGATGCCATGTATGCGTTGCTTAGGATGCTCAGCTCCCGGTTTTCAAGAAGATGGAATAAGCTTGCAGCGAAAGCATATGGTCTGGGATACATGCACCGTTCGACGCATGCTGCTGCCTGCCAGGTCCCGATGGCCAGAATCCAAGGTCGTCCCAGAGGACTGTCCTTGCAGAATCCTTGCACCCACCCCTGCAAATGCCATTGAAGTTGAAAGGAACGGCCGGCTGCCGAAGGTTCTCGAATGCTCTTGCCCATGAACGCACACGTAGTACAGCTGTAGCGTTAGGAAGAAGATTACGCAAGCTACCACGCCGCTGCGCTGAATTCTGGGATCTGGCAGCAGCACCCGGAAACGACGTACGGACTCTGTCTGTGTTGGGACAGGTGCGAGTGTGCATCTGGCCGGATGATTCCTGTGGATGCGTGTTGGCAGGAATTTGCGAAGTCAAACTTGGCGGAGCTGCTGTGCTTGAGAGCCAAGTGCAGGTCCATTCACACGATCGATGGATTCACCCCTTCATTAATTTCATGAATTCGCGAAGCATAACTGCCATCCATGATGTGCATGTTTGGAATGAATCTGACGCTCCAAGACTGGCGCCGCGTGGACAAAAAAAGACTGAGCCAATGCTCGTCCGACTTCGGAGAAATTTGGATGCTATTATTAGCAGTCTTAGCCCTGTAGAAGTTTGCTAATCGGCAGAAGGCATTCCGGAGTCCACTGATGGTCCAGTCGGCAACACCCCAAGCTAAGCCCCAAGCAACGAAATTGAAGCCACAGCAAGGCATCATCTGCTGCTGCTGCTGCTGCTGCTCCTACTCAACTCCTGCTCCGCTGTCGCTGCTACTGTTGCTACAACGATTGCGGCTACTCCTACTCCTGCTACAGAACAACAACAAAAGCAACAACAGCAACAGCAACAACAAGAACGACAGCAACGGCAACAATACCAGCAGCAGCACCACCACCAACAACAAGAGCACTACCAGCACCAACAGCAGCAACGACAGCAACAGCAGCAGCAACAGCAGCAGCAACAGCAGCAACTACAACGACAACAACAACAACACCGGCAACTACAACGACAACAACAACAACAACACCAGCACCAACAACAACAACACCAGCAAATACAACGACAACGACAACAACAACGGCAACTACAACGACAACAACAACAACACCAGCAAATACAACGACAACGACAACAACACCGGCAACTACAACGACAACAACAACAACAACAACAGCGACTACAACTACATGTGCAACTACTGCGACTATAGTACTTCGACGACGACCATTACCAGTGCCACAACGACTACCGAAACTGGTACCCCTGCCCCTGCCCCTATCACTACCGCCATCACTGCCAGTACCACGACCACAACGACGACCAGCACCGCAACAACAACAACAACAACAGCGGCAGCAAACCCACGACAGCCACAGCAACGGCAATCATGTCGCATGCACCGGCCAGTGGTGGCAAAGTGTACAGCAGTCTACTTCCGACGCAAGCCACTATGACTGCTGCGAGAACAGAATACTGGAGCTGCTCCGTCGAGCCCTCTGCAAGAGGTAGTCGCTGTGGAGGTCGTGGTAGAAGCAGCACTAGGGGGTCAGAATCATAGGGGGCAGACTTCGTGCAATGAGGACAGTGCTGCTGATCTCAGCAGGAATCACAATAAGTGTTGATCTGACAATCTTTACCAGCCGGCATCGACAGTCAGAATATGGCAGATCCTGGAGGAGAGCAGGCGTCAGCATCAGCAAATCAGTGGTGTAGTTCTTACTAAGCTGTGTGTGAAGCGTGGCACGGACCACCGCTGCCAAGAGTACAGCCCTGAGGTAAGTGTGCACTTTGAGCTTCGCTTTTTTATGCGTGATTCAGCTCTGCAACACTGCCTTCGGTATGATCGGCTGAAGGTTCTAAGAAGTGCTTCCGCTGTGGAGAAGTTATCTGTGGCAGGGGTGCTGCCAGCAGATCCGCAGATCCCGAGGATGCCGGCAGGAGTCCAGCATTGAAACCATTGCTTCTCCAGGCTGTCTGCCCGAAGACCACGTAGTCGTAGCTCGGAGTCGCGTATAGGTGACGTGACTCCTCATGCTGGCTGCTGCTGTAGCTGAAAGCCAGATTCCTTGCCTTAAATGCAGACTGGCGCATTCTCACTAAGCATTTGAGGCATGGAGCCGCCTGGCTACATGTAGACACTTAACACGAGAGCACTCGAATCACTCCATGGATGGACAATCTTTCAAGGACTGAGACCGGAGGGATGAGCAGTGTGCCGCGGGCGGGTCCAGCTGCAAAGAGGCGTCTGTGTGCCACATGTCAAGTACTTGCAGTAGGCCTAAGCCTCATCGGCTTAAGGTTCGCATGCAGAAATGCAAGGCCATGTTGATCCCAGAGGCCATGCTTCTTTGTTTTCCACACGCTGGTTGCCTTGCAGGGTCCCGTCTCCAAAGCTACGAAGCGCGGAAAGCAAAGATGATGCTGGGAGGCTGGGCCAGCCTTGAGAAAAGCCTATCCCTTCCTGTTTGACTTGGCGGGATGGCCACCCTATGCCGCCCTGGTCCTGGCATTCCATGTGTGCTCTTCGTGTAGCGTTTGCATGACAGATCTCTCTTTGGCTCGTTTTGGGGCGGTAAGTCGGTTCTCCTCGTAGCACGTTAGCTGTTAGCTCGTCTTCTCGTTTTGGACACCTTGGTCTATTTGCGACCTTAGGCTTAGCCGTTGAGCATGCTGTGCAAACGCAAGTCACCTCGCCAGGTCGAGTTTTCGTAGATTCTTTAGCCCACCGCGAGGGCCAAGTCGCCAAAGTGGGACTTCAAGAAGGGGGACGACCCCAGCAAGAAGACCTCGCAAGAGTCCGCGAGGCTGGAGAGTGGGTGATGGGGTCCTGCAGAAGGGCTGTGTGAGCTGCGCAACGCAGGAGCCCTTCGCCAAAGGCAGAGAAGCCGCAAGCCACTGTGGAGTCCGGCTCCAAAGCAGCCAAGCCTCGAGCGGACGAAGCTTCCACGCCGCCACAAAGCCCAAGGCCAGTCACTTTGCGATGGGAGCTGACAGGGCGAATGTCGAGCTTGCGCCCAGGGACAAGTCTGCAAAGTGGAGCTTCAAGAAGGGAGACGATCCTAGCAAGATGGGTTCTGCAAAGGAGTCAACGAGGCAGGGGATGTTGCAATCTTGACCAGCATTGCAAACTTCAACTCTCCGATATGCTCTGACCATGCTGCCCAGGAGCCCTCCTCCGTCGTCAGATGCGCAGCAACGCAGCGACGAACCGAGTAGCGCGAAAGCTGCAGCGTCTGCAAGCGAAGGAACGCCCCCGCAAAGTCCGAGGCGGGACACGTGCTTGATGATGCGCTTCTGCCCTTTTTGGTGTGCGATTCTCACGGGGGTGAGAAGCGATAGGTCAACTGTTCGTCTGCCGCCGGCAAACATAGGTCTGGTGGTGATGCTTGCGCACAGCTTTAGTATAGAACTCTCATGACACTTCCATGCAATCTTTGCCGCGGCAGAGCTCAAGCATCATGAGCCGCAGTGTCACCAGCACCCAAACTTCCTGCAACGTCTGTGTCTGCCGTCAGACCATCTACACCCAAAGCTAGGTTAAAGTGGTGAAAAATTAGTTCAAAAGAGATGCCCACCGCGAGGGCCAAGTCGCCAAAGTGGGACTTCAAGAAGGGGGACGACCCCAGCAAGAAGGCCTCGCAAGAGTCCGCGAGGCTGGAGTGTGGGTGATGGGGTCCTGCGGAAGGGCTGTGTGAGCTGCGCAACGCAGGAGCCCTTCGCCAAAGGCAGAGAAGCCGCAAGCCACTGTGGAGTCCGGCTCCAAAGCAGCCAAGCCTCGAGCGGACGAAGCTTCCACGCCGCCACAAAGCCCAAGGCCAGTCACTTTGCGATGGGAGCTGACAGGGCGAATGTCGAGCTTGCGCCCAGGGACAAGTCTGCAAAGTGGAGCTTCAAGAAGGGAGACGATCCTAGCAAGATGGGTTCTGCAAAGGAGTCAACGAGGCAGGGGATGTTGCAATCTTGACCAGCATTGCAAACTTCAACTCTCCGATATGCTCTGACCATGCTGCCCAGGAGCCCTCCTCCGTCGTCAGATGCGCAGCGACGCAGCGACGAACCGAGTAGCGCGAAAGCTGCAGCGTCTGCAAGCGAAGGAACGCCCCCGCAAAGTCCGAGGCGGGACACGTGCTTGATGATGCGCTTCTGCCCTTTTTGGTGTGCGATTCTCACGGGGGTGAGAAGCGATAGGTCAACTGTTCGTCTGCCGCCGGCAAACATAGGTCTGGTGGTGATGCTTGCGCACAGCTTTAGTATAGAACTCTCATGACACTTCCATGCAATCTTTGCCGCGGCAGAGCTCAAGCATCATGAGCCGCAGTGTCACCAGCACCCAAACTTCCTGCAACGTCTGTGTCTGCCGTCAGACCATCTACACCCAAAGCTAGGTTAAAAGTCGTGAAAAGTTAGTTCAAAAGAGATGCCCACCGCGAGGGCCAAGTCGCCAAAGTGGGACTTCAAGAAGGGGGACGACCCCAGCAAGAAGGCCTCGCAAGAGTCCGCGAGGCTGGAGTGTGGGTGATGGGGTCCTGCGGAAGGGCTGTGTGAGCTGCGCAACGCAGGAGCCCTTCGCCAAAGGCAGAGAAGCCGCAAGCCACTGTGGAGTCCGGCTCCAAAGCAGCCAAGCCTCGAGCGGACGAAGCTTCCACGCCGCCACAAAGCCCAAGGCCAGTCACTTTGCGATGGGAGCTGACAGGGCGAATGTCGAGCTTGCGCCCAGGGACAAGTCTGCAAAGTGGAGCTTCAAGAAGGGAGACGATCCTAGCAAGATGGGTTCTGCAAAGGAGTCAACGAGGCAGGGGATGTTGCAATCTTGACCAGCATTGCAAACTTCAACTCTCCGATATGCTCTGACCATGCTGCCCAGGAGCCCTCCTCCGTCGTCAGATGCGCAGCGACGCAGCGACGAACCGAGTAGCGCGAAAGCTGCAGCGTCTGCAAGCGAAGGAACGCCCCCGCAAAGTCCGAGGCGGGACACGTGCTTGATGATGCGCTTCTGCCCTTTTTGGTGTGCGATTCTCACGGGGGTGAGAAGCGATAGGTCAACTGTTCGTCTGCCGCCGGCAAACATAGGTCTGGTGGTGATGCTTGCGCACAGCTTTAGTATAGAACTCTCATGACACTTCCATGCAATCTTTGCCGCGGCAGAGCTCAAGCATCATGAGCCGCAGTGTCACCAGCACCCAAACTTCCTGCAACGTCTGTGTCTGCCGTCAGACCATCTACACCCAAAGCTAGGTTAAAGTGGTGAAAAATTAGTTCAAAAGAGATGCCCACCGCGAGGGCCAAGTCGCCAAAGTGGGACTTCAAGAAGGGGGACGACCCCAGCAAGAAGACCTCGCAAGAGTCCGCGAGGCTGGAGTGTGGGTGATGGGGTCCTGCGGAAGGGCTGTGTGAGCTGCGCAACGCAGGAGCCCTTCGCCAAAGGCAGAGAAGCCGCAAGCCACTGTGGAGTCCGGCTCCAAAGCAGCCAAGCCTCGAGCGGACGAAGCTTCCACGCCGCCACAAAGCCCAAGGCCAGTCACTTTGCGATGGGAGCTGACAGGGCGAATGTCGAGCTTGCGCCCAGGGACAAGTCTGCAAAGTGGAGCTTCAAGAAGGGAGACGATCCTAGCAAGATGGGTTCTGCAAAGGAGTCAACGAGGCAGGGGATGTTGCAATCTTGACCAGCATTGCAAACTTCAACTCTCCGATATGCTCTGACCATGCTGCCCAGGAGCCCTCCTCCGTCGTCAGATGCGCAGCGACGCAGCGACGAACCGAGTAGCGCGAAAGCTGCAGCGTCTGCAAGCGAAGGAACGCCCCCGCAAAGTCCGAGGCGGGACACGTGCTTGATGATGCGCTTCTGCCCTTTTTGGTGTGCGATTCTCACGGGGGTGAGAAGCGATAGGTCAACTGTTCGTCTGCCGCCGGCAAACATAGGTCTGGTGGTGATGCTTGCGCACAGCTTTAGTATAGAACTCTCATGACACTTCCATGCAATCTTTGCCGCGGCAGAGCTCAAGCATCATGAGCCGCAGTGTCACCAGCACCCAAACTTCCTGCAACGTCTGTGTCTGCCGTCAGACCATCTACACCCAAAGCTAGGTTAAAGTGGTGAAAAATTAGTTCAAAAGAGATGCCCACCGCGAGGGCCAAGTCGCCAAAGTGGGACTTCAAGAAGGGGGACGACCCCAGCAAGAAGACCTCGCAAGAGTCCGCGAGGCTGGAGTGTGGGTGATGGGGTCCTGCGGAAGGGCTGTGTGAGCTGCGCAACGCAGGAGCCCTTCGCCAAAGGCAGAGAAGCCGCAAGCCACTGTGGAGTCCGGCTCCAAAGCAGCCAAGCCTCGAGCGGACGAAGCTTCCACGCCGCCACAAAGCCCAAGGCCAGTCACTTTGCGATGGGAGCTGACAGGGCGAATGTCGAGCTTGCGCCCAGGGACAAGTCTGCAAAGTGGAGCTTCAAGAAGGGAGACGATCCTAGCAAGATGGGTTCTGCAAAGGAGTCAACGAGGCAGGGGATGTTGCAATCTTGACCGGCATTGCAAACTTCAACTCTCCGATATGCTTTGATCATGCGGCCCAGGAGCCCTCCTCCGTCGTCAGATGTGCAGCGACGCAGCGACGAACCGAGTAGCGCGAAAGCTGCAGCGTCTGCAAGCGAAGGAACGCCCCCGCAAAGTCCGAGGCGGGACACGTGCTTGATGATGCGCTTCTGCCCTTTTTGGTGTGCGATTCTCACGGGGGTGAGAAGCGATAGGTCAACTGTTCGTCTGCCGCCGGCAAACATAGGTCTGGTGGTGATGCTTGCGCACAGCTTTAGTATAGAACTCTCATGACACTTCCATGCAATCTTTGCCGCGGCAGAGCTCAAGCATCATGAGCCGCAGTGTCACCAGCACCCAAACTTCCTGCAACGTCTGTGTCTGCCGTCAGACCATCTACACCCAAAGCTAGGTTAAAAGTCGTGAAAAGTTAGTTCAAAAGAGATGCCCACCGCGAGGGCCAAGTCGCCAAAGTGGGACTTCAAGAAGGGGGACGACCCCAGCAAGAAGACCTCGCAAGAGTCCGCGAGGCTGGAGTGTGGGTGATGGGGTCCTGCGGAAGGGCTGTGTGAGCTGCGCAACGCAGGAGCCCTTCGCCAAAGGCAGAGAAGCCGCAAGCCACTGTGGAGTCCGGCTCCAAAGCAGCCAAGCCTCGAGCGGACGAAGCTTCCACGCCGCCACAAAGCCCAAGGCCAGTCACTTTGCGATGGGAGCTGACAGGGCGTGACGGGGCGAATGTCGAGCGTTCAAGGACAACTCCAGTTAGATGACAGAGGTCGTCCAGAGTCGCCCAGTAATCCAGTAATTACGCATATTGGTAGAAGAACGTAGATAAAGCTGAAAGAAGTTGAGTACATAGCCAGCCGAGGTTTTAAGCGAAGTTTGCCAAAGTCTCCAGTGACAAGATTCGATGTGCCAATGTAGCTCTGCGTGGTGCAGTGGAGCCTTGAAAGGATCGCAGAAGCCTCCCACAACTTTCCTGTTACCGGGCTCTGATGGTTTGAGCATGTCGCCGTGGTGCCGCCGGGGCCCATGGGGGGGGCGGGCGGGGGTGTGAAGACTGGCCAAGTCTCTGCTCCCTGACCGTTACGAAAAGACCTAATTCTGCGGCCCGATCCCGCCTGATTGTTTGATGCAGGGAAAAGCCATCGAAGTGGAGCTTCAAAGCGCGAAGTGATCCAGAGCAAGGTGCCAGGAGCCTCTTCCTGTGGCGGTGTTCAGACTCCGCCCAGCACAGCCTGCAGTCTGCGTAGAAGGGGCGATGGGAGATGTAGCCGTACTGGCCTCAAGCAGAGTGTAATCTTACCTATGGTTAGTAGGGAATGGAGGAATGGGGTACAATCATACTACTATTATAACTACCATTCTTCCATTCCCTACTAACCAAGCATAAGTGTTAAGTAATGTCAGGACTTCGGCACGTTCCCCGTCACTTGATACGTCGGGACAAGAGCCTCGCAGTGGTGCTCGAAGCAGGAGCTTTTGGCCTTGTTGGCACGAGTTTTACTCCTGGTTCTAGCATGCGCACGTGCCGCATGTCTCATGTAGAGTTATTGGACATGCGGCCTGTACGAGTTTTCCAATCCTTCTGCCAGGAGTCCGTCCGAAAGTTCCAGGTCGGCAGCAAGCAGCAGCAGGCAGGGCACAAAGGGATTCTGTACTGGTGAAGACGTACTTGAGTTCTCTCCTGCGGCGCCGTCGTCAGCAGTCTTCAGGAGCAGCCCGAACAAGCCCATAATGCAGGAGTGCGGCTGCGAAGTGGAACAAGTACACCACGCTCACGCGTGCTCTCAGCAGGCTGAGTGCCGAGCACAAACGGTTGAACTTGGCGGTTCCTAGTCCGAGAAACGTACGTAAAGCACAATCAGTAGGGTGGAAGAAGCGGCATTTAGTGCGGATTGGAAAAGAGGCTGGAGAGGCTGCGTTTGGATTCGGAGCGTGTGGGTGACACCGCGACTTCCTACCACACTTGCATCTTCTTGCAGACGACTCTGTATCCACACACGACCAAGCGCACTGGTAACAGCAAGTACTGGTAGCTGTAAAAAAGGTTCTAGCGTACCAATGGCACCAACAGTGCATAGTACAGATACTAGTAGTATACTGTATACTCGTATAGTATTAGTCACAACAATCAGAAACACAGATTTCATGGGCAGGGCTGGCGGTTCCAGCAACAACTGCACCACAACTGTTCAAAGAATCATGCTTTGTCGAACACGGACGTGATATGTGTAATTTCTGCAGGGCCTCATGACTGCTATCGCCGTTGGGAAGCACACTACTTTTGCACATGTTCATGTGTCTTCAGTCCTGCCCCTACTTGACCTTCCGTCGAGCTTTAAAGCAAACAACTCCGCGGCCGTGTCTGCAAGGAGTTCTTCAAATCTCGACAGCCCCCGAGGACCCGCGAGGCTGGATATCTACGGATTCGGGGGATCGATCACCCTCTGTAGATGCGATCATGAACTTAAATGAAGTCGTTCCCAAGGACCCGCTTTCGACACTTGGTGCACTTCGGCTGAAGTCAAGTGGGCATGATGTCCCGCCAACACCTGCCAGGGACAAATGGAACTTTGCAGAGCGAGTCCTCAGGCAAGGGAGTTGTGGCATGGCCACAGCCACGTGAACAGCTAGCAGCAGTCTTTCAAACTCTGCTCTTAAGAACGGAGCGCTGTGTTCAAGGCGATAGATCTTTTGATCAAGCGCGCCCACTCTCTGAGCTCTCGGCTGTGGCTGGTCAGGTCCCGAAGCCCTTCTGCAGGAGCCGAGGAGCGCAGGCAGAGGCGTGTCTGAGCTCAGAGTGGAGTAGAGAGCCTCTTTGAGTCCGTTCGAACAGGGGGAGCTGCAGCAGGCTGCAACTGCCACGAAGTCGGACACGACACGGACACATGACAGAACAGGATAATCCAGGGTTTCTGTTCTAGGACTCTCGGACGTGACCGGCTTCTGAAGAAACGCAAAGAGATGCTCGCAGGCGCTCGACGCTACTCGATGCCTGCGTTGGGGAGGCAGGGGCTGTGATACCTACTCGATACTCGTAACACAGAAGATGCTGGAGTTGGCTGGGTTTGTGGCCTTGGCACCATGGCATACAGTGCAGGATACCTTCAAGAAGTAATCTGCGTTTTGCCGCTATTTGCCTCCTTCCTAGCCAGTTTCCACGTGCACTGGATTGCCCAGCTTCCTCTACAGCGCTAGGCAGAGGAGGCGAGCGGGCAGCCAGGCTGCACTGTGCAAGTCGTGGCTTCTGCTGGAATTCTCCTCAAGAACTTTCTCAGGGCGCAGCCTGTCAGCATTCAGCAAGGTTTCGAGCCAAGCTGACTTAGGCAGAAGCCGGCTCCTGACGCACCTCTGTCGGCAGACTCCCTCGCACGGTACTTCCAGGCCTGCAGCTCCGGAGGGCAACGTGGCACTTGCAGATTTTCACATGTCAATATGTGCAATTAGTGTTGGTTTTCTGTTCGTCGGAAACGGTTTCTGAGGACGAAGCGCAGTTGCAAGGCATTCTTGGTTGAACACGTTGCTCACATTGACATCGGTCCGAAGTTGGCCCTACAGTTGAGCCAATGCCGTTAGGCGAAACGAGATGCCGAACGCCCCCCGGCTGCAGTTCGAGTGAGCATTGTACGACCCTGGAGCTGCGAAGAGAACAGCGCAGAACGCGAACCTTACGCTTGGCAATATATATATATATATATATATATATATCATTATATAAAATATCATCGAAGCCTTTATTCCAGCATACCCTAAACCCTAAACCCTGTCGGTTTCCACTAGTTGTGAACAACATGACAAAAATATTTGCCTATGCCATCAAGAACGAGTTTCCGTCAGCTGCCCATATCTCCAGAAGTTCCATGGTGTAAAGATCCAAGGAACACCTCAGAACTTATCTGACGCCGGAAGTGCGCAAGAGGAGTTGCTCGGCAGCCTTTCCGATTTTTCTCGCCATGAAACCCCAAAGCTCTGCTCGCTAACTCCAAGCCCTCTGAACACCCTCGCCCTTTTCCATCCTACCAAAACCTATAGTCACTACGAAACCCTTTAAACCAGAATCAAACCCTTGGAACACCTCACGAAAAGCAGACGGCCAGGCTCGAGCGCGTGCCGCGCTTTGGCTCGGAGGGAAGCTCCGAGGAACCGGGATGCTCCTAGGAGTCCCCCCTTAGAGGGTACTATGGGGTTGTATAGTAGGGTCCCCTATAATTAATTAAGGGTTACTGCAAGGCTTACTGTTGTGCTGGTAAGGCTACGAAGTTACTAAACAGCCCAAACCAACTAAAAACTGCAGACCTGAAATCCCCATCAACTCGCTAGGGACCAACCTTTCAGCCCTCTTTGAGTTGAAATCTGTGCTACCGTCGCTCTGTAGGATGGCGCAGCTGGCAGCCCTGCACCACTGCAGCTTCTCCAGGTTCCGGTTCTACAAGCATGCAACAGTATGGCACGTAGAGCTGCATGCCATGAATGGATGTGACTGAAATGAAACCTGAGGTGAAGTGAAGTGACAGTGTAGTGAAGTGAAGTGGTTGGCGTGGAATGAAGTGGAATCATGAATGGATGAAAGCAGGAATGAATGAATGGGTTAATTGATCAGCGAGTATATGAATGTATGCATGTACACACTCAGAGTGAGTTTATATTACCTTTCGTAGCGCTAGTGGTTCGTAGAGCCATCTGCCGGATGCAGATGTGAACGGGTCGCTTGTGTGCTTACCCGCCGTCCGAAGGCAGATCTCAAGAACATGAAAGTCTCTGAGTTGAGAGATCGCGCTGCCACCTACGGTTGTGCCGACGACACGCGTCTCGGCCTCCAGGTTAGCACTTCTCGTGCGCATCCTTGGTTGATGGTCTTGACAGTTGCTTTTGAGCAGTCTTTGTCTCAAAGCGGCGCTCTCAACTGTTCTCGATATAGGGGCCTTAATTCTAGGGGCTGCGCCCAGGTGCGGGCAGCGCGAGTTGTTGTCAGCGGATGTAGCGGGGGAACGGGAAAGACACGGTCAAAATTTCCAGACGGTGCCGAGACAACGACAGCTCGACACCGGAACAAAAGTGTGACGTAGGCCCGAAGTGCGCAACTTGTGGGTGATCGTAGGCTCTCAGCCCCCGTCGGCCGTGCATGTAGCCCGCACCCCCCGTCCGCCGGACCCCGCTGATGCTCATGATGCGCGCCCTTTGGCGGCTTCCGCAACCCATTCAAAAACTTGGGAGTTATGACTTCGCGCCCATGTCGCGCCGCCGGCGCCGGTTGCCGGCGCCCGAGGGCTCATGATGCTCGCCGGCTCGCCTCCTGGGTCGTCCACGGCGGCCCCGAAACCCGCCACACCGCGGGGAATGGCTGCAAAACGCGTGCGCGTTCCGAGACGCCTTCGGGCCAGGCCCCGCGCGGCCCGAGGGAGAAACGAGGGTCCGATGATGCGGGGTCCGGGGCGGGTCGGCGGCACTGTCGGTCGTGGCTTCTGCTTCGCAGACGAAGCTCATTCGTCTGAGCCATAGCTCAGTCCATACAGGGCAGCGAAGCGCTGCCCGATTGAAGGGCTGCGCTACCTGGGGCTCGGCGCAGGTAGGCGGCAGGAAGTAGCAGGGCACCCCCCAAGGGGGGCCTGTCGTGCAGCAAGCCTGATAGCAGCTGTGCTACATGAAGACGAGCAGTGCTCAACTTCTTTTTTTCGTGCCGAGCTTCGAGCAAGAAACGACAGATCAGTAGAGGGGGGCGAGTGGCGTGGGCGTGTCCGGGTGGGGGTGCAAAGGCAGGGCGGGGGGGGGGGGCGGTGCAGAGCCAAAAGCTGGGGAGGCGGTGTCGCGCGTGCGGCGGGTGGTCGTGCTGGAGCAGCAATAGAATAGAAATCAAATAGAGAGGGGGGGGGGGGGTGCAGAGCCAGGGGAGGGGGGCGGGTGCAGAGCCAAACCTTGGGGGGGGGCGGAGCCAAAGCTTGAGAAGGGGAAGAGGTGCCAAAAGGGCGCGCGGCAGCGGCGTGGGCGTGTCCGGGTGGAGGTGCCTCTCAGAGCGGGGGGGGGGGCGGGTGCAGAGCCAAAGCTTGGGGAGGGGCGGCGTCGCGCGTGGGGCGGGTGGTCGTGCTGGAGCAGCAAAAGAGAGTGGAGCAGAAAGAGACGAGGGGGGGGGAGGGGGGCGGGTGCAGAGCAAAACCTTGGGGGGGGTAGAAAGAGAGGGGGGCGAGTGCAGAGCCAAACCTTGGGGGCAGCGGCGTGGGCGTGTCCGGGTAAGGGTGCAAAGGCAAGGGGGGGGCGGGTGCAGAGCCAAAGGTTGGGGAGGGGCGGTGTCGCGCGTGGGGGGGGTGGTCGTGCTGGAGCAGCAATAGAATAGAAATCAAATAGATAGTAGAATCGAGTAGAAAGAGAGGGGGGGGGTGCAGAGCCGGGGGAGGGGGGCGGGTGCAGAGCCAAACCTTGGGGGGGCGGAGCCAAACCTTGAGAAGAAGAAGAGGTGGCGTCGCGCGTGGCAGCGGCGCGGGCGTTCCGGGTGGAGGTGCAGAGCCAGGGGGGAGGGGGGGGCCGGGTGCAAAGCCAAAGCTTGGGGAGGGGCGGCGTCGCGCGTGGGGCGGGTGGTCGTGCTGGAGCAGCAAAAGAATAGAAATCAAATAGAATTGAGTGGAAAGAGACGAGTGCAGAGCCGGGGGAGGGGGGCGGGTGCAGAGCAAAACCTTGGGCGGCAGAGCCAAACCTTGGGGGCAGCGGCGTGGGCGTGTCCGGGTGGGGGGGGCGGGTGCAGAGCCAAAGCTTGGGGAGGGGCGGTGTCGTGCGTGGGGCGGGTGGTCGTGCTGGAGCAGCAATAGAATAGAAATCAAATAGATTTAGGGTTTAGGGTTTAGGGTTTTAGGGTGCCGAAAGGGCGGCGTCGCGCGTGGCAGCCGTGGGCGTTCCGGGTGGAGAGCCAGGGGGGGGGCGGGTGCAGAGCCAAAGCTTGGGGAGGGGCGGCGTCGCGTGTGGGCGTGCTGGAGCAGCAAAAGAATAGAAATCAAATAGGATCGAGTAGAAAGAGAGGGGGAGAAAGAGAGGGGGAGGGGGGTGCAGAGCCGGGGGAGGGGGGCGGGTGCAGAGCCAAACCTTGGGGGGGGGGCGGAGTCCAACCTTGAGAAACCTTTGGGGCAGCGGCGTGTCCGGAGAGGGGGGCGAGTGCAGAGCCAAACCTGCGGGTAGAAAGAGAGGGGGGAGGGTGCAGAGCCAGGGGAGGGGGCGGAGCCCAACCTTGAAGAGGCGCCGAAAGGGGGGGGTGCAGAGCCGGGCGGAGCCCAACCTTGACAAGCGCCGAAAGGGCAGCGTCGCGCGTGGGGGGGGCCGGTTCAAAGCCAAACCTTGGGGGGGGGGGGGCGGAGCCAAAGCTTGGGGGGGGGCGGAGCCAAAGGCAAGGACACCCTCCTGGACCGGGACCGGGGTCGGCGGATAACTAGAACAGGGTTTGGGGGTTCTAGAATTCTAGTTACAGTATGATATTCCCTCAAACCCTATTCTAGGGATCCCAACCTAGAGAACTTCCCAGAAAGCCTAGCACGGCCTCGAAGCGGCCTCACTTCGCAAAGTCTGGAAAGGATGCGGGCCGCGCTGGACAGCCAAAATCCCAAGTCGGCGCTTGCAGAGCTCATCTTGGCCCGGGCAGCCCAGAGCAGAGTTTACGGAGTTCGAGATTTGGGGGCCGAGATCTCACGTACGAGCTTTTTTGCAGGGTCTGAGCAGCTTGCAAAGGATTCCCGGCTCGCTTGAATGTACATGGATGCAGCTTCGGCAAACTTTGCCATGGAGTCTTGGGTTCAGGCGTGTAGGACGTGGCTTCTATGCGCTATTGCCGCTCGCAGTGATGCAAGGCTGAAGGTGTTGGATAGATTCTTGGCAACTCTAAGGTACCTCTCTGAGCTGTGATTGGGCATATGGAGAACTATTCCCCCTTTCCTCCTCCCGTTCTCAGCGTGGTGAACAAGCGGTCAACCTTCATGCTTGCAGACTGACGTTCCAACCAGGGTACAGGCAGTCTCCTTCAGTTCGCAAAGAAGTCAGGTCGACTCTAGCATTGCCTCTCTCGGAGCTTTCATGGGCAGAGCTCGTCAAGCTTAGGGAAGATCATCCTAATGCTTGAATGCGGTCGCTCAGGATGTGGCAAGGGATGCCAGCGATGCTCTCATGGAGATGAGCCTGCCTGAGCTGAAGCAGCATGCGCAAGAGATGGGCGTCACAGAGGCTCGGTCGGGCAAACTTAGGCACGATAGCACGAACTATATACTATTGCCAACAGCTGCTGCTGCTACCACCACGACCGCTACCACCCCTCCCCCCCTCCGCAGCGCCAGCACGTTGCCACTGCCACCGCCACCACTCTGGCCACTCCTGCTACTGGACCGCTACAACGACAGCGACAAGTACTACTACGCTTTTTCAAAGGTGGACTTCGGCCTAGACTCAAGACTCCAGGAGCCCTACAAGCAGTACGGTGTCCTGCAGAACAATCCAAGGGCTGCATCTTTGAAGAATAAGCAAGATTGGACACCTACCGCTAGAATCTAGCGGTTAGATGGGTGCAGATTCCGGCCTTCAACTTGAGATATCGTGTGATTCATGTTTTCATATCGTGTTCTATCTCGGGCTCAAGTTGTCAAGTTTCCTTGGAGAGGCCCAGATCGCCAGTGCCGAGAAGAGCAAGAATCCGAAGGCGACTGGGAGCTCTGCGCGTTCAGGGGTTTCAATTCCAGAGCGGGCCAGTGTCTAATGGCATCCATGGCCAGGTGGCTCTCATCATGGCGATCTTCGGGAGCAATCGCGATCAAGAAACACAGCCTCTCTGCGGCAGCACCAAGCTTGATAGCAACCTCTTTGCGACTATGTTATTGCTGTTGCATCGTTTTGTATAGCAGTGGTCGAGGCTCCTGGCAGAAACGGCTCCTGGAGAGGCTGCCGCAAGCGTTCAAAGCAGTCCCAGGACTCTCCAGGTTTTTACTGACATGTCACACACAGGTCTCCTTCGATGTTGGCCAGACCACCCTGCAGTCGGTGGAGGCAGCGCTTCCATGAGCATGCGAGCTTCATAGCCAGCCGTACATTGGCCGTACACCGGGAGATGCCAAGCCTGAGCCATAAGTTTGAATCACCCTCGCAGGCACATGCATTGGAATTGCGGCGCAAGGTGCGCCCAGCTTAGATCTACCCAGGGTGACTGGTGAAGAGAGAAGGTTTGGTCGAAAAGTTACACATCCATGGTTGTTCTGCGACCATTTCTGCTTGAATTTTCTTGTTTTCCATACAGTCACGTTATGTATGTATGTATGTATGTGTGTATGTATGTATGTATGTACTGCTTGCAATGTATGCCATACACAAGGACACTGTAACGTAATGCAAACAATGTATCTATTGCATCTGATGTGTACCGGTATACCGAATATATTATTGTATTTAGGAAATGTATATATTGCTTCAACCTAATGCATCTACTGTACTACCGTAGATTGTCTAATGGATCTGATGCACCTGATGTGCCTAATGTACAACAATGTACCTAATGCATGTCGTGTACGTAATGTACGCAACCTATGCAATGTATGTATGATTATGCCTAGGTCGCGAATTCAGAATGACTTCAGTGGAAAGTCTGACCAGCATTCGAGAAACAGAGTCCAGGAAGTGACCAGGGACGTTTGGCCGTCTCGCAATCTGCAAAACATTTGACTAGCAATCTGTAAAAGCCTGACAAATGCGGGTTGCCACCGTGCTCGAAATCTGAGAAGCAATCTGTAAGTATGTTGACCAGCGTACATAGAAATCTGAGAAGCAATCTCTACACCTTTTGTGGACAGATTTCGGGCGTGGCGGGGCCTGGGATCATGCAGATTCTGGTCAGGTTCGAGGCAAGGGAGAGGGTCTTGCTCAAATGCAGCCCACTGCGACGACTCTGGTCAGATTCTGCGCAAATTCCGAAGGGCGACCCTGGTCAGATTCTGGTCAGGTTCGGCCCAGGCTTCGGGTCAGATTGTGGAGAATCTGACCAGGATCCGAATGGGGTCCTGTCAGGAATCTGTCCAGATTCTGACCGGGGTTCCCCGTCTTGGCCATAACCTGACCAGAATCTGATCATTGGTGCCAGCCAGGCTTTTATCCTGGCCAAATTCTTGACAGATTCCCACAGAACTGATTCCACTCAGATTCCGGTCAGATTTTGTCAACTGAGTTGTGGCCAACACGTCCCTGGTCAGATTCTGAACATGTTGGCTGGACAGATTCTGGACAAATAATTCTCGGAAAAAGTATTTGATAAAACCTGGCCATTACCACGCAGCCCACATTATCTGTCTATATGTATATGGAAGTGTATTTGTACGTATGTATGTATGTATGTATGCATGTGTAACCTGCAGTACTTCAATACAATGTAAGGCAATGTATTGTAGCGTATTTGTATGTGTTTGCATGCATGCATGTATGCATGGATGTATGTATGCATGTTTGTATGCATGTTCGCACGTAGGCAGTTATGCATGTATCATGCGTGCAGTATGTACATGTATCATGCAAATGGATTGCTATGTATGAGTACAATTACGATGCGCACACCCTGTATACACTGTGTATCTCGTGCACAATTAGCTAAATTAAGTATATAAATCACGAATCGACATATAAATATCAATACACACAGATGTGCGTGCTTTTCAATGATGTACGAATTGCACAGTATGCCGGGCGCACAAGCTACGCCAGGATTTGAGCCAAGAGCCGGGTCCTCATCAGCTCGGCCAGCACCCGAGACCTTCAATTTTGCTACCGCGACGTTTCGAGTGCAGAGTTTTGGGTTTGGGGCTTGGAGGGTGTCTGCTTGGAGGGTTTGGTTTCTTTGTTTTGCGGTTGGTTAGGACTTTGGGGTGAAATGTCAGGGGTTTTGTAAAGCTCGAGGTTTCTTCAAGGAGGGGTTTGAGTTGAATCGTAGGAGCTTGGACCTGTCCCGGTTCAACTATCCTAAAAAAGGACATGGTAGCAATGTGCGATACCTCAACCACTTTCACTGCAGTCCCCGTAGTCGTAGTGGTTGCAGCGGTGCTTGCAGTGGTAGTTAGTACTACGTAGTGGTCGTCGTAGCTGCAGTGGTTGTTGCCGTCGTGGTCATCGCGATCTTCGTAACAGTAGCAGCAGGAGGAGTAGCTTTGACCTGACTGGACCAGGCCCTGGTGCATTCGGGCTGGTCTGGTGGTCGCTGCGCTGCAGACAGGGAGAGAGAGGGGGGTGACCCCTTCTGCCCGAGTGCAAGCAAGATAAACGATCCCGGTGTTTCGAAGGCAGTTGCTGTTGTTGTGGTTGCTGGAACCGTTGTCGTTGTTGTTGTTGCCGCTGCTGCTGCTGCTACTGCTACTGGTAGTGCTGCTGCTGTTGTTGTTGTTGTTGCTGCTGCTGTTGCAACTGTTATTGAAACTATTCTTGTTTTTCTTGCTGTTTGCTGTGCTGTTACTATTGCCTTTGCTCTTGCAACCGCTGCTGCTGCTGCTGCTGCTGCGGCCGCTGGTGGTGTTGATGGTGGTGGTAGTGGTTGTGGTTGTGGTTGTGTTTGTTGTTATTGTTATTGTTATTGTTGTTGTTGTTGTTGTTGTTGTTGTTGTTGTTGTTGTTGTTGTTGTTGTTGTTGTTGTTGTTGTTGTTGTTGTTGTTGTTGTTGTTGTTGTTGTTGTTGTTGTTGTTGTTGTTGTTGTTGTTGTTGTTGTTGTTGTTGTTGTTGTTGTTGTTGTTGTTGTTGTTGTTGTTGTTGTTGTTGTTGTTGTTGTTGTTGTTGTTGTTGTTGTTGTTGTTGTTGTTGTTGTTGTTGTTGTTGTTGTTGTTGTTGTTGTTGTTGTTGTTGTTGTTGTTGTTGTTGTTGTTGTTGTTGTTGTTGTTGTTGTTGTTGTTGTTGTTGTTGTTGTTGTTGTTGTTGTTGTGTGTTGTTGTTGTTGTTGTTGTTGTTGTTGTTGTTGTTTGTTGTTGTTGTTGTTGTTGTTGTTGTTGTTGTTGTTGTTGTTGTTGTTGTTGTTGTTGTTGTTGTTGTTGTTGTTGTTGTTGTTGTTGTTGTTGTTGTTGTTGTTGTTGTTGTTGTTGTTGTTGTTGTTGTTGTTGTTGTTGTTGTTGTTGTTGTTGTTGTTGTTGTTGTTGTCGCTGTTGTCTTTAGTGTTGTTGCGGAGGCTCGCCTCAGCACGATAGCTGCGATGGCATTCGTAGCAGGATGGACTTTCACATGTCCTTTTCATGTCAAAGCTGGGAATGCAGCTTTCCAGTGGCGGAGCAGCAAGCTGTTCTTCCCTTAGGTATCTGAACGCTGAGGAAGAGGCTGGTCTCTTGAAGAAAACCCTAAATTCTAAACCCCCATAGCTGCCACAGCCAGGAGCGGCTGGGTGGAGATGCTCTCCAGTCGCCGGCATCGCCAGAGGCCGCAAAGGCCGAGCTGGAGAGTCACGGCAGCGCGATGTCGAGACTTGTGAGTTTTTCCGAAGGCCTTGCCGCCCGTGCCCAGCTCTCAGGGGCGCCTGCCAGAGGCGAAGATGCATAGGGCATCAAGCCATGTACTAAGCCTACGTCTGTAGTCTGAACTCCACCACCCCCTTTTCCTGCGCAGGTGAAATTCGAAGACGCAGCGCCGAGGGCTCAAGTCGCGATATTCGGCAGCCTTTCTGATATGCTAACGACCATAAAGCCACAAACATCACCGTCGTCCTCGTCAGTGTCGGCGCGGCTACTGCTTGCAAGTGTAAGCACGTGGGTTCTCCTTTCGAGTTCTGAGGTCTTCGCCTTCGCACCTCCTACCGTGGACGGCTCTCCACGCCCCACTGAAGCAGGGCCACAGGACTATGACATACCATGACCCAGAAAACTATAGGCCTTGATGCCTCGGGAAGTCATGTCAGGACAAAGCTTGCAGCGCCGCACTCGGTATTCAAATGACCGAGCGGTCCCTGGCTGTGCCTTTGGACGCCAAGGCTCAGGCCGTGGTGTCGGCCCAACCTGGCGTGCAGGACGAGGTGTTCAGCCCCCCGAAACGCTTCAAAGCGCTGTCGCCTCCTTCTGGAGTTCTGGAGGAGCCAGAGGCCGGCATTGGGGAAGTCTCCCTGATCCAGGCGCGACAACCCCGCCTCCGCTCAGAGGCTTAAAGCGTCAAGGTGAAGGTAGAAGGCTTGAAAGCACGGTGTCACAATGTTTGAGTCTAGGATGAGCACTTGCCATTTCGGAGCCCAGCTGCAGGCTCTGCATTTGGTCCACTGGTGTTGGGCGTCCGCGAGCCGTGTTTCGCACGGATGCTACAGTACCCGAGCTGCCTCGAAATCTGCTGCTAGCCAGGCACCCTCATTCTGAAATGGCTGCGTCATCCTTGGTGTGAGCAGCCTAGCGGTGCTGCACTGATGCAGCGACACCGACAAGGGGCACAGGGTGCGATGCTGGAAATGTGAGGCCCATGCTTCTCCTTGGAAATGAGGGCAAAGTGGAGCTTGACTGGGCGCGCCACTGAAATGCAAACCTTGCGCGGCTCGATGTCAAACCGAAGCTTTCGCCACGCTGTTCAGGCATTGATGCTGCTGGCCTTGCACATGTGGCGGCGGGCCTCTGCCGCGGCAGATCGAAAGGAGTTTCTGGTAGACAATGAGATGCTGCAGGCTGGAAATCCATAGTGCAGTCCAACATGATGGGAGCCGTTTCCCACGCCCTGCATTTGAGATTGAAGTCTGCACATGACTTTCCCTGCGAAAGTAAGCCAGGCTCAACGCCAGACATGTTCGGGCTCGGAGCTTCTTGCTACACTGTACCGAATCGCTAGTGTGGACGGTTGTTCCGGGGACCCTTGCATGCTCCGAGCTTTCACGCTTAGGCCTTCAAGTCTTTAAGCCTACTACTACTACTACTACTACTACTACTACTACTGCTGCTACTACTACTGCTACTACTACTACTACTACTACTACTACTACTACTACTACTACTACGACTGCGACTATGCATTCCTGACAGGCACCAACGTCAGGCCCGAGTCCGAGTCTGGGTTCTCTCTATGCCATGGCCATGCAAACGGAGAGAGTCTTTCTGAGTCTGTAACTCAGATATCATCATCCCAGCCAGCATGGCAGGTTTGAGCTACTTCTTCTCGAAGAGCTTGGACGATGCTCGAGACTTTATATTATCCTTTGTGAAGCTGTCGCAGCTAGACCACCAAATCCGAGTGTACCAGGTCGATGCCGGAAAGACTGCCATGTGGGGTCAGGCCAGGAGTATCATGTTTGAGGCAGATGTCATTGCCATGGTAGTCCGAGAGCTTCTTCAGCTTCAAAGAGCAAGTTGACTCGCAATGCAGATGCTGTAGCTTTTTCAAGACGGGGAAGGATGTGGGCACCCTCCTCCTCCACGTCTGCCGCCACCCTGTCAGTGCAGCGCATCCTCTGCCTCATCATCATCGTCGTCTTCGTCCGCCCTCATCATCATCATCATCATCGTCGTCGTCTTCGCCGTCATCATCATCATCATCATCATCATGGGTTGCGCATCGGGCTTTCGCAGTCAGCATCGCCCTGGACTCTCTGTGTATTTTGATGGCCAAAGCCATTCTCTTGCGAGGTGGTGGTTGGCAAGAGACATGGCGAGTGGGTAAAGGTTGGCCAGCCAGAGCCCCTGCTTTGCTGAACAGCGGTGGCCGTGTTCGAAGTACGTTGCACTGTATTCTTCTTCTGTGCCACTGCCGAACAAGCCTTGTCCCCTTTCGAAAGCCCTCCATCCAAGTTGCTGCTACCTCCCGACCTCGCTGAACGGAGTTCAGGCCACTCTTGCCAGACAAGCTCTAATCCTCTTGATGCTTTGGCGCGTACCGGGATCCTCGGATGTTGCTCCTGGTAGGTAAAAGTGCCAGCGTGCTTGCATTAGCCCGGCTGCTACACTGCATGTGGAGGGCATCTGAGCAGGGTCAGGAGGCTGTCCCAAGCCACTCAGAAAGCATAAGCCCCCAAAGGCTCGCTCCGTGCACACCCAACAAACCTTCTTTCTGCAGGTGCTCCGGGAGGACTTTGACCCTTCCGAAGTATCTGGTGTGCGGGCACGATGGAGGCGGCATAGCCGTAAGGAAGGAGGACCAATCAATGCTAATATGGCAACGGTCGATCCGTGGTTCCATGTAAGTATGCAATGCACTCGTTACTGTTATGAGCTGCATTTTGGAGAACCGCCGATAAGCGAACCTGGTGAATCTGGTGGCGGCATGATCACTTGGGTACAGTACTGTATCCAAACATTCTGCCGGAGTGCAGCTTTCTTGCATGCACCTTGGATGTGCCTCACCCCAGAGTCCTGACAGCTCACACTCCGGCCAGAAAGACCCTACACAAGGCTTCAACCGAAACCTGCTTGGATTGCCAATTCGCCCGGACTTCCAAGCTCCGACTGCACACCGAAGCCCTCGCAGATGTGGAAGAGGTACCCTTTAAAGAACCTTTATCATAAAGATTCCTCATTGCAAAAGAACGAACCCTTGTAGGATCCCAGACACCCCGACTCCCCGACTCGTTGAACCTACGCAGGCGGCCGGCGTTGGAGGCACTTGGGGAGCTTGGCCATGGGCTGGGGTTGGGGTTGGCTTTCGGGGCCCTTGTATTCAGATTCAGGCAACTCCGCTTCTGATCCTGGTTCCCTTGATGTCGTCCGGATGATGACGATGGTGGTGATGATGGTGAGGAGGATGACTAGATTGATATTGTTCTGTATCGATGTTCAACTGATCCGAGATGATGATGATGACGACGATTTTTTGATGGCGATGTCGATGGTGCTGATGCTGAGAGCGAGCATTTCGTCGATGAGGCGCGAAAGGCAGGCAGGAGGTGAGGCCACAACTCGGTCCAGTGCTTGTTTTGGAGCTGAGCCTTTGCTGTCTCATTAACGATGCATACCTAAATAACATATTGCATAGGAACATTTGCGCCACAATCGTGTGCATGCTTCGACCTCGAGGTGGATGAGCAGCAAGGTTGACTTCTCAGCGGGATGGTGAACAGTGACTTCAATTTTCGATGGACCGTTTAGAGCGTCGTTTGTGGGTCTGTGGGTTTGAAGCGAAGGCTGGATATAGGGGACCGCGTGAGGCCTGCATTAACTGTTGCGGCAAGGCTGTTCCGAAGTGGTCTTGCAGCGATGAGGCCGCAATGATATTGTCGACCTGACGAAAGACTTGAAGAAGGAGCACTCGGGACTCGGGGGCATGGGTTCAACCGACGTGTTGCCAGACCGGTCCATCGCATCAAACGCTATCCTCTTGCCGCAAGGTGTGATTACACACTGGCTCGCGGACACTCACGGCCATGGAAGTGTTCCGCATGCAGGGCAATTTCGACAGAAGAAGGCAGAGATGAACAAATGTAAAAGTTCAAGGAACATGCCAAGCCGAGCCAACGCGGGTCTGGTACATAAGCCTTAGACTCTGGACCTTTGCACCAAACCCAGAGTTGACAAGAGAGTACCCAAAACAACCGTTGTAAGCCGCTCTCCTCTGAGTTTTTCGTGGCCATGGCCCCCGCCCAACGGCGAGAGACGTCAGAGGCCGCCTCAAGGCGGATACTTCATGATGCAACAAATTGGGTTTGGGGATTAAGGGATTAGGGTTCAGAAGTGTTAGACTGATTATGAGGGCGATGGTAACAATAAGGGGAGGTGTAATTAAGACTGATGAAGGTCTTTTGTCCTCCAAGCCTGAACCCCTGAACCCCTGTAAAGCCTCACCGAACCCGACAATACCCCAAACCCCTAAAGCCCCTCGTAAGCCCCAAGCCCCAACTCGAATCTCCGCGCCCGTCGCGAAACTTTCAAGCCGAACCCTTAGTCCAGCCTTTGCAGTGCTGGAAGGGCAAACCTTTCGACTGGCAGGAGAAAAGTCCCCTTCCGGTAAACCTTCGAGCCATTATAGTCATTCACAAGTACCGTGCCCTGAAGTACCCGCTTGACTAGAGGCGGTTTCGACCTGCACCACTGCTGATTCGGGAGGACTGAGCTGTGCAAAGCACACTCCTCTTGGGTTTAGGTTTAGAGGTTGTGGTTTAGGTCAGGGCTTAGAGCTTAGATTCTTGAGTTGAAGGAGATCCTTGATTGAATTGGGGACCGAGGACTTTAAAGCTTTTAACGCCACGCCGCCCGCCTCGCTGTTTAGCGGCAGGGCGAGGGGGCAGTCGATGTTGTATACATGCTAGGGGGGCCTCTCAACCCCAACCTTAATGCGGTTGTTGCTAACAAAGTGCGAGGAAAACGGGGGGAAAGGGGGGGTGGAGGGGGGGGGAGGGGGGGAGGGGGGGTGGGGAAGGGGCGGGGGAGGCTTTTCTGGGGGGGGGGATGCTGACAAATCAGGTAAATGCAGGGAAGCCGGACAAGGGATGGCAAAAACGAACGCAAAAACAGGGTGTCTCCAAACATTTGACTGCAGGGAGGAGGATTAGGTGGAGGGTACCTGAGGTAACCGGCCTGTGGCCTCGGCGGATCACTCCGCTTGGCTTCGCAGTTGCATTCGTCGGCTCTTCTAAGCGATGCCAAGAACCCTCCTTTCTAACGATGTTATCTACTGACTTCGCAAAGGTACCACTTGCAGGTTGCGAAGCTTTTCCTTAGATCAAATTGGGGCCAGGAAAGCGCAGAGAGAGCTCCAGCAGCCGGAGCCAAGCCCAGCCTCATCTCCTTCGAAGGGTTCTTGGGCAGAAGCTAAGGGCACACGTCCTGGGCTCCCCGTCCTACCGTCTCAGCCCTTTCGTTTCTCGACCGAGGCCCAACCTCCTCATGTCCACACCCTCTTCTCCCTCCACGCCTGCACGGGCAAAGCCTATGCGGCGGGCTTCCAGCAGCGGCAGGCGCGTGGACTCTTGAAGCTCTTAGCAGCTCTTAGATTGAGCACCCTCTTTCCGTGCCTCCGTGCATTAGCAGGCTGAACAGCCGCCCTCAGCTTACACCTCTGCACAGCCGAGTTCCGAAGGGAAGCTCAAGCTCCTTGCCGGCACGGACTTTGCAATTGTGGTAATTGTGGTGGTGGTGCTGGTGTTGGTGGTGGTCGAAAATGTGCAAGTATGTAGCAGTGCATAGTTAAGTTTAAACACATGGCCAAGAGTTGTGTCGAAAGATTTGGTATCTTTACACACATCATAAACAGTAGCACAGGTGTGTGTATTTATATGACATAATAAGGGAAATATGAGATAACAGCAGTGTAACATAACACAAGCAATATAATCTATCATATATGTGTCTATACACATACCTGCATACATACATACATACATACACGAAGACATACGTATACACACATGCATACTTACATACTTACATACAGCCAGGTAGTCAGACAGACAGAGATACATCCATACATGCTCTCGGGTCCCGGGCCGCCACCCCCCCCCCCCCCCCCCCCAATGGTATCACCCCCACACCCCCTGCGCACTGCTGCTGCACGCCCACCCGCCCTGCCCGCACCTTGCCCGCACCTTGCCCGCCCCTTGACCTTGTGCGTGGATCGGGAGTGTCGCACTATGCACCGCCGTGTGCGCAAAGCGGCAATCGGCGCAGTAGTTTCCAGCGTCTGACATGAATTGCAATGCTGATTTATGAGGGTTGTATCGCGATGGTGATGGTGGCAGATATTCTTTTGAAGGTATTAATGATGAAGATGACGATGACAAGGATGATGTTGAGCATAGTCTGATTGTCGACTCATGTCCCGGTCTAGAGCAGCACAACATCATGAGCAGTATCACCGGTGCCACAGCAAGAGGGAAGACAAGGAGTAACACATAAGAACGTCGCGGCAAAAAGAGTATCACCACAGGCCCCACACCACAGGGGGGGCGGGGGGGAAGGGGGGAGGATACCATGGGGTGGGGGGGGGAGGGGGGTGTGGCAGCCCTGCATCATACATCCATGGTTACATGCATACATATGTATATAAATAAATAAATAAATAAATATATATATATATATATATATATATACATGTTCATATACAGACAGTGTGCATAATGTACATACATCTCTTGTGTGCATGTATGTATGTATGTAGGTAGGCAGGTAAGAAGGTATGTATGTATGTATGTATGTATGTATGTATGTATGTATACATGGTCTGAAGTGCGTGCTGGCGCATATGCGCGTATGAAATGAATCCTTGGTTTATATGCATGTGTATCCGTGTATCCTCTCTTTCCTGTGCTCCAAGAGCTGCGACAGCTACGACCCGAGGCTTCTCTGCAAAAGACGACCTTTTCGTTACTGGCACTGCAACAGGCAGCGTCGATGTTTAGGAGATAACATGAACCCACCAGCAAAGCAGGCTAGGGAATGTGCACCCTGTCTGTCCCAAAAAGGCTATTCAGCCGTCAACTCAAAGCACTAAACCCTAACCAAGCCCCAGCAGCGTTTCTATCGTCCCCTGCGAAGATCTGGCTCGCGTTATCAGCGCCGGAAATCTTCCACGGACGCCTGCAGTCAAAGGGACGGCGAAGAAGCCGGGCTACCTTCCAAAGCTGGCAGGCCAAGTTGCGGACGAAACCTTTCTCGTCGTCGCGTTGCAATGGGAGCTTGTAGAACCTGTTCTTTAGGCAGCCCAGTGCTCGCCGAAACTGAAGACGCCGCTGCGTCTCAGAGCGCACCAGGACACTTGGCAAACATGCGAGAACTTGGATTGCGAACACTGCTTTTGTGACAGACTGCTCGTGTGACCTGCTGGTAGAGACAAGTACGGACTATCGAGATGCTGTCCAGGCTCCCTGGATGGATCAAAGGAGTTAAAGGAAGTCGAGTTCTGCCCAACGCCGATGAACACAGCTCCTTGCAGTTTTTGCACCACTTGTCCGATCGTTCCAGTATGGCTCACTGCAGTTCTCGAGTGTAGTACTGTGTGTGGCCTGAGCATGCCAGGTTCATGTTATAACGCCGTACTCCAAAGTCTACGGACGCACGGCTGGACTTGGAAGATTCTTGAACTGTAGCTGATGAGATTGCAATTGCAGATATAGCGCTGACTCTGGCTGTCAGAAAAGCAACGCTGATGTTGTCGCACCCGCGTCATGCTTGCCAAGAGGAGCTCAGAGCCTTGTGAACTGAGGCACTCACCCCAAGCTGTCTGTGACTCAGTCGGCTGCTGACGCGCTCGAACATTTCCATCGAAGACTCTACGATTTCGCCCGAAGCGCCACCCGACTCAGCCGGCTCCGACGGGCTCCGAGGTTCCACTACAATCGCAAGGGCGAGCAGGAACTGAACGACGCCGGGGTGGCGGCGATGATGGATGCCGAGGCAGAGACCGAGAAGCTCGACACTGGGATGCACAACGCACCCAAGCCCGAGCGGTCATATTCAACGAGATGATTCTTAGTCGACTTTCTGTGCTCTAGGTGCGAGTTGCCTGCTGAGCTTAGGACGTGGACTAGCGAGATTACCGCAACGTACCCCGGCAGAAACTGGTTGGGACTTACATATGAGGCAGGGCGAGTCAACTCCAATACCTGCCCTGTTTTGCGTTCTGTGGTGGAAGCTTGTCCTTGGAGCAAAGAGGCTTCCAGGGCTCTTTTGGCTGAGACGTTCGGTTGTTTGGACTTGACTGCTCAGGCTTCCGGTGAGACGTCCGAGATGCGTTCGGGATCAGCTGTTCCAGCAGAGTAGAATAGAGGGTCGAAGTGTTCGGGGTGTGGAAGCAGCGCGCCCCTTCCAAGCGAGGAACCTTCCAAGAGAAGTAGTCATTCATATCTTTCCTTTCGGGTTTTGGCTTCCGCGCCGCCCGGCTGTCGACATGTTGAACCTTTGTGTCCGCGAGAGTCACTATGTGTTATGCTTGGTTGAGCCACTCCTGGAAGTGCTCCCACATGGAGACGGACCAGACCTCTCCAGACCTTGTACAGAAAGAGTTTGGGAATATGGCTTCTTCACCCTCGGAGCCTTGAACACTGAAAGTGTCAGGCGGAGGGGTTAGTCTCAAGCTCTGTCCCTCGCCGTCTCTATCTCTGCCTCTCTCTCTCTCTCTCTCCCTCCACTCTCTGTTTTTTCCCCAGTCCTTCGTGCCTGCTGGTCTCGAGCCCAAGCCTTAAGCCCAAGGAGTTGAAGCATGTACTGGTTACTAGGAGGTTCATGGTTGATAGGTATTGGTGGGGAAGTTTTGACCTTGTCGTCTCAGATCTAGGATTTCCTACCGTCTGGACCCACGAAGCTATGAAGACGAAGTCGATGGGCAGCAGGTTCTGTGTCTAAAGGCCCCGGCGGCTTCTTTGACATGTTATGGCTATCTCAGAGATTCGGCAGGCCTATGGGGATAATTCACTGCGGCTGCATGGGAAGACAGGGAGAGGACGTTGGACCAGGTCTCCGGTGCGCGGAGTTACTTTATAGGACTTGGGTTCGTCTTTATGAGCCGTAACGTCCATTTCGATCTTTATCAAGATGATGATCGGGTGAACGGGGTTTGTCCACTGTGCCCTACTTCGCACTTCTCGAACCTGCGAACTCTTCCTCTCGAACAGTACATGCTGTACGTCTTGTGCTTGCAGGAAGAATACATGTTGCATCTTTGGCTCGTTGTGATTTCACGTTTCTGTTTGTCTTGTCTGAAACGTCCTTCAAAGCTTGAAGCCTCGAAGAGTTGCAAATTCGAATCAGATATCAAGCACAGGGAAGGAAGGCAGGACACTTCGCGGTGGGCAACAGGCATATTATATGGTACCCCCCCCCAAAGACCAAGGCTTCTATATGAGCTTTAGATACAAGCCTACTTGCACTAGCCGATAGTCGTCGGTCTTTGGGGGGGGGGGCAGGGTGCCAATAACAACCCTGTTAAGGTGTAGGGACAAACATGCATGGCGCAACCCCTTGTGGTTTTCATACAAGCCTGCATACAATGATCCTTATACCATTTCCTGTCGCACATTCCAGGAGGCCTATTGAATTCAATAGGCCCTATTGAATTCAATAGGCCTTCTGGATTGAAGATTGAAGATGCCCTCGAAAAGTTTCCTGGGAGATCTTCAATCTTCAATGCGGGAGGCCTATTGAGTTCAATATGCCCTATTGAACTCAATAGGGTTTGTCTTGAAATCGATCATGAGGGCCGTACGTGGAAGTGTGAAAATTGGGTTCAGGGGTCAAAGTCTATCGCTGCGTTTGCGTACTTTTGGAGTACACGCATATGGGTTTTAAGAGCTATGAAGAGAAAGTCATCAACTAGACGTATGATACTACCTTTAAGCTTCCCTAAACGTATTCTTTTGAATTACGCCCAGCTTAAATTCAGATAACACTACTAGTTTTATGCAACAAATGCAGTTGGAATACTAAGAATATAATCGAAGGCTCAATCTATCGAACTGTATACTACTGAGGTATCAAAAGCACATACTTTAACGTCCATGTAGCTAGCAATCTATGCATGAATGTATATGTTCGATTCAATTATTGGAAAGACTACTAAATGCACCGTATTTTTTTATAATACTTAGAACTGATTTGACATAAATAAATAAACACTCCGCCTCAATAGGTCCGAGGATCTGGCCTATCCAGCTATTTGCGTACTATATTCTACAGCTATATACTAAGCTACAACTTCATATCAGTATAACGTTGTCCCTACAGGCACTACTGTGAATATAATGCTTTCTGAGTTCTAATTAATCGGCAGACAACAAACCCTCTATGCTATTCTCATATTTAAATCTGACGATTGTTAGTTCAACAAGCCCTAGGCTTGAATTGATCCGAGGATTCAATTCAATCTACCCAATCATCTAATTACCAACATACAGAAAATAATGTTTCTGCAGTCAGTAATCCGTATAAGTATGTCATTATCCCTAGGTGTAGTGATATCATATGAAGCATTATAAATGCAATTTTCTGTCTGTTCGTGTTAACTGGCAAAGCACTTCATGAATAGCTTAGTTGTAGAGAGATTTCTTCAGGCTGTTTGGCTCCTGTTCGAAAGTATAGCTTCCAAGGTTCTACTATACTGCTTCTATTAAGCAGCTATCTGGGTAAATCGCAACAAGGAATCTCAAGCCACATTATTAGCAATTAGCAGTTAACAGACCCCGTAAATTCGATTGTATAACCAATTGCTGGGTACTTAACCTTATCTTTCCAAGAATGAAACGGTGCATACTAAATGCTAACACTGAGGTCTTATACTTAATCGGCATGTTTTACTATAAGACTATATGCTTGATATCTTAAACATATAGTCTAAGAATACATGTCTTTGTAGGGCCACATCTGTAGTAATTAACAAGCCCCGGAACTTCAATTTTATATTCAGCTGGCAAATAGTTAACCTTTTCTTTTCGCATACAATAAATGGTACACACTAAACGATGGCATCGAGGTACTATGCTTGGTAGGTGTTTTTAAACGTTACAAGTAGCTTGATTTCTTAAAACCAATAGTATAAGAATAAAAGTGTTTGTGGGGTTGACCACATACTACAATTGAAGCTAATAAAGCACACGGCATGGGGCGAGTTTTCCATACGAAGTAAGCCGTCAACAGAATATGGCACTTGAATGGAAAACGTTTTGGTCGTGATCGCGCTTAGAATGGCTCTAGGCGAGAAAACCAAACAAACAATACCAACAACAAACAAAAACAACAATACCACCAAAAACAAAAAACACTACTCACAAAAAAGTATTTCAGTACTCTTCCAGAATAGCATTAGAATTCTATATTAATGGGAGCACCCACCAATGTTCTTATCTGAAAACCTTGGTCTTTGGGGGGGGGTTAGCATATATATATATATATATATATATATATCAACGCATCATTCTTGCATGGATGGCTGGCTGGATGGATGGATGGATGGATGAAGGGACGGACGTATGTATTCATGTAATGTCATGTATGCGTGTCAGTCAGTATGTAATTATGTATGTAAGTACAAGCGTACTTTTCCATGTGTTCAATGGAGCATGTTTTGCACAACAGCTTGGGTAAGTTCCTTGCATGAGACATGTTAAGCCAAAGGGCCGGGCAAGCGTTTCTCCCTGTGCCCCTGCCTCCCAAACCCAACCCAAACCGTTTCCAGTCTGGCGCTCTATAGCCACCGCTGCAACCAAAAGGACTCGCTGCAATTCGCCTTGCTGTGTCATCGCATTTTGTTGCCCATTGACCAAGCATGTATGGCTTAATTACTTATGTATTTCTTTGACTGGTCACTCGTGCAACCTTTCTGATTCTCGAAGCGCTCTTCGTTGTGGGTCTGCCTGCCGGGTGTGGGATTCAGCTAGTGCACAACACCACGAAAATACTTTGTTTCAAGACTTCACGTCAGCTTGGTGGGCAGAGGTGTGATCGACTTCGCTATCCCAGACTACGGTTCAGGGTCGAAGATCTTAAGCAGCCTTCTTCCTGTTTCTTGCAACTAGGACTGACTGGTGCGGAAAAGGAGAAGAGTTGTAGCTAGAAAGAGAGGAAGAAATAGATTAGTGTGTCCAGGCGCTCCAGCGATCGGTGGTGCAGCGCCGGGATCTGGATGCCTCTATGAGCGAGCGTGCAGAGGCATGCTCAAGTTTTTGGAGCGTTCTGTCATGTCAGCAACAGCCATGCCATGCTTTGGCGTAGTTTGATGCGCGATCGATGATATTTACTCTCGTCGTGTTTGGCCCCAAAGAGAGGCCCATCTTGCTTACACGAAAGCAGCATCGGCATTGCTGATTTGTGAAGTTGGGGTTCTTGGTTGCATCGTCCAGTCAATCCAATCCGACCTACTGCAGCTTCGTCCCGTAGTTAACACGACATTGACCACGCCTGAACTGAAATCTACGGGCTTGAAAAAATTTCCAGCACTCGCAGTGCTGCCCATAATGCCACAGCTTGTCTTTGACGACCATGGACCCATGGACGGTACACAGGCGGTGCAAACATGCTGCCAACGGGACGAAAGCTCTCCTACAGCGAACGCTGTGTCTCGCAACCGGTAATGGCCCGGTAATAGTGGCAGTGCCAAATCCCTCCCAGAGGAAAAGAAAGCCAACAATCACACGCACGCGCACGCACACGCACACACGCACGCACACACGCACGCACACACGCACGCACACACGCACGCACACCAGCAACCTCACGCGCACACACGCAAACACTTTTGTTTGTCTGTGACCTCTTTTACAGAAGAAGGCTGCGCGTTCATCAACACCGCGGCATCACCATCATCTCGTTTATGATGTGTGAGCAAAACGCCATTGGCCAGACGGAGACCTGTGACCTGTTCCTGAAATCAGTGTAGCAAAGGCTTCCTGAGTCGAGTTGTCTCGTCCAGGCACATGAGGAACGCTGCAGGGCTATGCAGGCCACCTTACAGGCAGAGGGGAACTGACAAAGTGTCCAGTGCTTCCAGTCAGATATTCGAGGTTCTACCTGAGCTAGGTTCCCTTCTTCCGGTGATAGGCTTTGTGTGGAGTGGACCATGGCAGGCTCCGGCCAGTTACCGGGCCCCACAGACGACCAATTTCCTGAGATTTCCAGAAGCGAACACGCCTCGTCAGATCTGCGCGGACCCGCGAGGACACTCAGCTGGAGCTGGAAGCTGCGGCAGAGAGAGCTGCCCTGGAGGCCTCTTCTTCTGCTTGGGGTCAGAGAGCAGATGTTGGGCCAAGTTCCAAAAATCTAACCACCACCAGGCGACAACCCCTCTCAAGTCAACCGGGAACCCTTTGGGGTGCATGATGGGGAGTAAGACATAAGTTTGGGACTCCGAACCTCTGCGGTTTCAATTCATAGTCTTCTGGTCTCCCTGATCCTGTAAATCAGTTACTTGCACGTGCATGAGGTTGTCCAAGTGCCTTTAATCCTGAACCTAAATGCTGACAGCACATGCCCTAAATCCTGCCGAACTGTATTCATATTCCTTAAGCTCGCAAAAAAGCCGGACAACTGAGCAAAAACAGCGAACCCTGAAGCCTACATGACTTCTCGCGGATTCTCGCGCTTTTCGCCAGGCCGGTCTGTTGGCAGGTTCTGCTGCGGCTGCGGCTGGCAACAGAGGTGATGCAATGCAGGCTGGTCAAATTGATGACAGGAAGCAGCTTATAGGTTTAGCGGCTCTACCCTAAACCATGATATACCGTACCGTAAAGTAGATCCCTGACCAGCACGAATCGTTGTGGTGTGTTGTCATTTCCGGATGTTTCAGTGCGCGGTGGCCTGCTGGCCTCGAGCCTCCCCTTGTCAGGTTTTGTAGTAGCAATCTGTCATTCTGAAGATTTTACCATCATTGTTCAGGCCTTTGCCATTTAATTCCTGTCCACTGTCCGTTTGCAGGATTTGGCCTCTGCCACAGTGGCGCGAAATGCAGCAGAGCACCGAAAACGCTGGCCACAGCCCTACTTGCAGCATTGGAGGCTGTTTGGGGGCCAGGGCCGAGAAGAGGGAGTTTCGGGGCTTTCTTGTCAGTCAGACAGATGCTATGTTCGCGACAGTAATTAACGACAGCAAGGATGGTTTGTTGCGTTCTCTTTCATGCGCCCCTTGTGCTGCTTCTCAGGCTGAAGGAAGAATTGAAAGCGGTGGAGGTGTCGACCTTGGTAGCATCGAACACTTGGGGGCCCAGCAACTTACTGTATATGGTTCATATATCCCAATTCTGCCGGCACGGATCAGATGTCAAACTGATGTAAGCATCTTATGCAACTGCCCCAAGACGCAGTGCCTTCTTTAGATGACAATGAGGATTGATGTTCGCAATTGCTGAGAGTATCTGCAAGGTCTTGTGCTTGGTACTCGTGGCTTGTCAAGTCGTCATATAATATGTCGTCTCCGAGCCAGACTGCTGATGTGGGGTTGGGACTTTGGGCTAAGTCTATGTAAGCAGTTGCGATTTATTCGGAAGCCGCTGGAGCAGTAACAGCTCCGACTGCCCGGTGAGACGAAGGCATCTCGCGGCCCTCTCCTCGCCTCACCATTACACACTAACGCGCCTGAACACCCAAAGCTTTGTGTTATCAGCATGTCTACTATTGTTATTCATGTTATTGCTAGTATTATTGTTAGTATCATTATGAGTATTAGCAGTGTTGTTGCTAGCATTGGCATTGTTACTATCATTCCTGGTATTACTATTTCGAACAGGGTCCCCTTTTTAAAGGAGTCTAAAAGGGTTACTACAAAGGGATACTGTAAGGGTACTATATTAGGGGCCTTAATTGTGGTCTCAGGCACAGCACCCTCCTCCGCCCACAGACACCGGGCCACTCCTTGAGATGAGGCGAGAGGCCGGGCCACAGCTCGATTCATGGCTCTTGGAGTTCGATGTTCACAGTTGTTATTCCTTCAAATAAGTAAATAAATAGTTAAACAAGTAGATAACTAAGTATATATATATATATATGTACATATGTATGTGTGTATCAATACATGTATAATATGTATACACATACACCTTAGATGTATAACCACAGCTAGCTATCCATCCATCTATCTGTCTGTCTATCTACCTATCTATCTAAATGTATGTATACATATATACACACGCATGCGCACAGATACTCGTCATCAGGTCTATGTGTGTGTGTGTGTGCATGTATGTATGTATATATATATATATATAAATATTCACACGCATAATGCACGCCTGTATGTATGCTTGCATGTATGCATGCATGTATGTATGTAGGTAGGTATGTATGTATGTGTATATGCATGTGTGTATATATATATATGTATGTATATGTATTCCGGCCACGATGGCGATGTTGCCAAGACTCGTAGAAGGCCATGACCACGACGATGACGACGCGGCGACGACGTTTTGGCATGTGTAATCCCAGCCTTCAGCCATCACTAGCAAGCAGGCCATCTTATTTCGAACTACTACCACAAACCTCAATCCACCCCAAAGCACGCGATGCTGAACCCTGAAACCTCAACCCCTGCAACTCCTGAAACCTGTCCTCTTGGATTGCCGAGAAAGGTTCAGCAACTGCGCTCGCAGTTGGCGGCTTGCGAGGCAGAGGCTGAGCCGGAACCCGAGCTCTGAGTTTTGTGTTTTTTGGGGGTTTTTGGGTGATACAAAGGAGTTGTAGGGTTGGGGCGGGGGCCTAAGGTTCCAAGAGTCACGAAAACCTTGGAAAGCAAAGCGTAGCATAACTCCCACCCCCCACCACCTGCCCCCAATGACACCAGCTGATGCTGAGCATAGCGTCTAGTGTCCTTTTTGCAGTAGTCTCCCAGGCTGCCTGCTGCGGATGTGCTGGATGCAGCAGAGCAGGCGGCAACCCTGTCGAGCCAGAGTAGCTTCGGCCACTCTTTAAAGTGGCTGGCCCCCAGAGCGAGAAGAGGGCAGTGTGAAAGCTGCTCCGCAGGCTCCACCGGAGCTAGCACAAAAAGCTGCAGACCTGGCTGCGAGGCACTTTCTTCAGGTCTTGAAACGGCAATGTCATGGTACAGCACGAGGAAGTGTTCACAGAACCACACTGAGGTTACGAAGGTCGGGAATGACTATGGTTCACTTTCCTCATGAGTTGCTGTTGTGGGGAATCGACGGTCATTTCATCATCTCGTTGTGTTTTGAGGAGGCCTTCCGGGGCAAAGGCTGCTGGTCACACGGGAGCTTATATATATATATATATATCATATGTATTTCACATATATATATATATATATATATATATATGTATACACATATGTGTGTATATATAGATATATCTATATATATATATATATATCTATATATATATCTATATATATATATATATATATATGTCTGGTCAGTGCATCCTCGCAGGGCCGCCGCTCTCAAGCGGAGCGAGCAGGCAGGAGAAAGCACATGTCCAGTTGCTTCTCTTCTACTCAGACAGCTGTCTCCATCGACCAGCAGACACTGAACAGACTTCACATGCAGAGAGAGAGAGAGAGAGAGAGAGAGAGAGAGAGAGAGAGAGAGAGATAGAGACCGAGCGAGAGAGCGAGACAGCGAGAGCCATGCGCAGCCCGGGGCAAACAAACGTCGGGGACATTCGGGGATGCAAGGTTGTGCCTGGGACCACGTGGCGCCCCGCCAGAGAGCAGGAGGGGGGATGCGAGCCCGCCTCCAACCGCGGTGAAAACAAGCACGCAAGCAGGCAAGGGAGAGAGTGCGGCCGAGAGAGGAGGAGGGTGAGAAGGAGAGCGATCATGTATTCGTTTCAGAGGTGCCTGTGTGCTTGGCATTGGGTCTGCAGGCCCTGGACGCAAAGAGAGCCGAGGCCCTCCTACAGGATGCTTTCAGGGATGCACATTCCAGAAATCTTGCTGGTGTGTGCCATGAAGCAACAACATCTCCGTCTCTCTCTCTCTCTCTCTGTGTCTATCTGTCTCTCTGCCAGTCACACACACACACACACACATTCGCCTGTTGCTGCAACACAAATGTGCCGTAGCACAGCAGGTCCGGGCAGCGACAGAAGAGGCCACTGCCAGTGGCGACCCAGCAACAGTCATGCTTGTCGAGGGTTGAGCAGGCGCTACTTGTCTAAAGATTCGTTTGGCCAGCCCAAAAGTGCAACGGCCGATCGCCCCGGTGACAGCAAGTCACCGGCTGAGCAGAAATGAGTCTTGAAACGAAGAGAGCCTGAGGCATTATACGCATATTATGGCATATTATGGTATGTTATGGTATACTATCGCATATTATGGCAAACCATGGCATATCATGGCACAATATGGTATATTATGATATACTAACATATCGTATATTCTGGCGATTTATGGTATATTATGGCATATTCATATATACACATCTCTGAAACCCTCCTCGGGTTCTTTGAAGCGAGGCCTCCCTGTTTGAGAGGGAAGCTGCCTCTCGGCGCTCGCATTGCTCGGGGCCTGGCAGGTCTTTTGACATGAAGGCCTAGGGAAGCATAAATAGACGGATAATCAAGCATGTGTAGCAAGTATGTATGTATGTAGGTAATGTAAGTCTGTATGTATCTATGTGTTCATGCAGGCATGCATGCACGTATGCATACATACATACATACGCGAGTATAAACCGTTTGACGTGGTCCTGTCTTTGCTACGCATATCAATACGACGTACGGCAAGATACCAGGCAGTCATTTGTTAGGAGGGATATGTGCTTTCTTCGCACAATGCCCAGACAACTTTCTTGCTACGAACATTCTTGCTCGTGGCTTTGGTTGGAGGCAGCGCTTTAGGTAGGGGTTGTGTGAGTGTCCGGCGTTCACAACAGCTGACCTTTACTCTGAGTCGCCTCGACTGTGTCGTTTGTTAAGTGTACATGAACCAGAGCACCCCTGGGGGACAGGCGGGAGGAAGTTGTTGATCTTAACGGGGCCATTTGGTGGTGTACCTCATCACTTCATGGTCCAATGGCTGCAACCTAACGTATGTAAATCGGCCGGATGCTGGTGAGAGTGGGAGGGGCGCGGACCAGGCATAATTCTTGCAGATCAGCCAGCACGGCCGTACAGAGGTATACCTGCATGTATACACGGACCACATGACTGACAGGCTACCTGGACGATTATGGAGTAGGGATTAGTGCATGCACGAAATGCGACAAAAAGCAGCTGTACGCTGTATAGTATATCTTATATGCACACGGAGAGAGCAAGGACTTTTGTATTCACTTGCATGTGCATCTATGCTACATAGGGCATCTTTGTGTAATGAATGCTCTGCAGAAATACTTCTCAGCACGTCTATGAGTGCTAGTAGCTCCGTTACGTAGATATGTGAGTTTACCCACAGATAGATGAGCAAGTAGACCAATCAACAAAGGCAGTCAGACACTTGTGTATATATGATAAATGTACATAAACATAATCAGGACTAGTAGAAGGTACCTTGGTCTTATGTATTTGTGCACACATTATCTATCTTCTACCTGCTTGCACCTATCTTTCTATCTACGTATCTATCTGCCTATCTGTCTGTCTATCTGGTCTTTCTCTCATCTTGGCTGCGGCTGTATGTGCAAGCTCCCGCAGATGTATATAAGCCAATATTCAATTACAAGCTTACATGCAGGAGTGTGATGTGTGTCTTGTTCACTTCACTTCCTGCACTGCTGAAGCTGTCTGCCGCAACCAGGGCTGTACTTTGCTAATGTTGTTATCACTTGTTATGTGGCCTAGGCCACGTCTGGAACATGGAAGTTCACCGGGTGCCCGGCGTTCCGGAAGATCTGGGCTCGAAGATCTCTTAGATCTCTAGATCTGCTCTGTGCACGAAGCCTCTAAGCTCTAGAGTCAACAGCGGACCCTCGGCTGAGCTGAGCACTTCTTCTGGCTTTCGCTGTTGTTAAGCAGGGCTGTTGCTGTCAGTTGCCCCCATCCGACAAGCGAGACAACAGCTGGCGACCCTACTGGGCAATATCGCGATTGAGCGTGCTTGAGTGTCTTTGAGTGAGCCTGTGTTAGGCACCCTTGCAGCTTCGGATGAGATTGGCCCAGTTTGATTGCCTGCACATCTGAGGACCTCACGCGATTCAATTCAACACCTTTGCTCAACGTATAGTTTCTTCTGCTGAAGGTCCGCTGTGCAATACGTGCGTGCCAGTTGTTACTCTCCGACCCTCATCGGTGAAACCGATAGGGCGGGCACATTCCTGAAATTCTGTGGGATTAAAAATCATCGCAAACATCCGAAAGTATCTTCAGCTTCCTAGCTGTTCCTTGCTTCTGTACGCTGAACTCTTCTTGAGCCGGCTTGCGACAGCACAAAGTGCATCTTCTCGCAATGTCAAGTGTCGCGATGGATAACAGCGACATTCCGTCATCCTGCCCTCTGGCTGCATTTAGCAAGTGTCAGTACCCCTCTTCCGGCTTCGGACTCCTTTCGAGACGGTAGCAGCTACTAGTAGCCGCCTAGCCGCCCACCACAAGTATTGAGTGTAGCGGATCGCAAGGTGGCACTCAAAGCTCCTTCGATCTGACGGCTTGTGAAGAGGCTCGGAGAGATATGAGAGATGTAAGACCGCAGGGCTTCCGTAGGGCTTGTACATATATATAGATAGATAGATATACATATGTATATGCCCAAAAATGCCAATGCGATCCGCTCCGCAGGAGGCCACAGCGTACGAGTCCACAGACCTATCGAACTCTCAGTTTTCTAGCGCCCTTACAGCCGCCTTGCGGCAGTGCCTCGGCTTAGAAGGAAGCCTCTTGGAGAGGGAGCACGCTAGCAAACGTTGCTCTGCAGCTCAGGTTTCAGGGCGATCATGGTCCCCTGTCCAGTACCACAATCAGCCAGGCGTCCGCAAGTGATGCAGGCGGATTTCCTGTGTTGGAGGCAGGGGATCAGCTGCTTGTTTCCCGTGCTTGACTCCCCAATACAGCAGCTGGTTGTTTGAAAATAGGTTGCACGTCGGTGTGCACTTGTAACATCACGGCGAGCAGTGCGTATAAGCTGTGACCACGATCATGGACCACTCAAGCAAGCACCGACAGCCGGAGTGCTGCTTCGAAGGGGCACTCTATTCCTGAATCGAGAAACACGATCGCAGAGATTTTCGCACGCGGAGGCCGGCGCGGGCAGAGTTGCATGGTGGCCTTAGCCCCGCGTCACTGGATCCGAATGGGTCCCGTGGGATTTCCGAGCTTGACTTAATGTATGCTACTTCTGCTCCGAGAGGGCCAGGAGCACAAATACAGACACCCGCGGCGAAGTACGGGTAGGTTGCGAGAACCGAAAAGAGGCTTTCAGGCCTCCCATTCAAAGCAGCTTTGCCTCGCCTTAAGCCTCTCAAAATAGTAGAATTTTCTGTCTGTTCGATGACAGGATGAAAAGTGTTCGCCCTCGCTCTCTCTCTCGTGTAGAGGTTTTTCGAGCATGGTGTTTTGGTTTCTCTAGTGAGCAAGCCCTCTAAATTCATGGACTTGAAAGGAGTTTTTCTGACGGTCAACGAGCGGTTTTCTCCGCACCACGGTGCTACAGGTGGTGCGAAGTGAAACCTCCAAGAACTTCGCTACCAACCGCACATGCTTCACTCCTATTGTCCTGCTGTACGAGCATGTCTTGAAAAGTCTCTGTGCCCTTCTAAAACTCCGCGGGCCAGAATCCTTCGAATGGCAGTCAGTTTTTCCACCAGGACGGAGGCAGCCGCACCGAAAGCACATGCTTTGCAATGGCTCGTTGCGAAGGTGAACCGGTAAGGTGAACCGGTGGGAGCATAACAGCATCGAGAGCCAGATGTGGGACTAAGCCAAGAAATGACGGTGTTGCGCATGAAGTTCAGCAACGTTCAGCAGACGTCGGAAGCACAGATCTACCCTCTCATGCGACCACAAGGCATGGTCCGAAGTCTAAAGGGCAGAAATGTAGAGGCCAAGGGCACAGGATGCCACCGAGGTACAGCAGGAGCGAATTATGGAACGAAGCGACGTCAGTTCTCGCGAAACCTCCTGCGAAAGGAAAGCATTCCGCTGACGGGTTTGGACAGGCATGTTCCGAAGTAGCAGCGAGAGAGGTGCAAGAGAACCTCAAAATCTCGCAAGCACGGAAGACTGGCTTTCTGCACCTCGGAGACTGAATGTGTTCCACGGTCAGATCTGTTGAAACGCAGCTACATGTTGGTGTTGGTGCATGTGTGCCGGTGCGCGTGGGCGTGTGCGTGTCAAGGTGTGCGTATGTGTGGGCGTGTGTGTGTGTGTGTGTGTGTGTGTGTGTGTGTGTGTGTGTGAGTATGCTGCTTAAAGACTTGGCAGGTCCCTGATGAAAGTCAGAATCAGGCTGCTGGGGAACACCGGGGAGGGGGGAGGCACTAGCCGCCAGAAGTAGCGTCTTCCAGTTGCAGTCTGATGCTACAATATTGTAAATGTTGGTTCCTCAGCTGGCTTTTCAAACAATCCGGGTTCCGGTCTCTTGCTACCATCGCCGCGCTCTCGTGGGAGCAGCGATGTTCTGCATGCCATTGAAAAGCCGTTGACGTTTCAGAGTCTCTTACCATGTGACATGAGAGCTCGCCTGGCTGTCTAAAAGGCCGAACTGAGTGTCACCGTCCATCTACCAATCCTAAATCCGCAGACAGCCTCTTCCTAGCAGGGTCTATCTGTGAGCACTGTAGCATGATACCAGATCCCGTGAATCAAGACAGCCAGCTCGCCAGAGTCTTTTTGTACATGTTCAGATGAATCAAGAGTTCTTAACGAGTGGACCCACCAAAATCAGCCACTGAATTCCGGCAAGGGTAGGGAAGGGCCCAAGGCAGGGGGTGAGGAAGCCCGAGCCCGAGTGGCAAGGACACTCCGTGCCCGCTTGGGGAGGTCACCACTGCCGCTTGGTGTTTTTGGAGTGAAGTCTTCCAAATGAAGTCCATTCGGCTCAGAGGTTTGCGGCATCGGGTATTCCGACAGCTCCGCTTGCTTAGAATACTAAGGTTATGGTCAAGAATGTGCCCGTAAAGTGCGGGCAGCGCCGGCTACTCCGACAATTTCTGGCTGCCGGGTTCCAGGGTAAGCTGGACCCGAGCATTCACATGGCGGTCTGTTCTCAACATCCCCCAACCCACCCACAATGCCTCATCTCGTTGCGACGCCAGGACTTTATCTACCTGCCGATGGACCCAAGAAGTCGATCCAGTCGTGGTTTTGCTTTTGTGAACCTGACCACGGTCGAATCTGCACATCGCTTCTACCGTAGCTTGAATGCACCCAGGGAAGCGATTTTCCCGATCAGATGCTGGCCCTCTGCCCGACAGGTATCTTTCACGGGAACTTTCTTAAGAACTATCCGTCCGAGACACCGTTGGAGGCAAGGTTCTTTGTGACGTGATCCATGGTGGCACCTCACGCTTGTTGAATCTTCCACTTGCACGGACACTGCGTTTCGCCATTTTGGCAGGTTGCAGTTGCAGAGATTCAAGGCTTCGACGCCAATGCGGAGCACTACCTGCTAGTGAAGGTCTGCGTGCTGCCGTTACAGCATGCACAACAGGGCCCTTGCGGTTTCAACTTCCTCGCACAGGCAAGCCGTAAAGGCAAGGGCCGAGATGTGTTCGGCTGCCCGACATTCCTGCGACCATTACAAAGGCATCTGCCACTCGAAGAGAAGACTGGTCAGGTGGTCCTTTCGATGTTTCTACATGTTCTTACACGGATCTGCGCTGTTGAGTCTGAGATTGTCTGAGATCCCGTGTCTACCAAGGGTGAACCACCTGCGCACGTTGGAGGACCCGTTGTTCGCCATGTGGCATGAGCTTCCACGAGAACGTGTATACATGAAAAGCTGACAGGTGTTGTCCCCCGCTTGCCATTCACAAAGGCAGGCACTCACGAAGTCTGTGCCCATGAGGAGCCGAAGAAGCCCAAGAGCAAGAGCTCACAGCACGAGGAGGCCCATGCCTTTCAAGTTGCCTCTCACTGGCTGCAAGTCGAGGCTTCCTTGTTCCTTTCCCGTTCCCTTCTCTGCAGGCGAGCCAGGATGGGCAAGAGGGCCAAGACATTTCTTGGCCGCCCATGCGGGATCTTCGAGAACCCGCGTTGCAGCTGGGGCCTCAGAGAAAGGCATTTCTAGATTCTAGGCCTCAGATCTATTGTCATGAAACACGATCCGTCCAGTCTTGAGAGCAAACCGATGAAGCCCCAATCAACCTGCGAAGGCATCAATTAGAGAGCCCTAGCGACAGGTATCCCGTGCAGCAGCCTGTCGCGAATCTGCTGCTTGAGCCGCCGCACTCTAAGAGATCACCCTGCAGCGAGATTGACCATCGAAGTCACACGTGTATAGATTTGTGCAACAGTTGTTCGTGCAATCTAGTAAAAAACGGAAATAAACGTTCATACGTTTGTATATGTTCACCTATATCACGCATATAACTCCGAATATACATGCTTGCATATGTTCATTGGGATATGAATCGATTGAATCGATTGCTCCTCAGCCTGCACAGCTGCAGCCAATCTTGTACCTGGGCGAGGATGTGCTGCAAAACTTGCTGGTGAGGAAGCCGTCTTCGAGCCAGGTCAGGCGGTAAGGACCCTTGCTTTGCCAAGGCCATATCGTGCACCCATGCGGCCAGAAGCAGCAAGCACAATCCCCATGAGGCACGAGCACAGCTTTAGAGTCTTTTCTTCATCTGATGATTGAACTATCTTGATGTTGCTGTTGTTGCTGCTGTAAGATTTATTCGCTTTCGCTAGCAAGCGTTGTATATTGTTGTCCGTACGCAGGTTTCCTAGGTAGCGTTGCTACGACTCCCGTCACGTAGAGGGACAAGTTTGGACTGGTGGTGGTAGTCAGGTGGAACCAGGCCAGTGCCAGCATATGCCATCATATGTCATAGTGTGCCATCATTCCATCATGAGTATCCCCACGACCTCTCACGACATATGCAGGCATTGTTGTTGAATTCTAGCTGTTTGTTCTGACTTCGTCCAGGCTATTGCGCACATCTTCCGCTTGCATTTTGAGTAACATCTCTGTAAGCGAGACCGGACAGTCAAGTAGAATTGAACCCACGAGGATTGGACGATTGGACTTCTACGAAAGTGTAAGTCCGTCCTTCCAAATCCTGTCTCAGACGAGTCTTGGTGCACACACATTAGCTTCAGCACATGTCAGTGCACACTGATTAGCATGGCGTCCCCTGTAGTAACTGTACGAGCCGTCCTACACGTGTTAAGCTTCTGAACTCAGCTCTCCGTCGCGCTAGGGTGCCTATGGCCTACCCACAAAAACCTGAGCAGCTGCTGCCGCGGCAACCCGCATCTATCCTTTCCCCTCAGGCAGGGACGACGCTGGCTCTGCCTGTTGCAAATCCAATAAGAAATAATGGCACGAACATCGTGGGTCGTGGATGGCTTTTACTTCTGCTATGAACAGAGCTATGCTGGTGGATGCCATGATCTTGGGCTTGGTTTGCGTTTGGCTTTCCTTCAAGGAGCAATTCTAGCTTGTATAATCCTGTAGACCTTTTGTCTTGTTTCTGGATTCATAAGCTTCGGTGGGCACCTGCGTGGTACTGTGCGGGAAGAGTTGCTGCAGAATTTCTTTGGGCTCGAGTTGCTCGCGAGAGGCACTTCAGGACATATCTCTGTAGCAGCAGGTAACCGGCAACCAGAGCAGACTTGTGCAACCCAAAGCGGTATTTCATGCTGGTGACGCATTGGAAAGCACGCTTCACTTGTAGACATGCCATAAGGGTTCGGTAAGGATTGGTTGCAGTAATGCTGCCCAGAGATGTCTACGAGGGAATCCGTGATCACTCCCATGAGATATAGGTGTAGAGGCACTACGGACGAATCGTGACACTGAGGGGAAAGGAACGGCTTCTTCTGAGTAGTGTTGGTTCGGCCTCAGGTTCCTCCGGCAAGCAGAGAGCTAGAGCAGGGATCCCCATCAGTGCCCGCCACCTGGCAGGTTGCTGGTTTTCAAGTACACGACCCATCACATTGTTGGAATTGCGGCCGTCTGACCGTCCCTGCTTTGCGTGTATCGGTGACCGCATGGTCTGGCAAGCGAGTGCAGTCAACCTAGAGAGTCTCGATTCAGCTTAACCAACATGCTGCGAGGATTACGGGCAATCATTCATTTTGCCCTTTCTGCGGCGAAGCGCAACTCCCCGCGACGTCCCCTTGCTGGCATTCAGAGCAGGAGCGTTTCGGCTGTTTCAGAGCTCCCGCGCAAAGTGTACTTGCCTGAGGTCAAGCCCTGGACAGTCTTTCTGGATTTGAGGAGTTCAAGTCCAGTGCTGCACCTTTACTTGTAGGTTGGCGATTAGCTTTGAGGTCGACTTTGTGCAACATGTCGCACGAACCTGATCTTTGTAGAATGTGATGCATCATGAATGTGGTCTAAGCAGAGCCTTGGCGATTGGCCCACATGTTGCTTCAAAAATAACCTCAAGGCATTTTGCGTTCGATCCTGCTTGTAACACGGCTGGCAGTGCAGCGTGATCTTGGATCCATTTTAAGCTCTCACTGCCGTTATCAGCTTGCGCAAGAGATGACGCTGTGTATTCCGGCTGCCACGGTACCTGGAAGGCTTGACCAGGAGCCCGCATCCGTTTTTCTCGCCACAGGGTGATGATGCCCAACTGTCATTGGAAGGCCGCAATTTGAAGGCAGACATGCTACAATAGCAGCGTGTGGCAGGCCGAGCGTTGGACGGGCAAGGGGGCCAACAGCCCCAGAGCCCCGGGCCAACAGGCTATACAAGCTTGTTTTACCCTCATCTGCACAGAACATCAGGTGGTTGCTCAACATCTACATTTGGAGCAGTTCTGAAATTCTGACGGTTTTCGAGAACAGGGGAGCAACCCAGGACTTTTTTCGGCTTGCCAGGAAAAATCCCTGGCTAAGCTTTTCCACCAGAGATCACTCGCAAGATAGGCTTTATTGGTGAGCTGCCAGGAGCGAAAGTGTCCGATCTTTGGAAGTCAGATGTGTTTTCGAAGATGAGCATTGATGGGCATCTGCCCACATGGTACAGTTTGCTGAGCTTGGAAATGTGATGCAGCTTGCCTGACGAACTAGACCTACAAAGTGACTCTGAGAATTTTATCAAGTTCCCAAAAAACTTCAGCGCTCGAACTGATGGGGATGCCAGGACAGCCCACGATGCACAGTGAGAAGAAACCTTATCGCACCGTGTACCTGCCGCTTCTCATCTGAGATCCCAGCTGAAGCATAATGCTGAGAAATTACCTCAGATCAAAAGCTTCTTTGCTGGCTGCCTCTCTGATCCACCTCACGGGCAAGCAGCAAAACGCGAAGTACTGTACCAGGATTGAGTGATCATGCTTTGCGAGGCAACTCTGCACTGGGTTGCATCAGCTACGTCATGTTGAGGGTCTTCTTGCGTTGGTCATGCTTCTTGCTTGTTAGTGGAAGCTTGGCAGGGTGGAAGTTTTACATTTTATCAAGTGATCGCGAGGAATGCTCGCAGGTGCTTGTTAGATCGCACGTGTTGGCCCTCGGTCGACAGTCGACAGGGTTGAGTACATCTTTTCGATTTCGTCCGTCCCTTTGCCTCCTAGGACACCAATCCATTGTCCATCTCGTCTCAGTTAAAGCAAGAGTTGCACTTAGTGACGGAAAGCGAATCCGCCTGTGAGCATGCGGATTCTTGTGTTGAGGGTTTTCCTGGCCTGTCTCTCAGCCGAAAAAGAGCGTGACAGTGGCCACTCAGCGATGCCTGCTGCTTCTCAGCCATGGCACCTGCAGGTCACACGGCAGAGCGGCAGAGCTTTGCACTGACACGGGAAGGGTATCGCCCTGTTCTTAGGCGATCAGCTGTGCCAGCAGATTCAGGACCTCAAGGCAGGAAGCGTCGCCAGATCGGGACTGAACAGCGTTCTGCAGCGAGTGCGTGGCCTCCTTAGTCAACCAGAAGTCCTCATGATGGTTCAGAAGGAGAAGCCGGAGAATGACTCACCCCGGGAGCTAAACCACGATGGCAGGCGGAGGAGAAAACTGCTGCCGCACGGAGACGGGAGCTAGATCGTGAGGCGCAACTCTGGGTTTGGAGGTTGAGCGCATCCGGTTGATTGCCAAGCCCAGTTCCGCCAAATACAAGCCGCACAGCAGGTTTGCGAAGTAACACCATCGCTATAAGAAGAAGAGGAATCATCATCATCACGGCCTATCTTTGGTCATCTGATGAACAGGGCACTTGCAAAGCGAACCAAGGGCTTCCAGGGAACAGGAGTACTTCGTCTTAACGTTTGTGCAAGTTTGTAGATGCAACGTAGCAGATATGTAGAACTGTTATCATGTGATGCACACGCACACAGACACACAGACAGACACACACACACACACACACACGTATATGTATGTATAATATATATATATATATATATATAATATATATATATATATATATATATGTTATATACATGCACGTTATACGTATTCATCTGCAGCATGCATGCATGCGTGCATGCACTGTGTACCTGCAACTAGGATCATTTTTTTTCACATGTCTGCGACCTTCCGCATCTTGTTGACCCTATCCGGCCCCTAAACTCTGAGCCCTGTGAAGAGTTGGCGAGGTTCATGGCCTCGTCGTCTCCTCGGCTGCCATCTTCTGGGAGTTCCTAAATCAGGGGTTTACGGTAAAATTTCATTCCCATCAGGAATCAGAAGCCCAAAAGGGGACCAGAAACTGGGACGACATGCCGTTAATTCCGGCGCGGAACTTCTGAGCGCTCGTGAGAAAAAGCGAGAGTTCAACTTGTACTCCGCACCATGACAAGTTACGTTGACTGCCATTGTTACACTCATCTGTAGTAATGTTATATATGCTTACTTGCATGTTTGTGGCCACGCAAGGATTGTGAGGATCGCGATCGTTGCTCTTGTCGTCGTGACTATCGGCATCCTGACTCAGGCCAGCAGCTACGATCGCTACAAGCATCTTTGCTACGTCTACGGCGCCGCCCTCCTAAGGCAACTCGCAACCTTGCTTGAGGGCCTTTATGGGTTCAGGTTTTCCCGGCTGAGGATGGCTGGACAGTCATGTTCGTGACACGGTCCTGTAAAGTAGACGTGTGTTGTTGCTGATCATGTTCCTTTGAGGGCAATCTCATCTTCAACAGTCAGCTTGCACCCTTGCGAGGGCCCTCCGTAGGCCTTTCTGCATGGCCACGGCGACGACCAGCATAGTGGTCACATTACCAGTATTACCAGTTATGAAGAAGAAAGTGAGGATGGGGATGTCGATGATGATGATGCTGGTGTTCCTCCTGTCCTTCCTCATGATGAAGATCACCATTGTCGTTGCTATTCGAGTTCGTTGTCAATTCACTAAACCCTAAACCGTAAACCCTACTGGCTCTCTGAAGTTGTTACGGGCTGACGGAAGAAAGGGGATAAACAACAAAAAGCGTACTGAGTACCATATGTAGAGAGAGAGTGTGTTTTTGTTTGAGTTCGTTGCATACATGTTTGGTCATTAATGAGCGGCGTGCGAGAGGACGCCACACCTCGGCCAGCCCCTCGAGGACCCGGATGCACTTTAGAGTCTCGGGTTTGGTTTCGGCTTGAGGGTCCAATGTCGGGGCCATAGGACTGAGAGTCTTGGGGTATAGCATCTCTTGATCATGTACTGTAGGGACTATGCCAGCGCACATCCCCAAACAGTCAAGGACCATAATTACAAGTGACGGAGGACACCCCGCGTGCGCCTCCGCCCGAGCGCGCACCTCCGCGCTCGCGCGCTGTGACCATCAAAATGACCAGGAGACCTCGAGCAAACCGCCAGGAGACCAGCATGATTACCTACTCCAGCCGCGATGACACCGGCAGACCATCAGAAGGCGACCCATGAGACCAGCACAGACCACCTCGAGACCACCGGGAAAGCACGGAACCAGGAGATCACCAGGACAGCACCAGTTCACCACGGCCAAACACTTGGGCGGATTCAGAGGCACTGTGACAGCTTTTGCTTCTGCCATGTACCGGCGGGATTCAGAGATAGGCTCGAAGCGTTTTCCCCCATGTACTGGATGGGATACAGGCCCATTGGATTGGATTTTTACGCGCATCGCGCACCCCCAGAGGAGGAGGCCCAAGCAGGACGGTGTAAATATTGCGACAGCACAACATTGCATCCCCGGCGGGAGCCTCTTCCCGGCGTCACGCCCCTCGCGATCATATTAACCAATACAGCCAGGGTGGGATAACTGCTGCATAGCCAGTTGAGTGTTGTGTGCGGTAGTTTGCACTATACACAGTACTTTAATGACGAACGAGCATACTGTCATCGATTTTGCGAAAGATGGATGACTTGCCAAGACTAGAAAACCGATAGTGATGCTGGGCAGACATGTAAGTACAGAGATAGAGCATCTGGATAAGACAATACGTGCAACATCACAAGAGGTCTGGACATTAAAATAACAGAGGCAAATACATGTCTAACCCAACGGCAGAAGATGCGCATCCCAAGAAAGCAACGGGTGCAGGAGCATGGTGAGGTTTAGCTCTGATTCTTGAATCTTCGATCTGCAGAGAAAAACCAAATATTCAGATGCCTGAAAACATGGGCGGGTGACCCGTGTGTTTGTCAATCAAATCGCGGGAGAGTGCTTGGCTTGCAGAACCAAGTACCGAACACGCGCACGATTACTGAAGTTAACGGTTGAAGTAGGCCTGTGCTATCCGAGCTATCCAAGTAAACGTCAGCACCTGCGGTTATCTGATTTTGTGTAAAGCATATGATATATTTTCCCTCACGCGCACAGAAGACATGGGAAATCTTGACGCTGCACGATTGCAGGACGCTTCGAAGCCTAAGCGAGGTGGGGCCGGTTGAAGCATTCACTGTCCTCAGCGTCTACGCGTCTTTCGTTCCAGAAACGGAGCAGCCTTTGACATTCTGCATGGAGACTTCGTTACGTCCTTCATGCCCAGTGGCAGGTGGCGTCTGCAGGGTTGAAAGCAATGAAAGTCTTCAGAATTTGTCGAGCACGCTGCATGCGTCTCAAGTGATGAGGCCCCCCTTGCAGCAGCACTCCCACGGGCCATCGAAACGCCTATCTGCCTACTACCTGCTTCCCGAAAGCTTGCACGCTCTTTTCGTACAATCAATTCTCGAAATCCTGCAGTATATGATCCTATGGTTTTTGATTTTTCTATCATTTTACAGGATCTTGTATATTTTATAGTGCACTACGGCGTACGTATGACCTGGTGGCTCCTGGATTTAGCAATGCTATTAACTATAG